TTACCCATTACCCCATCCAGGGTAAAGTTTACCCAAGATGAAAATTTTCGGTCAATGGGGCGGCCCCTACGATTTTCTTCAAAATCGGCATGGTGATAATACAGGCCCAGATGACCAATCTGGCTGAAGAAACCCCTATGGGCATTGAAATCTATGGGGTAAAAACGCCCTTGGAAAGTTTTACCCACGCATTTCTGGCAAGACTATCGCACGCATCCCCCCAATATGGGTATCATATGAAAGCCCATGAAAACCCAAACAAAATGGTGGGGTGAAATTTACCCATTACCCCATCCAGGGTAAAGTTTACCCAAGATGAAAATTTTCGGTCAATGGGGCGGCCCCTACGATTTTCTTCAAAATCGGCATGGTGATAATACAGGCCCAGATGACCAATCTGGCTATGTTTGGGAGAAATAACCAACCCTATGGGCATTGAAATCTATGGGGTAAAAACGCCCTTGGAAAGTTTTACCCACGCATTTCTGGCAAGACTATCGCACGCATCCCCCCAATATGGGTATCATATGAAAGCGCATGAAAACCCAAAGAAAATGGTGGGGTAAAATTTACCCATTACCCCATCCAGGGTAAAGTTTACCTAAGATGAAAATTTTCGGTCAATGGGGCGGCCCCTACGATTTTCTTCAAAATCGGCATGGTGGTACTACAGGCCCAGATGACCAATCTGGCTGAAGAAACCCCTATGGGCATTGAAATCTATGGGGTAAAAACGCCCTTGGAAAGGAAAGAAGAAAGACCCTTTCATGCGTTCAGAGGGCCCTCCCGTGTACTCAGAGTGCCTTTCTTTAGGCTGTAGTCCCTGTCAAGCGATCAGTGGGTCCTAATGCAATCAGAAGGGTTAAAATTTACCCTGGGTGGGGTAATGGGTAAATTTTACCCCACCGTTTTGTTTGGGTTTTCATGGGCTTTCATATGATACCCATATTGGGGGGATGCGTGCGATAGTCTTGCCAGAAATGCGTGGGTAACACTTTCCAAGGGCGTTTTTACCCCATAGATTTCAATGCCCATAGGGGTTTCTTCAGCCAGATTGGTCATCCGGGCCTGTAGTATCACCATGCCGATTTTGAAGAAAATCGTAGGGGCCGCCCAATTGACCGAAAATTTTCATCTTGGGTAAACTTTACCCTGGATGGGGTAATGGGTAAGTTTTACCCCACCATTTTCTTTGGGTTTTCATGGGCTTTCATATGATACCCATATTGGGGGATGCGTGCGATAGTCTTGCCAGAAATGCGTGGGTAAAACTTTCCAAGGGCGTTTTTACCCCATAGATTTCAATGCCCATAGAGGTTTCTTCAGTCAGATTGGTCATCTGGGCCTGTAGTATCACCATGCCGATTTTGAAGAAAATCGTAGGGGCCGCCCCATTGACCGAAAATTTTCATCTTGGGTTAACTTTATCCTGGATGGGGTAATAGGTAAATTTTACCCCACCATTTTGTTTGGGTTTTCATGGGCTTTCATATGATACCCATATTGGGGGGATGCGTGCGATAGTCTTGCCAGAAATGCGTGGGTAAAACTTTCCAAGGGCGTTTTTACCCCATAGATCTCAATGCCCATAGGGGTTTCTTCAGCCAGATTGGTCATCTGGACCTGTAGTATCACCATGCCGATTTTGAAGAAAATCGTAGGGGCCGCCCCATTGACCGAAAATTTCCATCTTGGGTAAACTTTACCCTGGATGGGGTAATGGGTAAATTTTACCCCACCATTTTGTTTGGGTTTTCATGGGCTTTCATATGATACCCATATTGGGGGGATGCGTGCGATAGTCTTGCCAGAAATGCGTGGGTAAAACTTTCCAAGGGCGTTTTTACCCCATAGATCTCAATGCCCATAGGGGTTTCTTCAGCCAGATTGGTCATCTGGGCCTGTAGTATCACCATGCCGATTTTGAAGAAAATCGTAGGGGCCGCCCCATTGACCGAAAATTTCCATCTTGGGTAAACTTTACCCTGGATGGGGTAATGGGTAAATTTTACCTCACCATTTTGTTTGGGTTTTCATTTGCTTTCATATGATACCCATATTGGGGGGATGCGTGCGATAGTCTTGCCAGAAATGCGTGGGTAAAACTTTCCAAGGGCGTTTTTACCCCATATATCTCAATGCCCATAGGGGTTTCTTCAGCCAGATTGGTCATCTGGGCCTGTAGTATCACCATGCCGATTTTGAAGAAAATCGTAGGGGCCGCCCCATTGACCGAAAATTTCCATCTTCGGTAAACTTTACCCTGGATGGGGTAATGGGTAAAATTTACCCCACCATTTTGTTTGGGTTTTCATGGGCTTTCATATGATACCCATATTGGGGGGATGCGTGCGATAGTCTTGCCAGAAATGCGTGGGTAAAACTTTCCAAGGGCGTTTTTACCCCACAGATTTCAATGCCCATAGGGGTTTCTTCAGCCAGATTGGTCACCTGGGCCTGTAGTATCATCATGCCGATTTTGAAGAAAATCGTAGGGGCCGCCCCATTGACCGAAAATTTTCATCTTGGGTAAACTTTACCCTGGATGGGGTAATGGGTAAATTTTACCCCACCATTTTGTTTGGGTTTTCATGGGCTTTCATATGATACCCATATTGGGGGGATGCGTGCGATAGTCTTGCCAGAAATGCGTGGGTAAAACTTTCCAAGGGCGTTTTTACCCCATAGATCTCAATGCCCATAGGGGTTTCTTCAGCCAGATTGGTCATCTGGGCCTGTAGTATCACCATGCCGATTTTGAAGAAAATCGTAGGGGCCGCCCCATTGACCGAAAATTTCCATCTTGGGTAAACTTTACCCTGGATGGGGTAATGGGTAAATTTTACCCCACCATTTTGTTTGGGTTTTCATGGGCTTTCATATGATACCCATATTGGGGGATGCGTGCGATAGTCTTGCCAGAAATGCGTGGGTAAAACTTTCCAAGGGCGTTTTTACCCCATAGATTTCAATGCCCATAGGGGTTTCTTCAGCCAGATTGGTCATCTGGGCCTGGTGTATCACCATGCCGATTTTGAAGAAAATCGTAGGGGCCGTCCCATTGACCGAAAATTTTCATCCTGGTTAAATCATGCTTTTGGTTACATTGATCCGGTATTTAACCATATCATTAGGTCCGGGGTGAAGAGATCTTTCTAATGGTGGTCTTATTTTTCAGTTTCGCTCAGCCGTTTAGGCGTTAAACGGTTTTTAGATTTTTCCCTAGATTTTTAGATTTTTCCCTAGATTTGGCAGCCCGAATCTGGGCTGGGCCGAATGTGGGCTGAATGTGGGCTAACTTCCGTTACATAGCAAATTGAAGGATTTTTTTAGACAAAACTACCGCAGGTCGCTCATATCTGGCGGGTGGTAGTGTGTTCAACAGTGCCTTAGGCCTTGCTTATTTGGTTCGCAGAAACATATATTGTGTAAACAATTCGTGGAATCATGCAAACTTTCTAAAAAAGGTTTACGGGCACCAAATGCTGAACACTAATTTAGTGTATATAGAGAACACACTGAGAACTGTGCAAGGCTATATAAACCAGGTAGAACGTTCCCGACGAAAAAGTGGTGACAAGCGATAATTAGTAGCCGCGACCCTCACTTGTTCAAAACTATATCCGCAAGCAGCATTTACAGGCTAGCGGAAATCGACCAATCGGCGTTCGGCAATACTCGACGCTGATTGGCCCGATGCTCGTGACGAAATTGCGGGGGACTGTAGCTATTCCCCTATGGCGTTTAATAGGCTTACGGCTTTTGAAGGTGATTTATACCAGTTTTTGTTGGTTTTGAGGCCATTTTTGAGCTTGGATATTCTTTCTGTGACTTTTGACTGTGTAATAATGACATTTAATCATAACATTTCTATTTACTACCGGTGTCACATCGGCCAAAAAGACCGTAAGTACATGGCATAGACGGACCACTGCTGATGGGGCCACACATGCCGGCGTGTGGTCATCGGAGGTCCATGAGGGCTCGACATAGGCCCTTCATGGGTCGGTATAGGCCCGGTGGGTCCAGTGCAAGCCTATCAGGGGCCGGTGCTGACCCAACAGGGCCCAGTGGCATATAATGTAAGGCTGTCTAGGGACGTTGAGGGCTCATGGGGACCATATAGGACCAATAGGGACTACAAAAGTCAATCAGGGGCCATTTAGGCCAATAAAGGCACTTCAGGGGACTTGAAAAGGTCATTCAAGAGCTGCGGTGGGCCCATGAGGGGACGGCACTGGTCCAGCAGGTGCAGTCAGGGGATGTTGTACGGGTTTCTCAGTGGCCCATTTGGGCATATCAGTGACCAATTTGGACCCAGCAGGGGGCTTTGTAGACCCATCAGGGGCTGGTGATGGTTCATCAGGGGCCAGCGTTATAGTCCATCGGGGCACGGCATATGCCCATCAGAGGTAATTGCGAGCCCACGCTGAACAATGATGGCCCTTCAACGGCCCCTAATGAATCTACATTGACCCATGGGCCATAATGTGTCATATATGCCCCTATGACAGGCCTACTCAGACCCCTGATGGACATTCCCGGCGTCTAATGACCCTATACTGAATGCTGATGGGGCTCTAAGTTTCTCCAATAACCCTTCGTCAACCCATTATTACCATACGCTGGCACTAGGGGCCCCACATCAGCCGCAGGGCAGTCCGTGCCATGACAGCATGTCTTTTCGGCCGATATTACATCGGTAATATTTATTAAAATCATGATTTTATGGTGTCATTATATAGCTAACAGTCATAAGAAATATATTTCAACTCGAAAACAGCTCCAAACAGCATATAATTTTAAAGAACCCCCTCCGAAATCCAAAAGCCTATTCGGGTCCATAGAGAATAACTGCGGTCCCCCACAATTTCGTCACGAGCGTCGGACCAATCAGCGTCGAGTACGGCCGAGCGCTGATTGGTGAATTTTCCGCTAGCGTGTAAGTACTGCTCGCGGAACAAGAGTTCGTCGACAATCCTCCACAAACGTCTGTCACCATTTTTCGTAATGCTAAACAGCCGGAGCGTACCCCCCTGGAACTGTGTATGGGTTGCAAGGTGAAGGCTATATTGATCAGGGGCGTCGACGCGTAAGGAAAACTGGTCCGACTTTTTCTCGGGGGGCCCCTACCGGTGGGGCCCCCAGGTGTCGAGGCGCAGCAGGGCCCCCGCGGTCTCTAGCAGGGCCCCCCGAGCCGCAGTAGGGCCCCCGCGGTCTGCAGCAGGGGCCCCCGCCAGCCACAGCAGGGCACCGCCTAGTCGAAAAAGTGGTCCGACTAGTCGGAAAAGTCGGAACGGTGTCGACGCCCCTGATATTGATACCTATAGGTTTGTATGTGTTTATGTAGCCTTGGGTACTGGGTACATGGTAATTCAATATAGATGACTGCTTCAACTTCAACGTGTTTCAACGCTTCAACGCTTCAACTTCAACGAATCATAAAGAGTCTTCAATGGTAACGTTGCCAGACATTTTTTTATGATATGGCCGAAATCCACTGGGCATATGCCTAGGAACACAGGTTCAGGTTTTGCTTTGCATTTCAAATTGGTTAATTTCATCTCAATGAATGTAAACTAAAAACATGGGTATATTAGTGAACCACTTTTGCAAATGAAACTTGATGAGTTTCAACTTTCGAGTCCACTTTAACTGGCAGTCTCCTCCCAGTGGTCATGATAGTTATTAGGTATTGAAACGAGGCCACATTTAGCATGCGTTCGGCATTGGGAAAATGAGGGATAGTTATAAGGGATCACCATTCACCAGCAATAATTTGGGATAGCGGGGACCATTGATACAACATTCACATTTTAAGATTGCTTTTGCCTAACTAATGGCTCTTCAACTCTACTGAAAACTTCAAGGCTCTATTCTACCTACGTTCGACCACATATGGACTACTGTTTGCCAACAGTGGGACCCCATATGGCCCAGGATATGCTTAAGTTTGAGAAGGTTAAGAGGAGAGCAACCAAATTCATTCGAGAAATCAGAAATCTATCCTATGAGGACAGACTAAGGAAAAAGGACAGGGCTGCTCATGGTGACCTGAAAAAACATACAAGATTCTTACCAGCAAGCTAGAAATTGACCCTGCCAAGCTGTTCAAGCTTCAAGACAACACAAGCACCAGGAAACAATACTTGAAGCTTCAAGACAACTCAAGCACCAGGGGACAATACTTGAAGCTTGAGAAGAAGAGAGCAGCCCATCACTTCAGAGCAAGAGCCAAGTTTTTTCTTGAACAGGTTCATCACCCCCTGGAATGAGCTCCATGATCATGTCGTTTCTGCTCCTTCTACAAATACCTTCAAGAACAGACTTAAGAGATATAGGCGCTACCACCCACCATTCCTAGTCATCAATCCTATCCTATATATGTCTTCTGTCGATCCTTCCATGTACCATCCTACCGGACATGAGCTGAGCACCAAATAGACCAAGTCTAAGCTAGCTCATCAACCTTAACCTTACTCATTCTCGTGTCTGTTGTACACTGTGTCAGCTCAAAACACCAAATGATCCTGGTGATCCTGGAAAATGATTCCTGATTATCCGGATGCTGAATGCACGCATAAAATGCTTTCTGCCATAGTCTGTTTTTGTTTTTAGTAAACTGTGTTATCAAATCATGCTTATTGGGTAGGTAACTATGTTAGATTGTTTACTGGTATGGCAGTGTTCTACAAGAGGAAACCTAAAGTTTAATTATTTTCACTTATGTTTTGTTGCTAATTGGGCATTTTCATTTCAGGACTGGAGAACACATGAGTAAAGCTGACTGATATCAATATCAGCATTCCCTTGCTGGGCCATTGTGGCATGTGATATCATTTGAATGTTTCTGTCTTGAATCTGTCTGAAAGATGGCAGGTGTGAGAACTGTGGGAGCCAGTGGTTTGTTACTAGCAAGGCACATTGTGTCTGCCATACGCTGGTGCTCACCGCTGGGGATACTGTCAAAGCATCCCCAGCAGAATCATGTGGCATTGAGCAAATGTCTGCAGCAACTCACTCTCACATCATCAAGGCATATTACATTGTAAGTTTTAAGTTATCTCATCAAATCTGGGAAACCTTCTATCAGTTACTCTCTGTGTGTAGCAATGCTAATTGCTAAGTGCACCTTGTTTTTGCTGTCTTCTGGGAACCCAAGTTGTGTTTCTCACTGAAGTCTAAAAGCGCTGTGCTTTTATATGCACTATGCAATCAATGCCTTTCTTTGCCTCATCCAGGCCCACTGTGTGACAGCTACTCCAATGTCTTGCCATTTTCTGTGTGCCAGTGGGCGCGGTCAGCAGCAGCGCAGCTCCGTGGCGACCGTGGACGGGCCCACGGCCGGCGAGCTGCGCGCCCTCCTCCAGTTCGGCACGGACCGCGAGCTGCGCCAGTTCTGGCGGCGCACCGGCGCGCGACTGGACGTGGCGCGCGCCGCTAACGCGCTGCACGTGCTCCGCGCGCTGCAGGCCGAGGGAGTGGCGCCGCCGGCCATCAAACGACATCCGGCGCTGCTCAACATTAAAAAGGGTCAGCTTCTATAGTATGTGTAGTATGTCTGCTAATATAAACTAAAGCAGCTATTTTCCCATTCCCTTACGAAAAGTCGGGAAAATGCTACCCATGGCTGGACCTCTCCCTGGCGGCGTTCCCGTAAAAGGCGAAGGAAGGGGCGCTTTACGCCCGCTTCTAACTCGGTTTCTGGGCTATGTTATGCCAAAAGTCAAGTGAGGTTTGAAAGGTCTTCATAAGTTACCTTTCAAAAGGTCACTTATGAAGAAGGGTTTTTAGGTGATCAGTCTCCAAATTATATTTTTCTGAAGTCGTTTTTAACACAAATGGCTCGTAACTCGCAAACAAACTCGTAATAAAACAACTCGTAAGCAACATCGCAAAAAAAAAAACAATGGAAAGCATTTCGAAACCCTAATTTTGTCGTCGTCACACCTGACCTTGTCAAACGCCTAGCCTACGGTGGGCAACAACCGTCAGTGCCGTAAACAAAATGGGAAAGAAATCGATCATTAACATGACACAAATGTACTGCTATCGTTTTTTTCCGATGCTAACCGTAGGCTCCATGGTTCTGGTTCCGATGCTTCCATCTACAACCGTCAATGCTATCGCATTTTTTTCCGAAAACGTTTTAATAAATGCATGTCAGTGTTGCCATCGTGTCAATTTACCGCGGTGACTGCATTTTTCATCTACTGTGTACTGTGTTCCTCTGTATACTGAAACACCCTCACCCATCCTTTTCCTCTGTTTTGCGCAGCGCGGCTGTCGGAGCAGCTGTCGTCCCTGCGGCGGCTGCCAGCCCCCGTCGGTGAGGTGTTTCCCCTGCTGCTGCTGCGTGCCGACCAGCTGCGCGCGGCCGTCCGCGCTGCCGGCCGGGACGGGCAGCTCGCCTTCCCGGGTCACCGCAGCCGGCTGCACTACTTGGCCGACCAGCTGCAGGTCAGAAACGACGGCAGGCGCCCGGGATCGGAGCGGGTCGGGGGACACGTTCCTCTTTGTGGCCGGTGTGGTAATTTGTCACGACACAAACGACCTGTTCCAGTACTGTTTTAGCTCGCCAGAGTCTGTCAGTATTGTTGACTTGTTTCTATTCGGTTTGAAATGTGTGTGTGTGCTGCTGCTTGCAGACTGGCCTGGAGACGTTGTGTGCGGCCGTCAGAAGGAATCCGTCCATTCTGACGTTCCCCGGCAGTCGCATCACGGAGATCACCCGACTGATGATCGGTATGTGTGAAACAATCAACGCCTGAAACTTCTTCATAAATGGCCAGATTTTCCTTCAGCGTCTAGTGATGTGTCATGCATCGATAATAAGGCCAGGCATCCATCTCACTTTTATGCTTTGTATGCATTTTAATTGATTTTAACGTATCGTCCGCACACAAATGATTTTAAGTCGGTCATCATTCGCATTGCTCGTCCCCATGTACACAAAGTTCCCCAGCTTAATGTTTCATTCACTCCGCCCGGTCTAACGACACCCTTGACCCCAATCCGTAGACGGCGGCATCCCCCGGGACGCCATCCTGGACGACCCGTACATCTACAACCACAACGTGTCGGTGATGCGCGAGCGGCTGGAGTGGGTGCACCGGGTCCAGCTGCGACCGCTGAGGCCGTGGATGCTGCGCTGCGCAGAGCACACCCTACAGGAGTGAGTGCGGCAGCGCTGGTGTACGAGTTGTGCGCGCGAGGGGGCAGGGTATCGTTCACTTACTGGGGATACATGAGAAGATTAAATGCGTATTACATATAGATTACAATGATGCTGAGCGAGTAGAAAAATCCGTTCGTTGTTCGTATTTACTCGCTCATGTCTTCGAGGTCAAGTGCTCATTTGCTAAACGTTCTAGCCCTAATGCCCTAACATAGTCTCCTGGCACGACGTCAGTCACTGCTAACGACTTATAAAGTTCCGGTCACCAACCTTTCAGGGATGCAGCCGATGCCGTCCATTTTCGGATGCAGCACCGTTATGTAGCTAATGTGTTATTGCCGTCGCTACCTAATGTGTTGCTGTCCCCGCTGGCTGGCAGTTGTGTTACCGTGTGTTACCAGCTGCTGACCGGTGTGTTACCTTGTGCTACCAGCTGACCGGTGTTTTGCCGTGTGTTACCGACTGACCGGCGTGTTACCGTGCGTTACCGGCCGATCGGCGCGTTACTGTGTGTTATTGCCTGGCCTGTGTTTTACCGTGTGTTACCGGCTGACCTGTGTTTTACCGCGTTTTACTGACTGGCCTGTGCTGTAACGTGTTTTCAGTGACCGCTGTATTGCCGTGTTTTACCGTCTGACTGGTGCGTGTGTCCGCAGGCACGTGGAGCGGTTTCAGCTGCGGCTGGCCATCCTCTCTGAACACGGGGACGAGGTGACCTACCTGAGCGAGCGGCTCGGCCTGGGCCGCGCCCGGGTCTCCGCCTTTCGACAGCGGCACCCCCCGGCGCTGCGCGTCAGCGTCATCAAGATGAAGGAGGTGCTGGACGTGCTGCTGGCCTACGGCATCAGCGGCGAGCAGGTGGCCGACCAGCCGCGCATCCTCTGCTACAGCGCGCGCCGCATCCGCGAGCGGTGCGAGCGGCTGCGCGCCGCCGGACTGCGGCCCGCCAGCCTCTTGGTGCTCTGCAAAACGCCCAAAGACTTTGACCGCTACATGGCGGCGGCCACGGGGGCAGAAGGCCTGGCAACGGTCCCCGATACGGCCAGTGCGGCGGGCGAACGGACCGCGGGGGATGCCAGTCCACGGACACCAGCGTAACCTCTGAGTGACGCCGCGTGACCTCTGTGTGACGCCGTGTGAACTCTGTGTGATGCCGCGTGACCTGTGTGACGCCGTGTGACCTCTGTGTGACGCCGCTGGGAGTAGTGCTGTGATTGATGCGCTGTCGATACTGTGCCTGTGGTCGGCGTGAATATTATTTGCTGAGGGGAGCCGCTGCCCGTGAGATACCGTGGGTACGAGTAGAGCTTATAAATGTGGCTCGACTCGAGTGCCCGACTTCGATCACTGATCAGTCAGTGTGTTTTGTCAAATTGGTCTAACGAATGTGGATAAAAAGACGAGTATGGAGCTTCGTTCGTATGTCGGGTGCTGGATTATCATTGCGACGCGTGTATAACGAACAACCAAAGTCTTAGACTGGTAGTTTGTGCAGACCAATCCTACACCTGCGTCCTTAGCGGGAGCGTGATGCTTTCCATAAGACATGGACATAAAGGAGCCTGGAAAGGTCGCACCCTTGCGGACTGCGACCTTTTATGCATCATACATTATCTTGGGGAATGATACTACTCCCAGTCCCGCTTCTCCCTTCTCTGCTTGGCAGCAGTGGCAAGGCAATCTCAAATTGCCTTCTGCGCTACCAAGGCTATGTAAACGATGTAAACCGTGCTACTATTCCCACAGTTTAGGTATATGCATAGGTAGGTACTTTTCCCATACAGAAGGACGCAGCTTGAAGGATTTACCAGGCTTCGTCGCACATCAACTTTCAGAAGCGTACACTTCTGTCTTCTGCAGAGATATTTAGCATGCTGGTCGAGAATCAGAGGCAGAACGCATAGTTTTCATCGTTTCGGGTGGCCGCAAGTATTCATATCGTTCATATGTATGTACTTCTTATTTTATGGTACTTTCTCCGTTATTGCCCACCACTGTGGCATGTGACGACAGTTATGGCGAGGGCGTATGCAATTGTTTGCCGCAATCTTTCAATCTGTTCACAATTTATACTTGCAGCAGCGCGCGTTCATATGCCACGATTGTGATTGGCATGCTTTTACACATGGGCTCGTGATTGGTAGGTGGTTGTACGAATAGATGTGCTTTTCATAGATAAAACATGCTTTCAGTCTGATTTGCCGGTACCGTATGTTGAATGGCTGGCCGGTGGGGAGCTGTTTGAGTCTGAAAATAATATCAAGGAAAAAATAGCAAAATATATTTTAATATTTCAAGCAGAGTAGTTCCCTGTAGCAACAAATTATTTTTTCATGTTGCAAGGATATCCATCAATTTTGTATTATAGAAGGAAGGTTAGTAGGGCTTTTGTCGCAATAACATTTTTTGTGTAGGTAGGTAATATTGTTTATGATTTAATTAAAATAATAAGTACTGTAAAGTTTATGTTGTCAAACTCAGAATATCAAAGGATAACTCTTCTTTGTATTTAAATCTTCTACACTCGGCAGTTTGATGGGCTACCTATCTATGTTGCAAGCCGGTCATCACAATTCGCAACGGGTCTTGTTGGTACAGGGTCACTCGACCAGTGTGGTGCTGTTATTTAGATTTACTGGGGTGCAGTGCATATTTTTCTTGGAGCAGTACTGTCCTAACATGATAGATATTGTGCTGATTTATGCTGGGATACCTATCAAAGTGTGTCCATAATTCGGACGCCGGTGAAAACGGTGTCGGAGGGCATATTAGTCACGTGACATTTGGAGCTTCTCCCCCTCCGTGGGCCTTCTACATACCAAACGTCACGTGTAAATTTCACGAACCTTGATCAAATCGCCCCAGGCGCCCTGTTTTCACCGTCGTCCCATAATTCATGAAAATGATGTAAGAATGACTGAAGGGGTTTGCCATTAAGTCACTTTTTTGTTTAAATAAGTGCCCTTCTGTTGAGAATTTCTTTTCATATCAGAAGTGTGGGCATCTAAATTTTATGGTGAAAGTCTCAGGTCTTTTTTGTATTGGCTGGCAATGATTTTCAAATGGGTTGGTGTGGGTTGATGTGGGTTTGTCAGTTGTCACCCTGGGTGGAGTGGCTGGCTGACTGTGCTGCCATGTCTTGCACTGGCTGCAACTTCCATGGTGGCACTATCACTTGGATGGTGCAGTTAACTTATTGTCACAATCAGGGCCATTCAGACTTCAGGTAGCAGTTGTTCTTATGCCTGTTGCTACCTGCTTAAATTGAGTATTGGTACTGTGCATTTCTACCAGAAGTCATTCTTCTAGGGGCTTCATGGCCATAGCTTTAATCAAGGCTATATAAACCAGGTAGAACGTTCCCGACGAAAAAGTGGTGACAAGCGATAATTAGTAGCTGCGACCCTCACTTGTTCAAAACTATATCCGCAAGCAGCATTTACAGGCTAGCGGAAATCGACCAATCGGCGTTCGGCAATACTCGACGCTGATTGGCCCGATGCTCGTGACGAAATTGCGGGGGACTGTAGCTATTCCCCTATGGCGTTTAATAGACTTACGGCTTTTGAAGGGGGTTTATACCAGTTTTTGTTGGGTTTGAGGCCATTTTGAGCTTGGATATTCTTTCTGTGACTTTTGAATGTGTAATAACGACATTTAATCATAACATTTCTATATACTACCGGTGTCACATCGGCCAAAAAGACCGTAAGTGCATGGGATAGACGGACCACTGCTGATGGTGCCACACATGTCGGCGTGTGGTCATCGGAGGTCCATGAGGGCTCGACATAGGTCCTTCATGGGTCGGTATAGGCCCGGTGGGTCCAGTGCAAGCCTATCAGGGGCCGGTGCTGACCCAACAGGGCCCAGTGGAATATAACGTAAGGCTGTCTAGGGACGTTGAGGGCTCATGGGGGCCATATAGGACCAATAGGGACCACATGAGTCAATCAGGGGCCATTTAGGCCAATAAAGGCACTTCAGGGGACTTGAAAAGGTCATTCAAGAGCTGTGGTGGGCCCATGAGGGGACAGCATTGGTTCAGCAGGTGCAGTCAGGGGATGTTGTACGGGTTTCTCAGTGGCCCATTTGGGCATATCAGTGACCAATTTGGACCCAGCAGGGGGCTTTGTATAGACCTATCAGGGGCTGGTGATGGTTCATCAGGGGCCAGCGTTAGTCCATCGGGGCACGGCATATGCCCATCAGAGGTAATTGCGAGCCCACGCTGAACAATGATGGCCCTTCAACGGCCCCTAATGGATCTACATTGACCCATGGGCCATGATGTGTCATGTATGCCCCTATGACAGGCCTACTCAGACCCCTGATGGACATTCCCGGCCTCTGATGACCCTATACTGAATGCTGATGGGGGCTCTAAGTTTCTCCAATAACCCTTCGTCAACCCATTATTACCATACGCTGGCACTAGGGGCCCCACATCAGCCGCAGGGCAGTCCGTGCCATGACAGCATGTCTTTTCGGCCGATATTACATCGGTAATATTTATTAAAATCATGATTTTATGGTGTCATTATATAGCTAACAGTCATAAGAAATATATTTCAACTCGAAAACAGCTCCAAACAGCATATAATTTTAAAGAAACTCCTCCGAAATCCAAAAGCCTATTCGGGTCCATAGAGAATAACTGCGGTCCCCCGCAATTTCGTCACGAGCGTCGGACCAATCAGCGTCGAGTACTGCCGAGCGCTGATTGGTGAATTTTCCGCTAGCGTGTAAGTACTGCTCGCGGAACAAGAGTTCGTCGACAATCCTCCACAAACGTCTGTCACCATTTTTCGTAATGCTAAACAGCCGGAGCGTACCCCCCTGGCTTTAATGCACCTCATAGGCTAACCTTAAACTCTGTCTCAGTAGAGAAGCTGGTGCAAGGGGGAGCTGGGCTGCAGGCTGGGTGTATTCATCTGATGAGGGTCAGATTTTTAGGAAACATTAACCCTATTCCTGGCGGGCTCCGCCGGGACAAGAAACTGGCGGGGGGGGCCGATTCGGCCCCCCCTGAGATCTCGAGAACGAAGCAAGATAGCGACAAGCGGTAAACGGCATCGGATACGCACGGCCAAGATCTACAATTTTTACTAAGGTCATTTTCAGGTCAGGTCAAAGATGACGTCACAGGGGTCGAAAAAGTCAAAATGGCGGCACTAGATATGGAGAGAGTTTTTCTCGAATAACTTTCGAATTAGTCAAGATAGGAACAAACTAAGGGCATCATCGTGATCCTCTCGTCAATCCGCATCGAATGATATATATGTTGACCTCGAAAGGTCAAGGTCAAAGGTTGACCTCAGGTCACGTGACCTCGAGGTCATCATGTATATCATTCGATGCGTCTTGACGAGCTGAACACAATGAGACCATCCACGCGTCTGTATCTTGTTCCTGTACGGAGTTATTGGCCAAAAACCTTTGGTGACCTTTGATGACGTCACATGACCTCACAGCTGCCCAACAGCAAAACAGACCTCAAGGTAGTGAAGGTTGATCGTATATGAAGTCATGTATGGTATATGGGGCCATTCCGACCCGTTTTAGTGGTAAAAACAGGGAGTTGATTTTTCCCCCATTGACTTATAATGGGGAGGTCGCGAAATTGACCTGACCTTAGGTCACCGATATCAAAATTCCGAGATATACAAATTGCACATACTGATACCCTAACTAAACCCTGAAGAGAAGAAATTGATCGGTCAAAAACTCTAGCTCTGGCGTGATTGCAAACTTTTCTGAGGTAGCGTCACCAAACCGCCTCTGGTGACCTGACCTGAGGTCAGATCAACTCAAAATTTTCAGACATGTTGCGTAGAAGCCTTTTAGGAAAAGTCAGAAAATTTGAGCTTCCTAGCTCAACGCGTTTGGGAGATATAACCAAAAAACCTCAGGGGGGGGGGCTCCTGAGGCCCCCCCCCCGCCAGGAATAGGGTTAACTATTAAGTATTTCTTACAAATAGGAAACTGAGGGTAGATTTGAATATGTATTTACCAAGTCATGCATTCTTTCTAATTTCTAACAAAGACTATTGTGCATTATGAAATAAAGCCATCTAGTTTTTCATTAATCATGAAACTCAGCACATTTGCTACTAGAAAATTAATGGTATCTCAAAAACATCAGTCAAGTCTAATAGTGGCATATCAGAAAAAAATTGATAGGTCTTAAGAATATAGTTGTGATGTGACATGTCCAGCCCCCTGTGGCGTTGGTTGCTGACTGTGTCTGCTTTTCTTATTTACAGTGAGCTGCCAGATCCACATCATGGACAGCCAGGGCCGTAAGGTGATTGTGTGTGACAATGGCACCGGGTTCGTCAAATGCGGCTATGCGGGCGCTAACTTCCCGGCGCACATTTTCCCGTCGATCGTCGGCCGGCCGATTATCCGCGCCGAGAACAAGGTCGAGGGCATCGAGGTCAAGGACCTGATGGTGGGTGACGAGGCGAGCAAGCTGCGCTCGATGCTGCAGGTCGGCTATCCGATGGAGAACGGCATTGTCCGCAACTGGGAGGACATGCTGCACGTGTGGGACTACACGTTCGGCTCGGAGAAGATGAACATCGCGCCGCGCGAGTGCAAGGTGATGCTCACAGAGCCGCCCATGAACCCCGTGCGCAATCGCGAGCGCATGATCGAGGTCATGTTCGAGAAGTACGGGTTCGCCGGCGCGTACGTGGCCATCCAGGCGGTGCTGACGCTGTACGCGCAGGGTCTGCTCACCGGCGTGGTGGTGGACTCTGGCGACGGCGTGACACACGTGTGTCCCGTGTACGAGGGCTTCGCGCTGCCGCACCTGACGCGGCGGCTAGACATCGCCGGCCGCGACATCACCCGCTACATGATCAAACTGCTGCTGCTGCGCGGCTACGCCTTCAACCACTCGGCCGACTTCGAGACGGTGCGTATGATGAAGGAGAAGCTGTGTTACGTCGGCTACAACATCGAGCAGGAGCAGCGGCTGGCGCTGGAGACCACCGTGCTGGTCGAGTCCTACACGCTCCCCGACGGACGGATCATCAAGGTCGGCGGCGAGCGGTTTGAGGCGCCCGAGGCGCTCTTCCAGCCGCACCTCATCAACGTCGAGGGCAACGGTGAGTGGATGAGGGAGGGGAGAAGTGTGGTTCGGAAGTGAGCGCACGACAGGGTGCGATAGGCCGCTGTCCTCAGATGACGTGCTCTCATTGTTTCACTGATCGTTCGTGTGATGTTTGGTATAATAGTGCTCGTGATGTTTTCTTACTGTGTCAGATGTTCTATAAACACAGTGGAGCGATGTGTTCGTACATAGCGGTACATATGCTTTTTGTGCTGATCGTCTGTGCTGTTTTGAAGCCAACTCCTGCCCTTTTTCTGATTGTCCTGTGGTTTACATTGATTATTCCTTTTATTTAGTACCTACGCAAGTGTTGGACTCAATACTATCGGTGTCATAGCGTAGCTGTAGCAAACAAGACATCCATAAAAGCATTGCAGTATTTGCTCAGGATAATTGAGGTGACTGTGGTTGGAGCCGAACGGTTTACGACTCCATCGTTGTCGACGATTACGACGAGGGCAAAGATGAAAGCACCCGTCCCATACGTGGGTTCGCTAGTTCGGCCACTATCGGCCACAGTTTTATGCTCTGGTAATGTCAGAGTTGTCCAAATATTTGGGAACCATGTAGTTTTTTTGTGTGGTTCTGACAATATCACAATGTTGAGTGTGCTTGCGGGCACACTCATCCCGCAAGCACCTTGCACCAAGGTGCAATTCATTAGCAAGGACCCTTGCTAATGAAGGCGTGGTGATAAAGTGAAGACTGAACTATGTTTTATTTTGTACAATCATGCTAACTGCACAGCGACAGCCTCGTTGATCAATATGGGCTGTTTATTTCTTTGGCGCCGGCTAGCTGTAGATTTACTGCTAGGTTTCTATGCATGTCTGGTCGGATGGTTCTCAAAATTACGCCTATCTTGTCCGCCCCTTAGACTGAACGTGTTGCTGCTTCTGTGACGCTTGTATACATTTGTCTTTTTGTGGGTGTCTTCCTGACGCTGTTTGACCGGATGATATGTTTGTCGGCTGTCTGTATGTGGGTGTGAATCTATCTGTCAGTATGTGACTATGCATCTGTCGTCACATGTCTGTGTATCGGTCTGTTTCACTGACGGTGCGCAAGATTGCAACTGTCGCCTGTCTGTCTCTACCCTCACCTGTGCCGCTGTCTCCGACGCTCCGTGACCAGTCTGACGGTGATTTACCGATCTCTATGTCGCCAGGTATGGCCGAGCTGGTGTTCAGCACTATTCAGTCTGCCGACATCGACATCCGGCCAGAGATGTACAAGCACATCGTGCTCTCGGGCGGCAGCACCATGTACCCGGGCCTGCCGTCGCGGCTCGAACGCGAGATCAAACAGCTCTACCTGGAGCGGGTACTCGGTGGCGACGCCGAGAAGCTGGCCAAGTTCAAGATCCGCATCGAGGACCCGCCGCGCCGCAAGGACATGGTGTTTATCGGCGGCTCGGTGCTGGCCGACGTGATGAAGGACAAGGAGAACTTCTGGATCACGCGAGAGGAGTACGCCGAGAAGGGCGTCCGCTGCCTGGACAAGCTGGGCATGCGCGTCAGCTAAGGCTGGCGCCGCGCACGTCCGTAGAATCGTTCGGCGCAGACGGAACAAATTAATCTGGAGAGGCTGATGCGGGCGCGGAGCCGACCGCGGCCGCACAGCGAGGCCAGCACCGCGCTGGGGAGACTGCGACACTCCGGGCGGGACGGCTGGGCAGTGTATTGCTGCCGTTCCGCAGCCGTTTCTTCGGATGAATAATTTTGAATGGAGATGCCTTTTTGAGGCGGGAGCTTGTTATTCGTGTGAACCAACTAAATCTTATACCGCTGGAGCCGAGTGAAGGCCAAAGTTTTACTTCTTCAGGTGAAATGCACAACACAGTGAAAGTTCGTCCGGAGCGAACGCTATTTAAGCTTGATTACGTGGTCGCCTGGTGAAATGAGATAGTATCAATCGTGCGCGTGAAATGAACGCCAGCGTTGCGAATCAGGACAGACCTCGGTCGCGTCAGATATGCGCTGCCGCCGACCGCGGTGTCTGCTTGTATCGATCAGTCGTTGTTGAATATGCTAGTGGACTTCGGTGGCTCTGCCAAGGTTATTGTGATTTTGATATCTGCGCGTGCGCCTGAATCAGCGTCGGCCGAGCTGCGGCGCGCCGCCTCCCGGCGGGCTGTGCGTGCTCTCTGATTCCGCTTGTGCTTGTGGCGGGCCGGGCGGGGCGCAGCCTCCATTCCACTGTGGACGCCCAGCCCAGTCTACTGCTCCTTACCGAGTCTACCGAGAGGGAGAGAGTCGCCGGCCAGCTCAGTACGGGCCCGCGCTTCGTATAATAAACACGTTGTTTCAGACGATCTGTGTGTGACGGTTTTGGTGGATGGAATGATCGTAGTGGGCAGTGGGCTTTGGTCACCAGTTTTCTGGAGGATTTATTGATCGTTGGTGCCGGGCCCCTGGAGGTGAAGCCATCCCGGAAGGAATATCAAAGCATCGCTTGTGTTCGTCAATGTCACTCACATACACCGGAAAAAAGATGTTCTCATGTTCGCACTTTACGATAAGATATTCGCATCCTGGCTCATAGATGCCCTAAATCTTTCGTAGTCATAGAGTGTTGCCAATTGCGATCGCCTTACGGCTATCGGTGTTGGGTGGGGACACGGACCGATTGTTGTGCGGGTTTTCAAACTGACATTTCGGTGGAGGCACACCGACGCGATTATGAGTTTTTGCAGCACAGGTGAGTACGGTTAGCGGCGAGGCATATCGACGGTGGGCGCCCGGTTAAAACGAGCAAACTGAGGTCACGGAACGCTGATGGGCGGGGCAGGCAAACCAGAATTAGTGGAAGCGGCGGTGCGCGGTAAGCGGGGCGGCGGACCGGCGGTGCTTAGGAAACTCGAGCACCGTTCGAAGAGGAAGACAGACCGGTGACGGACGGTGGTTTTGGGGAGACGGACCGGCCATAGGCGAAGCGGTCGAACCGGCCATGTCTACCGCCGGTAGACGGACCGGCGGATGTCACCGCAGACGGCGCGCCCTATCGCCGCCGGAAGTGAGTCACGGGGTGACGTTCACACGTTCACCACCCGGCGCTGGAGACGGGCTTCGGCCGTTAAGGGGGGAGGGGGAGAGGAGGTGCCGTTTATCGTAAGAGCAACGTCGGACAGTCGAGTTTGAACCCATTGTAGTGTAATATTGAACACCGATCACCGCATCCCATACGTCATCGGTGTAATCTTTACCAGCCGGCAACATGCGCCCCAGGATAGTTGTGCGGAAATCATTCTACATCAACAGACTCCCACAGCCCACTACACACATGGCGACACCTCTCGCCACCCCACATGACTCGGTAACTAACGCAACATACGGTGATGACATCACGGCTCAACACCAACTGATGAGCTCCGGAGACGCTTATATCAATCAGCGCTATGCCCAGGTTTGAGCGCTCAAACTCCACTCTGAGCGCCGCCCCCCGCCCCAGCCACCTGGTGGGTGACCTCGTGGCGTCAGAAGTGCCGTCAAAGGTATCCCGGCTCGGCAGCACAGGTGCGCCCACTCCCAGCCCGGTCGACACGGCGGCGGCGGCGGCGGCGCTCGGCTCCGCGGGGGTATCTGGGTCGGTGCCACGTCGCCGGAGTCAGTGCTCTGGTGCGGGCAGCGGCGGCGATCCGATGGAAATGACGACTCCGTACACACCGGTGTATCGCAGCTCGCAGTACGAATCGACCACGATATGCGCACAGTAGACTTGCCCAGTGTAGGATAGTCTGATCATTGTACCGGCTCGTTTACCTTAATGACTAGCAACTCTTTTAACAACTTTGTAGCTTATTATTGACGGCCAAACAATCAAGGGGTGACTGGGCACCTGGCTGGAAAGGATAAGGTACCCCGGTCGGTGTTACTAGGTGAGCTCAGTCATCACTGTTCGATACAAAGGTTTTTTTCCTTGTCGCGGGCAGTGGGATACTGTAATTTAATGCAAGTGGAGGAAACACCAGCGGGTGTGCCTTCGATTCATGACGGAATGTAGCCTATTAATCAGCTGATATTCACTAGATTCGGCAGGTATGGACCTGTTCGATTTGGCTGAAAATCGGTGACAACAACGACCACCCCCACCCCTACGACCGTTCATAATCGTCGAATCGGCGAATTGCAATGTAACAACGGGCTATTAAAAGGCTGTGTATTAGACATCTCAGAATGTGAACTAATGACTTGCTCTTCAGTCACTGGTGACACAGTCAGTCATTGATCAAGTAAGATCGAGCCAGGCTAGAAACATTTTAACTCGGCGAACAAAAGAGCATGTCAGAACGAAAAAACTTTGCAGCTGTTTTGCGAAGAGTTGAAACGAAACCCTCACCACCATCCTCCATGCACGCCAACGCCCATCGCTAAAAAGAAACAACCCTCCTGGAATCTTCAATCAGCCAGCGAGCCACAACCTCTCCAAGTTGAGAAAACACTTTCACAAAATCCCTTTATTGTTCCTCCTGTTGCGTGATGTAAAAGAGCCAAACCAACCAAACACCTTATTAGCACAGAAGCAGTATGGATTGATGCTCGCTCGTGGCGCGGGCCAGCGGTGGCGTTGTACTGTTCCTGCGGCCGGCGCGGCCGGCAGTGGCGAACCGTCGCACCGGCGTGCCACGGAGGAGAGCAGCAGGGAGGGACCTCGGCGCGCGCGCGGCGCCACGCCGCTAGTCCTTGGACACGGGCACCGCCTGCGGCGCAGCGCCGGACGCCTTCTTCTTCTTCTTGTTGGCACTTTTCTTGTCGAGCGGAGTTGCTAGCAGGGACTGTGAAAAGAGGAATGGGTGAGTGTAACGATCTAAAATGCCACATGAGACGCCCGCCCATAAAATGCATGATCCCGGCCAAATCGAAAATACGGAAAAGTTTGCTATAGCTTACGTTTGCTTAAGCCTTTGACGGTCTGACAAGAAACGATGAATTGACACACCCAAGCTTAACACGTTCATCAGGAAGCAAAAAAAAAAAAAAAAAAAAATCCTACGATGGACACACTGCAGGCAAAATACCTAGCGGTAAAACTGCTGCAATTACTTTTCCAGAAAGAAAACTACCGCAAAATGAAAAAGCAATGCCATATTTTTATATACGCTAGATCTGGTTCCATTTCGGCCACGTTATCTATGCCTTAGCTTGACCAGTCCGATCCCTCCCACCTCCTCTTCCCCAGGCGTACCTTGGCGTCCTCGTCCTGGATCGAGTGCTCTGACTGACATGTCTCCGGGTCGAAGGGCACTCCGGTGATCTTGCGCGTGCCGTTGGGCATCAGGAGGATGGTCGACTTGAACTGGGCCACCAGTTGGTCTGCGAGGTTCGGACGGGGTCGGTAATCGGCTCGTCAGCTCGGGTGAACTCTTTCCCAAAATATCCCGGCATGAAATTGTGAGAATAGCATCCGATTCATGCCACTGCGTTCGTTTGGTGAAATGCTTTTTTTATTTTGACGGTAAACGCTTCGAGCATAATTTAAGATTGTTAAGAGCACAATATCCCATTTCTCGAAGAACTTCCTCCCACACGCACACAAATTGTTATGTTCCAATGATAAGTTGAACGATGTCGATATCGATAGTTAGTTCAAGCCTTGCACGTCCGTTGCAGGCTTCAGAATCTGCAGAGCGACGCGCTATCTTATCGTGCAGGACGGTGCAGTTACTTTTGACGCGTGACGCAACAGTAAACATTGAGACGCGAGCCTCACAGCCCTGTACAGGACTCGATATCGACCCACGTCGGACAGCCGATACGCACCTGACTTTTCGTAGAGGACCTGGAACGGCTCTATTAACCTGTGGTTGACACACTCGACCACGCCTAGCTTCGCCTTCTTCTCGTCATCCATTATCCTGTGGGTGGAGAGCGGAGTCCGGTCGTCAGACACAGCAGAAGCCAGAAATTACTCATGTTTACATAGCTACACAGTGCACAGTGCACAGTGCACAACTCTATCTCGTTCGTGCTTGAACCTAATCGTATTCCGCTCCAGACGAGTTCAGAATTTATTGATTAAAACCAACGTCTCACCAAGAATGGACTCTGACACCTCGACAACCGTATGTTGCGGCTGCTGACTGAATGTGGGCAATCACGCGATGGTGGTTGAATGTCGTCATCAACGGAAACTCGGCCAGACAAAAATAATAAACGCAGTTACTGCGAACGCACCTGAGGTTGAACGGCATAGTACCACACTTCTTGTTGACTTGCGAGAGGAACTCGCGTGATGTCTTCATCTTGAGACTGTACACTTCGTCGGTTTTCTTGTAGACTGTGGTGCGTGCGTCTAGCTCCCGTGCCTGTCAAATGAAGCGAATATGAGTCAGCTTACACGGCACCTAGAAGTGCTTCACCTATATTTTATACACGACGCACTAGTTAGTTACCCTTGCTTTCGCTTTTACGTAAGTGCACTGCCGACATCACAAAACTGCCGTTTCTACACTCAAAATCTTTTGCAGGGCGGTCACACACGTGCAATGCCGTCCTTTGGCTTCCAAAAACGCAAACTACATATTGACCTCCCATCAGCCTGTCATCGCACAATCCCTCCCGGCCTGTTTTCGTCCCTCGCTCCCCGACCTGCACCCTACTCAGTCTCCAGCGTTCCACCACGTACCGTTCCCTCGCCGGTGGAGATAAGTACGTCGAGGCCGTACACCTCGTGTTTCTCAAAGTCGCACTTCTCGTGCTCTTTGCGCTGGCCCTCGTTCGGGTTCTGGATGATTGTCTTCTCGCCGTTGATAACGTTCTGTTTCAGCTGGTGCGACAGCATGCCCTCGATCGGCTTCGTTTTGAACTCGCTGGCGATCTTGGTCACCATATCGGTCACGGTGTAGTTCTGCCGGCACAGACAAGATGATGGTAACAGGGTCGTTTTAGCGAGCAGACCACACAAAGTTCTAGGTGCGGAGGACCGACAAAACCATATCACCATCGGAGCTCCATTATTAGCCAGAGTTGATCACATAAACGCTGTTGTAACTATTACTAACGAGCATCGCATCGACGGGAAAACAGGTTGTTGTTATTTGTTTGTTGGGGTTAGGGGCGCGCCGACTACAAGGTCATTTTGCGCCTATGAAAAAACTAACATTATGCTACCGTCTACACTACACTACAAACCTTCCCCGTCGCACCGGGCCTTCTCCGTCATTTCACTGACCTCCTGACCCGGCTTGGTGAGCCGGAGCGCCGCCTCGAAGGCGTAGTGGGCCGCCAGCAGCACATCTGCCTTGCGTCCCGTCACCTTGTTCTCCTTACCGGCGCCCACCACCAGACTGTGCGCCACTACCGCCGGGAAGCCGTCCACGTGACTGCCCAGGTCACTGCGGAGGCGGCGAGTGGGCGTCAGTGCCAGCCGGTAACACGTGGGGTACACCGCACAGGTACAAACTGGTTACTACACAGGCGCGAGCCACACGGGTCATGGGTTACAGGATCATGATCGAGGACTTTTATCCCAATTAGATTTAGGTCAGCTGTGGCATCTAAAAAAATGCATCTTGTCTAGATCAGGCAACATGAAACTAAAGTAGCACCATAAAGTACAATTTCCACTTTCCACTTTCAACAATCACTCAGCTTCCATCAACATGATGCCACATAAAACATCACCAAAAGTAAGTTCTTTTAACCCTCGCACGACCAGGCCATTTCTCATAACACGAACGACCAGGGGGGGGGGTTGTTACGACCCCCCCCCCCTGGCGTTTCGAAACGGAAGGTCGTAGAGCTTAGCGGAAAAAAACAAAGGATTGCTCTCAACGAGATCTCGCGATTGGTGGTATATTTTTTGGTCCTAGGTCAACATTTGACCTACTTATGACCGGTCAAAGGTCAAATTTTCCGAAAAAATCAAACTTTTTCAACTTTCCGCGGCGATTGCGGCAAAACGGTGGGAGATATCGACTTGAAACCTTCACTATCGTGTTCCTTGATCAATTCTCTATCGTTTGGTATGTATTTCGTTTCCCTAGCTCTAAAAATGGCGCGTTGGGAGCGCCGGAAGTCCGCAAGGTCACAGTCGGCGGCAGAAATTCGAAAAATCAAAATTTAAATTTTTGAAATCTGATTGTATTTTTGGATTTGGGAGGTCCATTTGCTCCCTATAGAAGCTAATATTGCTGCATATTCCCATTGAGGTGACAAGAATTAGCAAAATAGTGGTTCGGGCGCTTTTCAAAAATAGTACCAGACGCTGTTCCTCTTGTGACGTCATAGCTCCGTGACCTGACCTGACCCGGTCAATTTTCTTGCACCACACGATAGCCAATGCTTGCCCCAACATGCATGGGAAGTTTCATCATGATCCATCAAACAATGTGGGTATCACCGGCAGAAAACCTAGGGATTCGGCGCACACGTTTGGTAACTGTCGGCCGGAGGCTGTACCTCTTATGACGTCATAACTCCGTGACCTGACATGACCCGATCATTTTTTTTTCGGCAAAAGATGCGCAAAGGTTGCCCCAGAGGGTATTGAAAATTTCAGCCCGCTACGACAAGCCGTTTAGCGTGCACTTCGAAAAAACCTCAGGGGGGGGGGGGTTGATACAACCCCCCCCCCCTAGGCGTTCTAGGGTTAAGAGGGATGTGGAGTCAGAGTCGGAGTCACCGAAAATCCATCGACTCCGCAGCCCTGCTGGCTACTTATAACAAGAAGCAAACATCTACTGACATTAGTAACCTCACACTGCACAGAAACCGCGGGAGGTCGTAGATGCGTATCGGCGGGCAGCCGACCCAAGAGACCTGCCCACACCCAGTCACGGCGGTAAGAAACCATCTCAGCTTTCAGTCACGCAACAACCGCCCACCTCCCCCGTCCGACAGCTCCTCCCCACTGGAGGAAAGTCCAGTGGGGGGAGGGGGACCGGAACGCGGCCGAAGCCAAGCGACCGAGACCGACAAACAGCGACACCTATATCCAAGCTGTAAAAATCCGGAAGTATTACTTGTATGTCAAGGGCGGTGTCTCACCGACGCCGCCAGCGCATTTCGCGAGCTGACGTCATACTTGTGGTAGTATTGGAGCTGCTATGGGCTTGTTAATGTTTGCATGGAAACCCAAACTGCCATGTGTGCTGGCAGCGTCGGTGAAACACCACCCAGGACGTCGTTTTAAGCGCGAGATGACCGTCTTTGCTACGACTTTTCAGCATAAATGACTAACGGCGAATCAGGTCATTTTTAACTGTCTGAGCTAGCCGTTGGTGGCTGTTTATGGCTGCATCTGAGGTATGTCTGCATCTAAACTGACATTTTCACCAGGTCTCCGTCGGCCAGCGTCGTATCCGGATCCGAGTTGAGAGGCGAGTAGTGACCGATGCAGTGGTTGACGGCCACGCACGTCGGAAACGCGATACCTGGCCCACGAGCAGAGCGCGTCAGTCACGGCCAACAGCGCTGGCACATGTGCCGATTGGTGGGTGTGATGTGAGGTGTGCAACCAGATGTCAACACACAGGTAAATTGCAATGAGAAACAGGACAGGTGTTTAATCTATTGGAACAAAGCAGATGCAGACAGATAACATACCAAAATGTTTGTGATGTCAATAAACCTCAGAATCAGAGAATCAGATGTTTAATCTTATTCATTGTCATTGACCAAATAACCTAAAAATTAATGGTGCCTGGTACAAACATGTTTATTTTTAATTTACAATAGATAAACTAGCACCCTTGTAAACAGCAGCAGATTGTATGCTATACAAGTTACCTTTCTTGAGGTTCTTGTCTTTTCTGTAGACTTTGGCCAATTCTTCTTCCATGCAGGCATCTCCTGCCTTGCAAAGCTCCCTCACTGAAGCTCCAGCAACACACTTTGCAATGATTGCTTTCAGGGCCTCTGTGAATCACACACATGATATAGTACATTAATTTGCCATGTTTGCTCATGCTTGATAATAATGCTTAGACATAATACCATATAAACAATATGCCAAACAGAAAATATTTTACATTTTTCTACCAGCATTTGTAAGCATATTCATTTGTCCTAGTTAGGAGTAAATGATACAAGGAAAGAGCCATTCATAAAATAGGTAGGTTACATCTTCCCAATGAAAAACTAATGTGTTGAAAAATGACTTTAATTCATTCAGATATTGCTGTCAGTTAACTTTCCCAAATGTATTCCAGTTAAAAGAAAATGCTGGCAAAATTTTAGTGCCTATATTGTCAACTGGTTTTCAATAAAACATTTGCAGGGTTTATATACCAGGGTCAATAAATTCACAAGTAGAGATAATATTGGAAGTTAAATTAGGCAATAAAACTGCCTTTAAAGCAGACAAATTATATAAAGAAAAACAACTGAAAACAAGTTGTCAAGAGTATGGTATCAAGATAACTAAGCAAGCAAAACACTGGCACTCAGTTACACACTTATTTGCTGTGAACCATATCAATATTAGGAATTCAGTACTCATGTTATTATGAAAGAACAAAGTTACCATTTAAACTGCATATATGATATTGGAGTTAATAACCTTGCTATCTTATCATTATTCATTCTGAAAGGCATGAAAAATCGCAGGAAAGTAGGTACATTTACATGAAGTCAAGCAGTTTTGAAAGTGAGGTTGCGTAGCATTTATCAGCTATCTGATCAATGGTAATTTATGTAAAATTATGATCCAAATGGAATTTTTAACAGATTTTATATTAAATTGGCTAAAGTTACAGTAAATTAACTAGCCAGAAATAATCTACAAACATATGGAGCCATATAAATGTCACTGAGCGACATTGCCCACAACGCATACTGTTGTTGATGTAAGCCACTTGATAAGAGGGGACAACTAGAAGTGAAATTTACCATGAGGTTAGCGATGTAATGCTGACCCACTTAAACCGAGATTTTTTCATCTTGATCTGCATTAAAAAAATCCATATGCTGTATATAAATTTGAATGCTCCAAAGCCTCATACGCAGACTACACCTGACAAAGTGGTACAAAAAACAATGGAAGCTTAATATATAAAAAACAAAGTTATTTGCAAAACCGGAAATTAGGTAAAATAATCGACGCAACGTGCTTCGACAAATCTAGCGCCCACGATGCTTTCACCTAAACGTAAGATCCGTGAACTTACTGTTGGTAACTTCAGCTGCCGTCTGATATTTAGTGACCACGACATCCTCAGCAATAGTCTTCTCCTGCTCATCTTCCTCCTTGGACGCCATTTCTGCAAATAAAATTTGCCTTATACTAAAATTAAAACTCCACGGCGACCCGCCAACAACATGCGAGCATGAGAAATGCAGTGTTCCCCTTAGTTCTGCAAATTGATTCACACAATGGCTATACACCTAGTGTTATTTCTAGCACCTAAATGTTTATTTTTTTATTGTTTGTCATTGCTTTTTATTTAATAGTTCAAAATATATTTTATTTTATTTACATAAGAATATTAGCATCAAAAATTGACAAAAATACATAGTACAATGAAAATAAGCAAAAGTAAAAAAGGAGGGAAAATACTGTAAATAAACGTATAAGCTAAACCTAGCGGTATACAGCATAACTAGGGGTTAAAGTGATCATTGTAAATGTTTTTGTTTAAAAATAAAAAAAAATTGCAAAATAATAAAAATAAATTAACAATTGACCATTCATTAACAATCGACATTAACTAACAATCGACAATTCATCGTGAAATGCTTGCTGGCTTGCGTCGCTTGCGTCAAAGTACACTGCTTTTGTTTGTTTTATACATGGGGTACTTTTGTGATTTCGTCGTTTAGGTTACATCACGCAATAATTTTCATAATCAGGAAAAATATATTGGATGTGGGGTCGCTTATATGAATGAATTTAGGTGTATCCTACTGGGTGGTTTATTAGTGGGCAAGTTAAAAGCCTTGGGATATTTAGCATTTGTTAGAAATCAAAATCAAAATAGTTCTTTTTTGCTTGATGTGATGGTCAAGCTGCTTTTGCGGAATTTGCTCCAATTGATTACCTTCTTTGTTCATCTTGATCTTCTGGGTTTCAAATTGACATGCTGTCATGCTGTTTAATTGTATCTTTTTTTATTTTTTTAATTTTCTTGTGTACCTATTTGTTACGAGTTTTCATTAGCTGCGCTTACATAGGTTTTGTTGCAAGCTTATAGCTCCGCCCAGTATGTTGCGAAAGATGCCAATGGTGCTGTACAATTTATAAAATAATCCCCTCTAAATATACAAAGATCACTGCATCAGAATTATAGCAAAATAAATGAGCTAGAGCCTCTCAAAAATGCTATGCAAGCACAACTATTTGTTGATTGGGTGATACCTACTCTTTGTCTTACTTTCAGGATGCCTCCTTTTTAACCTCCTAATCTGCAACCGTGGCAAGAGCATACTTTACTCCTGAGTCCTGGTAGCACTGTTGGTAATGACAGTCTGAAGTAGGTACCTACCTACTGGTGTGGAGTGGAGTGGAGTTCACACCACAATTAGCAGAGTGAGCAGGACCATTCACTGCTTCTTGTTCATAAGTCACAGTTTTGTAGGACAAGTAGACAGGTCCCAAAAGAACATTAATAAAATCAGCATTGCTAACAGGGGCATGCCCCATTGCTAGTTACAATAGAGCTAATTCATTGATCAAATGATGCTAAATGCAACAATGGCTTCCATTATTCGCAATGAGGTTAAATGTATTTGTTTTTATGCCTTTTTAGCATTTTCTTGGTAGTAAATATCTTAGTTTGGGTTAATTGTTGGAAGTTCATTGGTTCAATTATCTTATGTTATTTACAGATGGTCCTCTGTTTGGCCAACAATGTTCCCAAGAGTTTCTGTAACTGTCGATTCATGATGCTCATGGCTTCTTATTTCTTAATGTTTTCTAAGCCATGTTGACTATGCTACCTACTTATCAGTCTGCTCCACTGCTCCTAAAAAGTAATTGCACTCAGTGAAAGCAATTGGTCTGGCTCTTCTACTGTGTTGTTACTTTCCTAGACCTTTTTTCTGGAAAGAGCTGCCAGGATCCAGCCTCAATATCCCCTATTTATTTTTTCTAAATTTTGATCAGATGAACCAGTCAATCACTTGGTGAGCAGTGAGCACTCATGCCTAACAGGTGGCTGATTCAGATTGATATGTCTGAGATAATATTTAAACTATGCTGTTATGTCTCTATTAACCAATGTAAAATCTGTCTGCTTTATATGCCTTCTTTCTCCCTGTACTTTCTTATTTGCTATGATTTTTGGGAGAGCTGGGCATTGCGCAACTATGTCCGCAACTCCGCAACTTGCGGACTACCCTCTTGGTAGCGGAGTTACAGATCGGCTATCGAGCCCAAAAAAGTTGCGGAGTTGCGAGTTGCGGAAGCGAAAAATTCTAAAGCGCAACCGCTACCAGGACCACCACCGAGCTAACGATTGAAGCGAGATACAGGCTCCAGGTTGAGGTTATTGTGTTTATCTCGTCAAGACTTATCAATTGATATGCAACATAACCTTTATGGACCAGGCCGTGACCTTGACCTCAGGTCAAATATTCAATTTGACCTTTCGAGATCATCTTTTATATTATTGATGACCTCAAAAGGACGCGCCTTGATGAGAGAAATGCTATGGTGATAAAGTTATTGCCGAGTTATTATGTCAGAAGTTAGACCTGTGGCCGAAAAAAAACTAGTTTCGTAATTATTGGCTATTTTGGCAATTCTTGACCCTTGGATTGGAGGCCAAACCGTTGACCTGAGGTCAAATCTGACGTTGTACTCCAGACAGTGCTGTAAATGGGCAGTCGTTTATTTTTCCGTGCCGTTCTAGCTCTTCTGGTTCTCGCGTTATAGCGTCTGAAGCTGCAAAAATTGTCGAAATCCGGGAAAACCGAGATTATTTTCACTTTGCTGACCTCTGTTGACCTTCAAAAGGTACTGCCTATCAGACATAGCACTGCTTTTCAGGATCAAAACTGATAAAACATGGGTACCTTATAGAGGTGGAGTTGCGGAGTTGCGATTGCGCTTTGGTACCTCAGGTTGCGGAAGGTAGCGGTAGCGGTTTCCAAATTCCGGTAGCGATGCCCACCTCCGCTTTTTGGCATCTCTCCTAGCTCCCCTTTTCCTTCCTGGTTCTTCCTCTAGCTGTTAGATGAGATTTTAGAACCAATTTTGACTGTTTTGGTCTTTGAATCTTGTATTTGTCCTCGATATGGCCTAGTGGACAACGCGTCCTTCTCGTCACTCGGGAGCACTGAGTTCGTGACCGGAGCAGCTAATAGAGTCAATAATGCTGATCAAATTGAGTTATTGATACAGGAATGGCAGCAGTAAGCAGTGCACAGAATTAGCTGCTAAGTCGAATGATATGCAACACAACCGTGGGCCAACTTACTGATTTGAGCGGATTCAACCTGACCCTCAAGGCAGGGTTGTGCTCGACTAAAAAAAAATGTGCCGACTCGACTCATCATTCAACTTCAAAAAGCCCTGACTCAACTCTGATTCAAACAAGGAACTGATTTTTTCCCTTGACTCGACTCATGACTCAAGCGGCTCGATGAAAATATGAGTCGACTCAAACTTGACTCAAATTTTTTGTTGAGTCAAGTGAGTTGACTCAAAATTGACTCAAGTTGTTGAGCGGGGGGAGGTGAAAAAATCTGGCAGCAAAGCCAGGACTAAGAATATATATATAGTCAGAGTTGAGTCAAATTTCTGACTCGACTCATGAGTCAAGCACAACCCTGCCTCAAGGTCAACTCTCAGGACGCTCTGTAGTCTGTGACGCTCTTTTTCGCCGATCTCCGGCTAAATATGAGAAACGGCGGGGACGAACCTGCTCATCCCCCTCCTCCCTGGGGTATTAGAAGACAGAATGTTTTTGTCAGGAATGACTGTAATTATCCAAGCTATCAGAGAGCTCTGTTAGGCATCAATATCTGTGGTTTACATGTTTCCGGTGTATCTCCAAGCTTCCCCATCCTCGAAGGACTTATCTGTAACATGCACCGGCCAGCCATCCTTCGCACCAGTCGTGCGTTATCTCGCTCTAAATAGGTACTTCACTTTGTACTGTGCTACCGGAGCGTGTCAGTGGCGGTGGGTATGATCGGCGGGTCTTGACGGACGGCTCGGCTCGGTTTCAGATTGCGACCACCCGCGGTCGGCCGTCTCGGCGCTGACTCATCGTGACGTCACCAGCGGATCGAGTGTCGCGCGCGCAGAGTGAGCCAGTCGGCACCTGGCGGTCGGAGGGTCGCCCGCCCCGCCCCGCCCCGCCCCGCTGCAGGGAGTTTCCGCAGTCGTGTGGCGTGGCCGGCAGAACCGGCCAAGGCTGGTGTAGTGGAAGTGGAACACTGACGCTGCGCGATACCCATTGCACGTGCTGTGGTGTGCCGCGTGTGTCGAACTGTGCGCGGTCGTAGCGTTTGCTGGGCACCGCTGCCGGTGCGTCGGCGGAATCGTGTCTCGCCGGCCTTCCGAGCCTCCCCCGAGAGCCATGCCGGAGACGGGGCGTAACGCCAAAGGGTTCCAGGACTCTGCGGTGCAGAGCTCGGCGATGTCCCACGCGGCCGCCGACAACGGCCAGGACGGGGCGGCCGGCGACGGCGCCAAGGCGGACCCGCCGGCCGCCGAGACCGACGAGCCGGACCGCATGGCCATCGTGGAGCTGGAGACGAAGCTGGAGCTGATGATGCCGCCGGCGCCGCAGGAGAAGGCGGTCAGTCCGTACCCGGACTTTCCGGAGACGAACCCGTTCCGGCTATCGGCCTGCGAGGTTCCCGTGGTGGTCGAGGCCGACGACACGCCGTCCGTGAGGCCCCGGGAGCGCGGCGACGGCTGGCCGGTGGGCTCGCTGGCCCAGCGGCGCGGGTCGCCCTCCGACCTGAGGGTGTTCATCCCGGGCACCGGCGGCGCAGGGTGAGTACCGCAGCTACACGTCACCGGTCACGCTGACGTATCTCCCCAGGTATCCATCACCCATAATGGAATAGTGAGTGGGACACGTCTATGTGTTTACTGAAATGTAAGCAAGAAGACGCAGAAAAAAGCGTCATATCCGTCACATGCGGCTTTTTTTCATGTAGGTATGAATGAATAGTGATGAGTTAACCGGTGATCAGTGCTGCTGTATCGATGCCAGATGAGCGTTTCTCAGATTAGCGTGCTTATTTATCAAACATTTTAATTTTTAACAAAACATTAGGATATGGGAGCCTTAGCATAAACTAATTCGGTTGCCTTACAAATGGCAGTGGGTCATTTCAGCTGTTGCTATCTTCGTTTCGAATGTTTTGGCACTTTCAGCTATTACGGTCTCTTTGTTCGTGTAGTTCAGCCTGCTTTGGGGCAGCGATAGCTAGTTCATCCAGTGATACCTTTGTGCGCCTATGAATCTCGAGTGCCCATCCGTTATAGGTTTAGAAGTGGACCCGACTTCCTTTGTGGGCTAGATATATGCTAAGCAATCCCTAATCGCGTTGCTTGCATGGTAATCAATACCTCACGGGAGGTTTCGTACATGAGGCACAAGTGGCACATGCATTATTCGGGGTGGATGCAGCGAATGTTACCCTTCCTCCGCGCTATGAGAATAAGCTCTAGCCGGTAGGGGTGCTGATCGCATTGACCGCGGCAGATTTCCGGGACAAGGCAGTTACTTCATGTTTTTCGTCATTGTCTTGTGGTCATTAAGTTTTATAGCCTAAAGTTGTTCAGTTAGGTTAGGCTAGCTGATCTTTTGTGCAGAATAGGGCTCAGACCGATCGTTAATACCCACCCGCCGATCGTACATTATAGATGGGTGTGACTGATACTCAGCACTGATTGCGGACCGGGAGAGGTCCTGTTTTGTTGGAGCACTAACAGGATGTGGTGGGGCTTGCGTAGGCCGGTCTAGCTCTAGTTCCCAGGTGCGTTTATAACTGACTGAATGTTTTGGTTGCGTGAATGAAACGCATTAGTTTGATTGCAGATTACCATGCGTAGATGAGTTTGGGGCGTAGTTTAGTACTGCTGGCGTCGACTGAGCTGGTACCTCAGTACGCATGCCTATTGTCTAGTCTAAGCCGTCCTTTTTATTAGGGTGTCGCCATTAAAGACACAACATAATTGTATAACCTCTTCCCTTCACGTATACCTGTGTAAGAACACATTAGTTCTAACTCTTATGAAGGCTATCGGATATGTTCCTTAATCCTTAGGAAAGTCGCTGGAACTCGTCGGGAAATTCTTCTTGCGACATTTTTTTTTTTTTTGCATGTCGCGGCGACGATGTAATGCATATGATGGCCGCCTACCCAGTACCCACACCTCACTATCGCTGTCGACCCTGACGCTCAGCTGACCAGTCTCCTCCGCGCAGGGCCGGCTCCTCGCTGCTGGCTCAGCGGGCCGTGGGCGACTGTGAGCCGGAGCTGGCGGCGGCTGGCGGCGGCGGTGGCGCTCGGCGGGGTCCGATGGAGCGCCGGGACAGCATATGGGACCGGCTGCCGGCGCCCGACGAGCTGCAGCAGCAGCGCCGCCACTCGGACCAGGAGCCGACCAGCGGCGCCGGACGACTGCTCAGGTGGGTGACGGACCCGACCTGACCTGACCTGACCTGACCTGAGCCTACCTGACCCAACCACCCAGACCCAGGAGCCGACCAGCGGCGCCGGACGACTGCTCAGGTGGGTGACGGTACCTGGCCTGTCCTGACCCTGCCTGACCCAACTTGACCCAACCACCCAGACCAGGAGCCGACCAGCGGCGCCGGACGACTGCTCAGGTGGGTGACGGACCCGACCTGGCCTGACCTGATCCTACCTGACCCAACCTCTCGGACCAGGAGCCGACCAGCGGCGCCGGTCGGCTGTTCAGGTCAGTGATGAACCCGATCCGACGGACCGGTGGCCTGACTTGACCTGACACTACCACCAGGTCACAGATCATTGGGGTCAGGACCATGACACTTACGGGCTATGATACTTATGTAAGATTGTTAGATTATGGCCGTTGTAATCCGGAACAACAAAGCAGTTTTGATGAGTTGCTTCAAAGCTGTTGAGGCTGGTCAATGTGATCCTGAGCAAGTGCGAGGTTAGAAGATCATAGCTAGTCTCCTAAACACGATAGGAATATCGCAAGCGCCGGTCCTGAACACCAGCCTGCCTCTGGCGCGGCGCGGCGGTGTGCCTGTATGTCGCCACGTCCTGACGGTCCCGCCGTCTGCCAGGTCGCCGTTCCCGCTGGTACAGCCGACACCCACGCCGGACCAGACCAACGACGAGGGTCGCGAGCTCTTCCTCGAGTTCGTCCACGACCGCATCGTCGAGGAGGGCATCCCCGAGGCGGAGCTGGCGCTGGAAGCGCAGAACGATGATACGATCAACAGGTGTGGGATCGGCCGGGAACGCAGCACATAACTGTGCGAGGCGGAATTTTATGAATATGCTTATTTGTTTTTTCAGCTGAAATTAAAATGAGCTTGCCGTTTACCTATCAATGCTTACTGTTTCTGCTCTGAGTGCAGCTCGGGAGTGGACACGAACTTTTCTGGCCTGCCTCGTTAAATTCCGGTCGTATATCTCAACCATTCACTGATGTCACGCTTGGCGCAAAATGATTTATACATACCCCGAACACATTCGTGTTGTATTGCAAGCCCTGGTGAAGCGCGTTTCTCCACCCCTAACATCCTCGCCCGGCCCTTTTTAGGATCATGTCGCTGCCGGGTCTGAGTAACCCGGTGTGGGCGCAGACGGGCACCGAGCTGCGCGCGCTGGCTGACGCGTTCGCCACCTCCCACCAGCGTCGCGAGCTGCGCTGTAAGGCGCAGCAGACCGACCTGACGGCCATCTCGTGGGACCGCTTCCGACAGCTGCTCGAGGAGCTCTTCTCGGTACGGCGCGGCGAGTTCGGGCTGAGGGTGCTAAGCATGTGACTGGATGGGTTTATTGTAGATATTACATCTTTACGGGCTCGATTTTGTGATAACGTATAGCAACAAGAAGTGGTCATTTTCTTCGTATGTGATACCGTCACGGACACGGTATCACATACGAAAACGGCATCACCGTACGGGTTGGGGCCAGTGGGGCTAAAGACTGACGGATGTTAACACAACTAAGCACGACTTTTGGACTCCACCGCGAAGAATAGTACCGGGCAGTGCCTTTGTGTTTTCGCCGTTTTCGGTGTATCTGTGCTGCATATGCTGGACTGACAGTCCATCGACTTCAGCCCTGTCAGGCCTCGGTCCATTTCCGTCAGCTCATATTATCCCGTCTGTCCTTTCGGCAGGGAGAGGCTGGCGTCACCCAGGAGCGCATCCTGGTGTTGTTCTTCTTCCTCTCGGACTGTGTGGTGAGCACAATCCGCCGGCACGCCTGGGCCCACCTGCGCCGTCTGATCGAGTGGAGCCTGCGCTATATCGTGGAGCGTGTCTGCACACTGGTACAGGAGGCCGGCGGATGGGTGAGTGAAGACTGATTCGGGAGGGAGGGTGAGATAGTGAGTCATGGTGGCGTGAGCGCCTGACTGACTGGCCCTGGTGAGTGAACGTCGTTCAGCGATAGCAAGTGAGCTGCGCTGATCGGTCGTGTTTGTGGAGTGATGGGCTAATTGTGCTAACTCTTACTGTTCACCGATTACCGTCTTGCATCGGCCTCCACTGGACGTATACCTAGTCACCTGACCGATGTCTCTGTGTCCCATCCCCAGGGCGTCGTGCTGCGCCAGTCGGCCGAGTACCTGTACCTGGGACTCAAAATAGCCGCCGCCGGGCTGGTCTGCGTGGCCGCTATCGTCTACATTAGGAAGAATTAGACCGGTCTGCCGCGACACCGTGCCACGATGGGAGCCGAGGAGCGGCCTCTCACATCCCGCCGCGGTCGTAGATGAGTAGATGATATGGCGCTAAGAATAATGACGTGTGAGTGGGTATTTATTGACGGGCATTGGGGCAGAGCCTTGCCGGTTTCCTCTGTAGTTGCAGAACGTTTGACAGATAAGCGTTCACTTTTTTGTTTTTAGAATACTCATTTCCTGTCTATTTATGTAGCTGCTGTTAGTTGTGCTTGCTTGTTACGCGGTCAGATTTAAGGTCCTCTGAGGTTCACCGATTGCATTAGCAGGGCTACCTGTTTTTGACTGCCATCAGACTAGCCTTTGCCTTTACCTGGATTTGCCGCTTTAGGATACTTTCACTCGATCTATTTTTTCCGAGTTAGGTGGGTTCTGGGAAGGTGTGTGTTGGCTATGCCGACAGCCGCAAGTTGTGATAAGGTTTAATTGGTTGAGATGGATGCAGTATGTTTCGTCACGACCTTGCCATGGGACACATGCCGAGTAGATAGTTGGTGGACCGCTCCGGAGCTCAGTCTTTCCTCTATAAACGCGACAATAGCTGTGTGGATACAGTACAAGCCACTCCAGTACAGATCTCTCCGTCTGGCCAGCCAACCCGACACCTCTGTTTTCGGAGGTCCCTCCCCGCCGTACCCGTCGGCGCCAGCTCAACGCCTACCTCCGCCCGTGGGGTGGCTCGTCTCAGTCCTCCATAACTCACACAGCTGATACCGTATCGGCGGGCTCCGACGGCAGGGTTCCACCCGTCCACGGCTTCCCAGGAGCCCGGGTGGCGGCACAGTCACAATACCAGCACAGTGTGTGCATCACAACGGGATCGTGTCTGTGTTTTGGTGAGAGTGTGGTCCTTGGATTGTGTGGACAGCCTCGGCGGCTCCAGTCGCGGGGAGAGAGCAAGGTCCCCGGCTTGTGTAGCCAGTCTGTGACTCGGCAAGGGACAGTGATTCTAGCATGGTTCAGGCAGGTGATTCCCGTGTGGCTCGGGGCTGTGGCCGCTGGCGGCAGTGTGATGTCTCTCACAGTGGTGAGAGCGGTGAGTTTTGTGAGTGGTAGGTGACTCACGTGTGGTTTCGCTGTGAGCTGGCCAAAGAGCGATTGGTAGGTAAATGGACGACGGGCGCCGGCTGCCGGGACTCCAGGGTTGTGCCCTCAGTGTCCTTCGAGATGGACTTTGTTTCAATTTTGTTTTGAGACAGCGTATCTCGCGTCTAAGCGCAGACGTGATTATTCATCAGTGAATGGAAAGTTGCTAGTCGTTTTCAATAAAATAACGGCTGTTTTACATCATGTTTGGTGCTGCTGCGTAGAACGATTTAGCGTGACATGAGTACTGTGTTTTTCGCATTTATGGAGGCCAACATTTGATCGTTAGCATGGTATTCTAGGCTATGAGGTCGGCGACTCGGCGGGTAAGCCTAAACACAGACATCTGTCCGGTAGGCGGTGATGTGACGTGCTTGAACGTTGAACGAACGATTTCACCAGCTTCTGACAACGGCAGGTGCCCTAAACTCCACGGCACGCTTCCTGCGTACGGCGATCGATATTTTTGCTGTTGCGAGGGGTACAGTTTCGCCGCCGGCAGGTGGGGAAGCAACAGGTTGCCGGAGCGCCCCTTCTGGTTACCATGACAACAGCTCGCCCGTGTTATCAATGCGAGCCTTTCTCTGTGCTTTGGTACGACTGAAACTGAAAGCGAATGTAACGTAAGAGACGACCTCAAATATGAGTTGAGTGATCGAAATAGCGAGCGACTGTGAACTGTTATAAACGACCGACCTCGAAAATTATCGATTATCGACGAAACGATACCTGACGAGCAGTCTGCCTTCCGAACGGTCTGCTGCATCACAAATATCTTACGATCTTAGGTGAGTGTGAACTTTATCATGTGTTGTGCTACCTTGTTTTATTTCTGGAGCAATGTGCTTAGGTAACCTACTTGCCTCGCGTATTATAAACCTAATCAACGTATTGGAATAGCGCTTCGGAATGGCTCCCACAAAGGCATTTCGCTTGAAATACCGCTGGTAGCACGGCCCGGAGTCTTCCGCGGTCCTAGTGCGGGCTGTTTAGTGTTAGCGACTCTATTCCATGGTCTGTGCTTCAACACCGGTTAATGCCGTGATCCTCCCTCCCAATCACCCCTCCCAGTTCGTCACTGATCCCATATGAAGCCCCCTGCTGTTCCTATCCACGCCACCCCTGACGCTCCCGGCCGCCGGCAGCTCATCGAGATGGCCGACCGCGGCAATAAGATGGACGAGGAAGCCTTCAAGAACAGCATGGCGGCCGACCTGGAGTCGGAGGACACCGCCGTACGCATCAACGCGCGTCGGCTGCGCATCCAGCGCTTCAAGGAGAGCGTGCGCCGCCAGGAGCAGCTGGCACAGTGAGTAGCAGCAGTGCGGAGCTCGGTGGGTGAGCGTGTAAAGGCGAGGTGTTCGTGACTAAATGCGTGCGATTTTGAATGGCCAGTCAATCCTAGCTGGATGGATGGACTGGGATGAGTTTAAAAGCCGCCGGGCGGACTGCATGTCGGCTCTGTAGATATTTATATGACGCTATGACCCCGTCTCCTATCACCTCTGTGGCCTCTGACCTGCCACCGCTAACCCCTCCCACAGGTTGGGCCTTGGCTCCGCCCCTGTCGAGGTGCCGCTGGTGGAGCGGCAGCTGGCAGAGAGCGGTCAGAAGCTGGAGAAGCTCGAGGACGACGGTCTGGAGATGGTGACCAACGTGCCGGTGGCGTTCCAGGGCCGCGAGGCCGACCACCGCGCCAACACGGAGCTCAGTCTCAAACAGCGCCAGGAGCGACTCAGGGAGGACGCCGAGCTGAGCGAGCAGCGCTTCAACGACATCTCCGAGCTCTGGGACAGGTGGGTGGTCACGCTCTGGGACAGAACGTGGGAGTCCTAACACACCAAAGATGACTCGGGTAGTGTTTCGGTGAACGGCTCGGAGCTTTTAGTGTGGAGCGTGGTATATGGGTGGCGTAGGAGTTGCCGACGTCCTGTTGCCTTTATCATCGTAGGCTTCCGTCCATTCTGTCTTGATGTCACTGAAAACAGCACGAATGTTTTATGGTGCGCTCATTCTTTTCCCAAAGTGTCAGCGGGTGCATGAGTCCGTCTCTCTCCTCCGACACTCCTCATTTTATAAGGTTTCAACGCTACATGGTCACTTTTTACGGCGGCGACTTTAAACTCCAATCACCACCACCCTCTCAGCTCACTCTCTCGTTGTTCGTCTTCCCAGCGCCATCGCTCGCGCTCCGAGCCGTCTGCACGCCCACCTGTGCAGTCAGCGGGCGCTCTGTGACCAGCTGCTGGCACAAAAGGACCAGGTGGTGCGCAGTCTGGAGGCCGAGCTGCGCTGTATGGATGACGAGTACAACCTGGAGGTGACGACCCACGGTCAGGTGAGAGCGGTGCTGCCCAGGGCGTACACAGGCCGTCCTAGAGTCTTCTAGAGCGTCTGGGGTCTCCAGAGCGTCAACTATGGCGTCCAAGGCGTCACTTTGAGCCAAGAGAGCGTCTTTAGGGCAGATCAAATGAGGTTTCTGCAATAAATAGGTTGATAAGGCGTTTAATATCTCCATAGAAATTAGAGTCACCAATAAAGATTCAGCGACAGCCTACTTTTGAACACACTGAACCTAGGTCCTGTCGGCGTGTCCCCGTCATCGATACTAACCACCACTCCGCCGTCCCTCAGGACACGACGGTGCTGATCCAGCGTATGAAGGACCAGCTGGTGATCCTGCGGAACGCCTACTCCCGGGAACTGGAGGACATCTATGGCGCCATGAAACAGGACCTGGACGAGACGCGCGGCCACCACCAGGAGGGCTGGCAGGAGAAACTGGACGAGATCGTTGCCGTGAGTTGACTGGCGGAGCCGTCAGGCCTGGAGCCCAGTGGAAGTCGCTGGAGGGCCGGAGATAGCACTGAGTAGCGGTGGCTTCAATACCACTAAGGTGTATGCTATTGCTGACTCCTTAAATCTTGTTACAACTTACACTTATCACATTTCCTCAACAACTAATGTACTTACCTTCTACCTCCCATGACCATTCGCTCGTGTTTGTCATCCCACAGCTGGAGGAGAAGCGGCTGGCCAGCTACATCCAGATGACTGAGGACCACGATCAGGAGATGCACGCCGTGTACTGCGAGGACGCCGACGAGTACCGACAGGTTAGTGGTGGGCGGAGGGAGCCGGCAAGTACCAGACATGAACGGGGAAGGGAAATGCAACAAGGCCCTTGGAGACAAATTAGCAATGATTTAGCGTGTCCGTGGAGTCATACGAAAGATGGCTGACGTCTCGATCACGATCAATCGCTACTTGTCATTATGCGTCCAACTATGAAACCCTGGTGTCCCAGTACCGTGTTTACCCATACTTCATCCTGGCTTGTTTTCATGTACTGATATTAATGACACTCCGTCCGTAAGCCTGACCAGGTCCTGCCACGCCGCAGATGCGCAGTACTCTGGAGAAGGACGTGGAGCTGCTGCAGCAGCAGCTGGAGCAGCTCAAGGCCGCCTGTCTGCTCAACACCGAGAAACTCGATTACAACTACCAGGTGAGATCGGACGCCAGGCGAGAGCACAGGGCTGGACGGCAGCGGACGGCGGCTTGGCGGAACTCGAGTGTGGCGGATTGCCCCGGCCTACCATAGTCAGTGAAACATTGATGTGACAGAATGTGATCCCTGACGGTTGCAGGTGCTCCGCCGTCGCGACGAGGAGTCCACCATCACCAAGTCGCAGCAGAAGAGGAAGCTGAACAAGCTGCAGGACGTGTACAACGGGTTGCGGCAGAAGCTGGCGGAGCAGGAGCGCAGTCAGCGGGTGGAGCTGCAGCAGCTGACTACCGACATCAGGTGGGAACCGGGCTGAACAGCCCAAATAGGGATCAGGCCCAGCAGCTGAATCATGCCAACATCACGTGGGAACCGAGCTCGGCAGTGGGTAGAAACGCGGCTCAGCAAAGGCTGACGATAATCAGGTTCATCAATTAGTATCGGGACAGGGACCAGGATACTGGGAAGTATGCGGCGGTAACTGACCACTATCAGCGGGCTGATCTGATCACTACCCAGATGACAATCTGTATTCTGTGGCCAGTTGTTGGATGTTGGCTGCTCTGCAGTGCCTCTGATGTACCCGTCTCTGTCCGTCAGACGCCTGACTGACATGCTGGTGGACGTGGGTGAGCGGAACCAGCACTTTATCGCCGTGCACAGCCGCCAGCTGCACCAGATCTTCCAGATGACGCACGAGAACTGCCGCCGACAGCTGGACAAGGTCATCCGCGCCGACAAGGTCATCCACGAGCAGCAGCTGGGCCTGCCGTTCACCCCGCCCGCTCTGGACCATCTGGCGCCGCCCGAGGTACGTAGGATACCCGATATTCCCTCTAGTTACCTGTCGTTGAGCACCTTACGCATCGCTCTCTTCTTTTTTTTAAGACGGACCTTTTTGTCCATTTGACCGCCCCGTGTCGTTGATTTTTTCCGCAAACCACGTGAAACCATCTCCGAACGGCGAACACTGCTCACCTGACCATCCCGTCCCGTTCCGTGTCGGCAGATGAAGGCCGACTCGGCGATGGAGGTGGTGCGCGAGGCGCTGGCCGGGCCCGGCTCCGACTCGGATCGGCCGTCCTCGTCCGGCGGCGGCGACGGTCCGCCGCTGTCTGCTGTGCTGGCGCCGGGCCCGCCGCTGCTGCGGCGACTGCTGCTGCTGCTCGGGGACGAGTCGGGCTTCCTGGTGGAGCGCCGGCTGCACCGTCTGCTGGCCGGTATTGATGCCGAGGATGCCACTCTGCTGCGGTTGGACGCCGTCCTGGCAGCGCTCGGTGTCCGCACGCAGATCGACCTCGACCAGCTCTGCAAGTACTTTGTCAGGTGCGGAGCGAGGGCGTTATGTGGTGGTACACAGTGAAGGTGTCGACATGGTGCGTCGGTTTTCGATGAAATGCTGCTGGTAGCCGAAAAGAGAAAAGGAGGGCTAGTTCACGTGTTTTATAGGTTAGGCATGCGTCATCCATGCCCCAATTCATTTGAATTTTCGGTAACTTGTGTATTATGAACACCATATAGAGTGTAGATATGACGCACTGGTGGTACCCTCGTCCGTAAAACTGACCTCAGTTCGCGTGCCGTCCAGGTACGCCACGCCGGTGGCCAGCCGCGAGGAGCTGCCGGCCGTGCCGGGCTCGCCGCCCCCGGTGCCCGCCCACGCGTACTCGTCGCCGGCGCTGGCGGTGGCCTCTCGGTCGGGCAGCGCCGCGCCGTCCGTCCGCAGCGCTCCCAGTCGCGAGAGTGGCGCCGTCGGGTCCCTGTCCGACCTGATCGGCGACGACCGGCCGCCCTCCTCCGGTGACAGCTCGCCGCCCGCCGACCGGCTGCTCGTCTCTCCGGACGGGGTGCTGCACGCGCTGGCCGACTTTCTGCAGGGCCAGCGGCAGCGCGCCGGCGCCGCGTCCGGCAGCGTGGCGGCGGCCGCCGAGAACTCGGCCTCGGCGGCCGGCCGGTGGGCGCGCCTGCCGCCGCCGCCCACCGACGCCGACTTCTGGCAGCGCTTCCTGCACGTGCAGCCGGAGAGCCAGCGGCGGCTGTGGCGCGCGCTGGCCGGCGGCCTGCAGCGCTACAACACGGTGCTGCAGGAGCGCCAGCAGTTGCGGCTGCAGGTCATGGAGCTGGGCCAGCAGAACGCCGAGCTGCGCACGCTGCTGCACTCGCACCTCAGCCGGGCGCAGGGCGGCAGCGGCTGACGGCCGGTCTACTGACGGCCAGCTGCTGGAAACTGGTACGGACTGAGCTGGATGTGCAACGCTGACGGTGGATGACCGAGTACTAATGATCAGGTGTGAAATGTGGATCATTGGCATCGATATTGATCTTTATTTATTTCATAAACTCTTCATTTTAAGAGTCGTATTTATTTACACGCGCCTCTAGTTGAGTGAAATCTAGTGATATTAGCGACGAATTGGGAACAACGTTAGTTGCTAACGGTAACTCATCATTCACATTGGCTAATATCAAGAGGCAATTTTTACGAATTATTTTTAGGATATTTAAATATAGGTAATAGTTCATAGTTTTATATTGGTGCAATTATAAATCCTTACGAAGGGGTCTGCGCGATCAGCACAGCTACGGTTTAATTACTTTTCGATAAATACGTTGATTTGTGATGAGTGATGACTGATGCTTGCAAAAATTATAATTCTCAAGCCATGCTGATTAGGTGCCCCAATGTTGAGCTCAGCACGCCATTTGACGAATAAAACCTGACGACATCGTATTTGTCTTTAGTCAAAACGGTATATACGCTGAGTGCATGAATCGGAACTCAATGCATGGACTCACGGAAACGTAGTGCGCGAAATGACCTTAGAGGTCGACGCATCATAAAGCCTCGAATGCAAACGATGTTCATCATACGCAAGAAGCAGATCACATGTCTTTGTGATGGGGGGGGGGGGGGGGGAGAGCGGTGAGGTCGAATTGGAAATAAAACGAATTTGACATGAAATCACGCATAGGTAGTTTGAGCTACAAAAGGTTGATGCCCGTATCGATTCGATGCATGCTGTTTGTGAACAAGTTGAATTGAACCACTGGAATGGAATGGTGCGTTGCAGCTGCAGCTCAGTCCCAATTTGGCCCGTACCGTTAGGCAGAAATTGTCCCAGCGGGAGAGACAACTGGTACGCCTGCCACTGGCAGTGTAAGTGTAATGGCACCTTGGCCAGTGTCAGCTTGAAATAGGAAGTGGTTACAATAAAGGGAACGGTTGTTCACATACCGTCGATTGGCTTACGCCATCACAATCGACACCGGGTTACGAAGGCAGAATAGGTATGTCTGGCTGCAATGCAACCATCATCTTGATGACGATCGAAAAGGGATGGGACGTCAAATTTGGTCTCGTTTCATTCTCAGGTGACATTTCAATGGCGGCACTGATTCAGCGCATTGTCAACTCGGTTATTACGACTCCTCGCCAGCCGAGCGGGTCGACGGCCCGGGCCAAGCCCAAGATACCTATCCAAGTCCGGGCAGTGCGCCTGCGCGAGTCCCGGCTCCTCCGGTATCCGCTCGGTGCTACCACCTTGCGGATAAAGACACCAAACACTGCTTCACCGCGCGGCGCCGGCCCACATGTGCTGCTCCGCGCCGGGAGACGTCGGACATTTTGTAACTGGGTGAGCCCGGTGAGCCGCCGTGGATCAGTTGATTTCAGCTGCATATTGGTCGATTTGTAAGCTTGCCTAGCTATTCTTCATGCTAAGGAAGACAACGAAGGTTTAAATACAGAGGTAGGTACTGATCCAAGCATTTGTCCTTTTTTATATCATCACAAAACACAAGGCATGGTATCACCATGTGTTGTGGAGATTTGTGTGAAATTGACTAGAGTTTTTATTATTTCGAAATCATAGAAATGCCACAATAAATTCAGCAATTGGTTGTGGTTCGGCGAAACTATTAGAAACTATGATAAATACCTATGCATATTGATTCTATGGCTGGTTCTGTGTTTTGGTCCGGAAACTTGTCATAAATGGCATTTTATCATGTATAAAAAGTAACATCAGGTATTCTATTTAACTGCAATTCATGATTATTCAGGGTGAAATTTCACCTCTTGGAAATTTCAGTTCTGCTTGCTTCAAGCAGTTTGCAGATATGCTAAGAAATGCATGGTAATGTTGCATTAATTAGCAAATATACCTGCTTTGGGGCCTCAGGGCGCATACTGAGTTAACTGCAGCTCCCCATGTATTGAGATTTAGTGATATTGTCAAAAATTATGATTTTGGCACATCTAGGGGTGTCATGGTGTGCTGTTTGATGCTTCAGCAGTCAGCACACTTATGCATTGTGTTTCCCCTTATGCTCAGGGAACTTCAAATTTATTATGTAAAACATTGTATGATCTTCATTATATATTTAGCTATACCTTGCTACAATTTAACCACAAATGCCTTTTTCTTAATGAATGCAGAAGATAATGATATGCAGATAATGATGATCCAGGCTAGTGAAGTTTTACATGCTGATAAGCCCATTTTTCTTCCAGGACAGTAACTTTGCAAGAGCTGTAATGTCAGATGAGGAGGGAGAGACACCACTTGTCATTGATCAGTCATCCAATGATGGCCCTGAACAGCTTGGAGGCTCAGGGGAGAAGATGGATGCCAAACCAGCAGAGGAGAATATGGACAGCAAACCAGCAGAAGAGAAGATGGATGCCAATCCATCAGAGGAGAGGATGGATTCAAATCCAGCACAGGAGGGGATGGATTCCAATCCAGTAGAGGAGGGGATGGATTCCAATCCAACAGAGGAGGGGATGGACTCCAATTCATCAGAGGGGAGGATGGATTCCAGTCCTTCAGATGAGAGGATGGATTCCAATCCAGCAGAGGAGAAGATGGATTCCAATCTAGCAGAGGAGAGGATGGATTCAAATCCAACAGAGAAGGGGATGGATTCCAGTCCATTAGCAGAGAGGATGGATTCTAATCCATCAGAAGAGGGGGATGCTCCATTGAATCCAACAGATACAGTGGCTGTAGATACTGGTTCTGTAGAGGCAGAGTCTGAAATGAAGGATGCTGTGGTTGGAGAAGACAAGTCAGATGGCATGGATGTGACACCAGGTTCTTCAGCACCAGAGACTGAGAGCAAACAGCATGAGGTACAGCCTGAACAAACGGCCCCAGAGAATATCCCCAAGAGCAGTGAAAATGCAGAGCCATCTAACATAGCTAAAGACCCTAAAAATGACACAGAATGTGATGGCCCTGAGGAGAAATCAGTCCCCATGGATGCAGCTGACAACCCAGTCGCTCCCCTGGAAGAAAAGGAAGTCTGTGCTGTAAAAGACAGTTCTTCAGCTGATCACACCACTACTGCTGCATCAGCACCCCAGGAAGACTCTCCAATAGAAGATTCTACAACTGGTGAATCAAATGTTGCAGAGGCAGCATCCCTGGACAAGCCCTCAGACTCCTCCTGCAAGGTGATATCTGATACAAGTGACACCCCTTCCAGTAACTCTCAGCCCACTACCAACTCTGGTGATGCCACCACTGGCAGTGTTGCTGACAGCACTGGTGATGCTGATGGTGCTGGAACCGCCACCACAACCACTCCTGCTGCCGATCCAGTGGCACTGTCTACTGTCACCACAGGCACCCCTACAGTCAGCCCTGTCAACACCCCATCTGTCACCCCCGCCGACACCCCATCCGGCGCCCCTGCCAGTACCCCGTCCACCGCCCCCACCGAAACACCCGGCGCCGGAGGTACCCCTCGGTCACGCGTCACCCGCTCCCGCAACCCTGACTTCGCTGCCAAACAGAAAAGCTTCATGAGGAAGTTCCACCGGAGTGTCAGCGGCGGAGGCGGTGGAGGGGCCAGTCCGGCGCCCGATGGGACGCCGGGTGCCCCGCGCTCAGAGAAGCGGGCAGCCAGCGAGGACTCTGTTCCGCCGGCGAAGCGCCGGAAACTGAGCGAGGCCTCCGATGAACCGCGACCGTCGGACACCGCCGCTAACACCGTGAGTAGCGCGCGCCATAACGGGTCTCTGATCGGGTGTTTTGCTAAAATGATCTTTAAAATGTTCAATATGTCAAATGTTAATATGCACTGGCCCTCATGTTACGACTATGGTGCTGTTTTGGGTTACAATGATGAATATTTTCACAGAGTGCGGCAAAAAGGAAGAAGGTAAGTCCGAATCCATCTGCTCGTATTTGTTTTTTTATCGGGTCATTTTTCCTGCACGTGTTTCGTTCCCAACGTTAGCACGCATTCAGTATTCATAGTGACGCTTGGCCTTAGTTTTCACCATCCCCTGTGTCTACTCCGTGTGCTGTGAATATGTGTTTGCTTTGTTTATCCCCCGATCGTGTTGCATCCCTGCTGTGCTGTGCTGTGCTGTGCTGTCGGTCGGTCGGTCGGTCGGTTGCTCGCTCGCTCGCTGGCTGCGCCGGCCTCAGTCGTCCGCTCCTCGTCTGGTGGCACCCACCGAGGCGGTGGTAGGGGTGACCTTGAAAGCCAGTGGCGCCGCGGCAGCTGGCGACCGATCACGTTCCCGTGCGGTCTCCCTCGCCGCGGCCCCCGCCGGCCGCTGTCTGTCCGCCGTCCCCGCATCCACATGGGTGGGAAGACGACCTAGGGCTGTATTGGGTATTCCACCTATGGATTGACAAAGAAGGGGTTCCGTTGTGTGCCGTACCAGATCTGCATGTATATATTCCTGGTTGCATGACGTATGTTGACCACCCACAAAGTTTGATGTACGCGGATCCTTTGCGTTGTGCTACATTCTGGGCACAATTTACCTACTAGGATCGGGTTATGTTATAGCCAGACGTCTGTTCGGTTTATGGACTCTAACTGCCAATCTTACTGAACTTTGATCGTTTTTCCCCGAGACGCTTAAATGAAAACGTAATAGCAAGCAGGTAATTGTAAATCACCATATCCGCATCGCCATGCCGTTAAACCAGCGGCTGCCCTTCCCCACTTGATTCTTACCACTCCGTTCTGTATTTGGCACATCTGATCACCCCACGCCATGTCGACAGGGCACGCCCAACGACAACTTCTGCTGGGTGTGCCACCGCGAGGGTCAGGTGGTGTGCTGCGAGACGTGCCCGCGGGTGTTCCACCTCAAGTGCGCGCAGCTGTCGACCGACCCTCCCGGCGACTGGGTGTGCGTCGAGTGTCAGCGCGTGGTGTTGGCCGAGTCGTCGGAGCGCCGGTTGCCCCCCGAGCGGCTCCAGCAGCTCATCATGTTCGCGCTCGGACGGCTCAAGGGACTGCCCGGGGTGAGTGACGCTGTGCGACGGGACTGCTGATACAGTGGGAGGGATTGGTCGGTACCTAACGGGACTACGGGTGAAAGGGGACGGCACGGGCACTGACCGGGTTGCGGGTTATGGGGGGGGGGGGGGGGCAGAGTGCGGGCTTAACAGTCTACAGGCTCCAGTCCCTTCGACTGAACAGGGACTGGCCCAATGGGATGTGGATGTGGATCAACACTCAACAGGCGGAGATTGAGATAACATTCTCTGATACCGCACAGTTTTATGCCAGCGTGATGCAAGTTTATGAAACCGTACCACATTACGGTCCAGCCAGATAATCTGACTCAAAATTATGTTGAGGTGTTTATAAGGGGTTAATGTTTGCTGTGTCTGGCTTCTTAACTATGACCGTTCATGATTCATAGTTTTCCCAAGAAGTACGTTTCCTTTCATTAATTCCGGGTAGACTTACATTGCTGTGTAATTTAAATCTGCTTTTTGCTTATCATGCCAAATATTGACCGTTTTGTTGACGGGCTGTCGACTAGCTGCACAATATGTGGAAAGAATGAATGGTGAATTATTTGGCATGATAGCCTGAGCTAAAAATATTGTCAAAATTACGTTCCAAAGCTGTTGCGCCTCCAAAAATATGAAATAATGTGATCATCACACTAGCACTTTTCGTGGCGTCAATGGATGTGCACCCTTTGTCCCAGCTCAATGTCCCGTGTTCAGCCGCTTGTACCGTGTTCGTAACTTTGATCCTGTTATTACCGCATACAAACACCGTAGCGATCCAGCTGCTAAAGTTCGTTATATTTTGTTATGGGCAGCAAAGTGCTCATTGGTTTGACGTTTGGTGATTCAGATCAGGACTGCGGAGTCGGAGTCGGAGTCGGTCGGAGTCGGCAGTTCTGACCGGAGTCGGAACTCGGAGTCAGAGTCGATTTTGGATACCGGAGCCAGGGTCAGAGTTGGAGTTACCGAAAACCAGTCGACTCCGCAGCCTTGCCAGGTCTGCGGAGTCGAAGTCGGAGTCGGAGTTAGTTTTTGAAAGCCGAAGTCGGAGTCGGAGCCACCGAAAATCCATCCACTGCGCAGCCCTGATTCAGATGCATACCTAACCGACATTTTATCTAACTTGTGAAAAGGAGCTTTTCTAGACTTTGCGGTTTAACCAGTTTGGGTGAATGGTGATGGTTTTTGATATTACGTTTTCCTCTTTCTTCGCCTACAGAGGTTTTCACTGTAATGCCGTTTCGCTGGTTCATTGTCGAATAAGCGCTTTCTTTACGTGTTATGATTGACAATTTACGCTTATTTTCGATGTTTGTTGTAGCTTGTATTGGATTGCTCCAGCCTCCAACTTATGTCACCTTTTTCGTCTAATCCGTAAAATTTATCAGACATCTTTTGGCGTGTTCTCGTTTTCCGTAACCATCGACCCATTTCTAGGAAATTTACCGTTTATGTTCCTCCGAGCGCCTCCATGTGACGTTCAGTCACGGTCTCTCCTCCCTGCCCGCCGTGCCCGTCCTCACAGCACCACCATCTGACCAGTCGGAGAGGGCGGTCGTGGCAGGCGCCATGTCGGGACTCGGGAGGCCGACCGGCCGGCGGACGGGCGCGGCCTGCTGACTGGCCGCATGGCGCCGGTCGGTCGGCGGCGCATGCGCACTGACGCTCCGACCCGCCTGCGTGGAGGGCGCCGATTGGCTGCGGCCGGACAGAGAGTCGATCGTGCCGCCGTCTCGGCGTGTCTCCTGACCTTCGGCTGGTGGCCGAGCCGGGATGGTGCCGACAGCGCGGAGAGAGAGCGGCCGGACCTCGGTTCCAGCGACAGGGGAGGGCACAGACGGGGCATGTAGATCGTAGGAGGGCATAGATGGGACATGTAGTGCGGTGGGACCTCTGCAACAACGACAGAGCAGGGCAGGCAGAGGCATGCTGAGCGGTTTGCAGATTGAAGTTGCCGGTCTGCCATCAATCAGGACGTGTTTGTTGGCAGGTGAACCGGCAGGTCTACTGTCATGAATGGCGCAGTTATCGCTCCGAAAGCCCGCAGCTTTCAACCTCCATAAGCTACCGGTGGTTACCGCACAGGACGGTTCTTTGAAACGGGCATTGCCCGTCAACCCGCCAAACTCTATAAAACACGTACTCGCGATCTCTAGCCATGCACAGGCTTCATTTGTTTTTTACTCTTTTTTCCGCTTTCTCCCTGCAAAATCCATTGGACCAATTCTTTTGTGAATCGTGTTCTCTGAGTGTTTCCTTCTTTTCTGACCCGCAGCATATTCAGTTATACTTCACCCCACTCTGCTGACGCCCTCCCCTTCCCTGCAGTACCGTCGCCCCGCTGAACCCTCCCCTGGTCCCGTTCCAGGCGGAGCCGTTCCTGCAGCCGGTGGACGAGCGCAAGTTCCCCACCTACCGCGAGTTCGTCGCCTGGCCCATGGATTTGTCCACCATGGAGAAGAACGCCGAGCGAGGCCAGTACGGCTCCACGGCCGCGCTCATCGCCGACTGCAAGTGGATCCTGCACAACTGTATTCTCTTCAACGGCAGTGAGTAGCGTTGAGTGGTGAGATGAGAGGGGAAAATGGGGTGGCTGGAGATGACGGGCGGATTACTGTCTCGAAATGTTTCTGTAACTGGATCGCAGAAATGTTAGTGCTAAGGGGAGTTAGCAAAACTGATGTGGAAAACCGGCTCCTTATATTGTCATTCGTTTGAAAAGGCCCGTAATGCCTATGATGCCTATGATGAGGCGTCATAGAGTCGAGCAACCCAGCTGGCCGCAGTCCGTGGCACGCAGCAGCTTACGTTAGCTTCCTAGAAATCGGAAGACGCGACAGGGTAGGCAGAACATATCGGCAGTGTAACACATTTGCCCAACTAAAGAGCATGCTGTTCACGGTTATTGTTAGAACTGCATCGAGGAGTACCTAATAGCACAGCCATATATACATTTTATCCTTAATTTGAAGACGTCGATTTGGTGGTATTCATGTAATGACCGTAGCGCCCACTTTCGGGCGCATTTTTAAGTAGGGTGCACGTCTTAATCAAAGACATCGGAACGAGAACAAATGGTTTTGTAATTTTAATGCATTTGTGCCTCATCCCGCGCATATTTTATTAAGCACACAATAACGACACATCTGATGCCACCCCCGTCCGGAGTATGGAAAACATAGCCCGGAGAACGACCGCTCCGGTTGTTTTTCAATAGAAAAACACAATTCTAACGAATAGTGTTTGTCTAATGAAACAACAACCTGCGGTTAATCAACGAATGAATGTATTGATCCCATGCATCGTCGCAGCCCTGTAGTCCTCCGCTTGATCAGTAAGGTGTCTGTAAATAGGACCCTGATCTTCCAATGAGCCGTCGTGTCGGGGCGGTGCCGTATTCCCGGCGACATTACGTAATGGCTTAGTGCTGCGGCCCGACCCACCACCCACGGTCCTTGCGTCACAGCGCTGCGCCCAGGGCAGCCGTGTTGACCTGGGCGTATGTGGACTGTGGAGTCCAATGTTTCACGTGACTGACAAGACCTGACCCATGCCAACATTTTATGGTGGTTTGGTGTTCATCGTGCTTACACGATGCGCCATAATTACGTATTGCTGATTTTCTTGTTTTCTGTTACTCCCCTTTTTCAATAGTGTCTATTATCAAATGACCTTGTTTGGAAATGGGAGATGAACGTCTGAACATGTTATGGCTCTGGGTGTCCCTTCCACACCACAGTTTTCCATCCCGCGTCATCCCTAACCATTGCCCTTTTTCGTGCCTCTAGCCGGGAACAAGCTGACCACGCTGGCCAAGTCGCTGGTGCGCATGTGCAAGTGGGAGATGGAGGAGATCGAGACGTGCCCCGACTGCTACGGCAACGCCTACCTCAGCGACAACTGGTTCACACTGGCCTGTGTGAGTAGCGAGACGGAATGGAGCCTACCCTGGGTCCGCAATGGGGACTGGTTCATTTTGGTCCGTAGTGAGTAGCGGCCTGCTCTGGCTCTGAGCGGGGGACGGTTCCGCGCAGCCTGGTGGCAGTAATTAAATTATGTATGGTTGGGAGGGATGTTCATGGTCAAAGACATATGTGGTCCCCCACGACCGATTGTTCATGATGTGCGGTTAGCTGCTTCAAGTCACTGCTGGGCTTGTTTTGTGTATGCGGCCGACGCAATTTCATCCGCCGAAATGCCTACAATATTGCCTCAGACGGTTGCGCTCATTGTTACAATTATTGCCAACGGCTTTGCCCAGTGACTAGTCGATTGATTGTGGTCGTGTCTGACTTAGATACGATAGTTGCGTTTAAGTCATTGCGATCGATCTTAGTTAGTATCAAATTCGCCGGTCGAGACAGTTCGTAGCATATTTTGGCTGAAAACTCTCATCGAAAACAACTTCATCGTCGTGTATATCATTCGGTTTCAATTCATCGCATAACGGCCATCGGCTGGACGCTTCTATCTCTTGCTGATACCACATAGGTGTTTTCGCCTCTATCTTGTGTACACGTCTGTGTGTCCATGGGGCGGGGTCAGCCACGTTGCTGCCAAGCAAGCCCGTCTGTCGATCGGCCTGGGCCGTCCCGTCTGCGGCACCTGAGCCAGCCCAGCCCGCCGGCGGCCGTTCCGCCTGGTGCCCGCCGAGCCGAGCCAGCACGGTCTATCGGCTGCCCGCCGCCGAGCCGGCCGGCCTGCCCGCTCGGGACGGTTCGCCAGCGACCTCCGGCCTGGCACCGAGCCAACTCTCCGTGACGTCACGTGCTGTAGGCGGAGCCGGTCGTTCAGTCGGCTGACTCAGGGACAGGAGCGGTGCGCGGCGCCATCTTCTGAGCCCGACCACGTGGCAGCGCAGCTGCCATCAGCTGGTGAACGTGGAACGATCCGGAACCAGCCCGGACCCTCGGCTGCACTCCCAGCGGCCATGAACTAACATGCAGCGGCTCCATGACATAATTAAAACACGGGCCCGGTGAGGTCATGGCGCAGCCGAGGTCGGGTCAGACTGGAGCTGTGGATCCACACTGGTCACTGGAACCGCCAAAAGCAGTGGTTTACGGAAATATATGCCGACATCTTCACGGAATGAACTGAATTATCGGTGTTATTGATATAGCTTAATGTGTATTCAAGACTCTGATGGAGGCACCCTTATCCCGTGACAAAAAGTTTTAGCCCCATGATCCCACATGTTCTATCAATTGATCGTAATTGGGCTTCTTGAGTTCGTCATTATACACAATAGTATTCAGCAATGTTGTACTGCTTTCTATCGTACGGCGGCCGCAATGTTGTAGTATGCCGATTGTCGATAATTCATTGGAGGCGTCTGGATCGCACCACTGTGATGTTTTATATGTACTTGTTGACCTTCACTTTCTTCATACAACTGCTGCATCTTCAGGGTCGTGTTATTGCTAATGTGATCGTGATCACAAAGTCTTGGGTTTATTGACGGCGATTGGAATCTCGACCACGCCTCTCAGATTATTCGTAGCAAGGGAAAATTTCGGATCATTTTGACCGGACTTCACCACCGTCACCTTCAGGATAACCGTCTGATGGTCACGGTGTACGTTTTTATTACTAATCTGACCTGACCCGGAGTGCGACCTTACCCAACTGACATTGTTGTCTGTCCACAGCCGCACCCTCATCTCCTCATCTGGGCTCGGCTGAAGGGCTTCCCCTTCTGGCCGGCCAAGGCGGTCAAGACCAGAGACGGTAACGTCGACTGCCGCTTCTTCGGCCGACATGACAGGTGGGTAGGTGTGGGGTCGTGGGTCGGGGAGAGATACCGTTATCAAAACTGGGCGAGGCATAAAACCGGAGAGGCGTGGTTGTTATAATCGAGGATTAGGATGACGTTGGGGCTTACCCCTTCACCATTAGGTACGAAAATGTGGAATTATGGTTCTGCGATTGAGATGGTGGGTATGAATGAGGGTGTCTGTGCTTTGGAACCGCCAATTAACTGGGAAGTAACAGTACCGGTGTGGCGATGGAGTTGCCATGGTGTTTGCTTTATTTGTAATGAATTTACGGTGCTGGAGCTGGAATTTGGGTTGCGGTTTCGTTGACGGGGCGGGGGGGGGGGGAGGCGTAACCTGTGTTTATTGTAAATAAGAGGTTGATGGGTATTCGGATTTGAAAATTCGCACTGGTTTTTAAGAGGCCCGCAGCTGGTGATGAAGTGTTGGCTTTAAAGGTAAATCTGCTACTTATCTATTATCTAATATTTACGCCATCATTAGAGAGTTTGCATTCCTACCGAACCCAGGCGCCCAATATGAACGGACTCATGAACCCAACTTACTCGGAAAATCAAAACGTCCAGACGGTGATAAACATTCAGGTATCACTGCGATTCTTGCGTCGTGTAGAGCGAGTGGAGCTTTTTTATCGAAATGTTTTACTTGTTCCGGCGATATAACGTAATCACAAGTCATAACAGCTGCTGCAAGTGGTCGAAAGAGCCACCGCGGTGGACGGGTGACGGCTGCAGATTGCTTACTATTCCAGTAAATAATTATGAATAACACTGGCATCGTGCTTATGCACTGTGCAGCAATCGTGAGCGATATCGAACCTCATTGAACCTGACAACTAAGGCAATACTGCTTCCGGGATGGTCCGATCCTATTATTGCTGATCCGGTAATAATTGCTTGTCCGCAGAGCCTGGGTTCCGGCCAAGGAGTGTTTCCTGTTCTCTCGGGAGCCGCCGGTGACGCCCAAAAACCGCACCAAGAGTCTGGACGCCTGCGTGGAGGTAAGGAGCGCAGGCGCCGGTCGATGCGCGACGCTGCTGCCGCCTGCCGGTGGCGCGGCGAACTACCGCGGCCGGCTGGTGTTTACGCCAGCTGGTCGGGCGGGCGCGGCGGGGTGCGAGTCGCACTGTGGGAAGCAGATGTGCAGGGGTGTTTTTGTCAGTCCAGAGAGATGTTAGAGATGACGAGCTGTTCCGAGGGGTGATCATTATGCAGGAAGAGGCGTGGTGTTTGTGCACATATCTGACAGTATGAGCAGAGCACGAGTCGCGTTTGCAACCTTGCGTCATTCGTTGCATATTATTTTAGGGGAGGCAAAAGTTGGCTTTGGTCAGCAATTACGCCTTGACCTGTTTTTTTTTTTAAGAAGAGTTCGTTTCTGCACATTTTGTTTATTTCAGGAACTTGAGGAGCATGTTAAGAATCTCGAGAAGCGGTTTGGTGCCTACAATTTCGCCAAGCCGAAGACACAGTACAACCCGAAACGGGTGCAGGCCCAACTTCTCATGACCATTCCGGGGTACGGAGGTCGGGACGCGGAGACGAAGCCTGCCTCGGGTAAGAGCAAATCAGTTTTGTAAGAGATGGTTATATTGTTTTCCCTGCAATAAAGGATGGCTTAAGCATTTTATGACGATTATTTGTGCGTTTTCAGAGATGCACGTAAAAAGTAAAATATGTTTATTAATTTCGATTATTATTTCCGTCTTTGCCTTTGACAATGAAATTGAAGTGTAAGGGTAGGGCGTATAATGTACTGCTGTTTGTCCAGGAGGTGTAATATGTCTTTGCGAAACCCCTAACGTATCTGTCACCTTTCAGAGCGATCCGGGGTGAAGCGGTCCAACAGTGACATCCAGCTGGAGATTCTGGATCGGCTGAGACAGGACAAGAAGGCTCGGCAGGCGGGTGGCGAGCCGGAGCCACCGGCGCCCGAGCAGTCGGCGGAGGGTGGGGCGGACGACTCGGCGGAGGCCGGGACGGGCGACTCGGCGGAGGCCGGGGCATCCGAGCAGTCGGCAGAGACCGCAACGGCCGGAGAGGACGACTCGCCGAAGGCCGGAGAGGGCGACTCGCCGGCGGCAGAGGTGACACAGCCCGTCCAGCCCCCCACAGACAGCGCCGATAAGGACACCGGGACGGCGGCTGGTCCAGCCAAGACTGCCGCACCGGCGGCTAGTGCGGCCGAGACCACCGAACCGGCGAACAGGTCAGCCGAGACTCCGGTCGCAGCGGCCACTCCTGAACCATCTGTACCGTCAGCCGATCCTGCCGAGTCGTCTGCACCGGCGGCTGACGAGTCGGAAGGTGAGCAGCGGGTGAAGCGCGCCCGGACCGAGAGCAGGGACTCGGACCTTGCGGAGACCAAAGACGCTGCCGAGGAGACGGCGGAAACGGCTGACTCAGTGGACACAGTGGAGGAGACTGCCAGTGCTGAGCCGGCGGCTACAGAAGAACCTGTGAAGGCGGCCATAGCCAAGACCAAGACAGAAACGACGAAGACGAAAGCCAGGACAGAAGGGGCGAAAGCAGAGCATTCCAAGAAGGCCAAAGTGGCAGGGACTGCGAAGGCTGACCCTCCGAAAGCGGCGACGGCGGCGGAGCCGGTGGTGGCGGTGAAGACAGAGCCAGTGCAGTCGCCGGCGCCGGTGGTACGACTCTCCTCCAACGAGGAGGAGAAGGAGCAGCGCCCTCCGCCGCGCCGACGCACCGCCCGCAAGTCGCTCTCAGCCGCCGCTACCGCCGCAGCCTCCGCTTCCTCCTCCTCGGGTGCTCCCTCCGCCTCGCCGGCGACCGCGAAGGCCGCGGCGCCGTCCAAGTCCGGCTCCAGCTCCTCCGCCAAGTCGGCCTCGAAGTCTGACGGCAGCGGTCTGTCGGCGAGCCGGTTCCTGTCCCGTCTGAGCACCGGCGCCGCCAACAAGGCCTGGCAGCCGACGGGTGCATCCACCACAGTCACCGTGGCCAAGTCGCCCCGCACCCCGGCGACAGCGGCGCGCTCAACCGCGGCGGCGGTGAAAACGGTGGCGGCCGGCGGATCTGCCACGATCCATGTGTCCAAAGCGATCAAGGCCGGCGCGGCGACCAGCAATGGCGTGGCGCAGCAGGTGAGCGACTGTGCGGCGGGGCTGCCGCGCTGCACTGACGAGGGTGTTTTAGGCGTACAATCAGAAGGGAGGAACTTAGTTGGCGGTCAATTATCAGGTGCGTGGTTTTAATGTTATTGAATTAAATACGCTTAAAATCGTTATTAAGGTGGAGCTGAAGCTTTATAACCTTTGTCACATTAATTTTGGTGGAGTTGAAGCTTCTCTGTAACCTTTGTCACATTACTGAGTTAATGTTTCGCATCCAGATAACGTTTTCACAAATCCCCACATTCCCTCGATGAGGTATTTCGGCTATCCGCCTGCCAGTGATCCGATCGTCCCTCTCTGACGCCGCCGCCGACCACCCGCAGGTGCTGACCGCCCCTCTGCGGCCCAAGCTGATCACCTCCACACCACGACCGCCAGTCACCTCCACCCCCACGGTGCAGCAGTCCATCATCGTGAACCGGGCCGGCGCGCGGCTGATGATCCCGCGCGCCTCGCTCTACCTGCCGACCGGCTCGGCGGCCGGCGGCGGCGCGCTCACCTCCACGGCTCCGCTCACCTCCATGATGGTGATCCCGGGCGGCCTGGCGACGGCCACCAACGGCACGGCGCTGGTCACCTACCCGGCCGTCAGCTCGGCGGCCAAGGCGCCCATCGCGCACTCGGAGACCGGGCCCGTGACGGCCGCCGTCGACCGGCTGGCCCAGGAGGTGAGGCCGAAACGAAAACACTTAGCACACAGGCAAAGGTGTTGACTGGTCAATACTATAGTTTAATTTTTGGAGCCGATAATTCAGTTGAACTTCAGAGTTCAGAGTTTCAATTCCTTTCTATTGATTATTATTGTTTATATTTCTATTGTTCTTTCTATAGTTTGTGCAGCTTTGTACGCATCCTCGCAATAATCGATTGGCGAAAAGTATTTGCCGTCTGGGCGGACTTCTTTTCTATTTTCCTTTGGTATTGGTGGTTAGTTACTGTCCAATGTCCTTGCTACTGTTCCCTGAACCACCATGTCTTGTCGTCTAGCCGAATGCTGTCTCCTGTCTCCTACCGTTCGGTAACGGTCCGCTGGGAAAGGCTCGGTTTTAGCTGACAGCTAAGGTTTGCCGCGCTCAACTCTTCCTCAATGTATCTTCATTGGTTTCAGCTGACGGCCAAGATGCGAGACGGCGTGGAGCGAATACTCGCCGAGACGGCGACCTCGGGTAGCACGGCCGCCTCCGTCGCCCGGCTCAAAATGGAGATGGAGCGCATGGAGTGGAGGCACAGGGCCGATTTGGCAGAACAGAAGAGAACCTTAGGTGGGTGGATGCGCTAATCCGTCAAACAGGACACGGTTTTTTCTTCCCTTTTTCTAGAATGCTCGTCTGAATATGTAATGCGTAGGAAAAAAATCATATTTCTCATGCTAATTGACCTGAGCTGGTCGGCCAATATGACGTTGCCACGTATCTTAGATGGAAAACAGTGTTCCGTATCACTTCTGGGACGACTCTGCTTGGGCGGTAACGAGTGTATACGGTAGTGAGATGCATGCTTTCACAATGGAATATGATCTGCGGTAAATCTGCGGAGACCTCTCACCGCAGGATTACGGGAGGGCAATGGCGCGCTATTGATTACCTTCCCGGTGTACTTATGCTCGTCGTGGTCACGACATTTGTGCTCGTTATGGACACCTACCTGGTGTGTTTGTACTCGCCGTCACAGCTCAGTGTGTGTGCCGCCCTCAGAGACCCAAATCTCTGAGCTGCGGACGGCGCTGACCAAGGAGCAGAAGAAGTCCGCTGCCAAGCTCAGCTCGGCGCTGGCCGCCGAGGCAGAGACCTGGGAGCGTCTGCTCGAGAAGCGTATTGCCGAGACCAAGAAGAAACAGTGGTGCGCCAACTGCGGCAAGGAGGCCATCTTCTACTGCTGCTGGAACACCTCCTACTGTGATTTCCCCTGCCAGGTGCGGAGGCTTGCCACTCTGTTCGTAACGCTTCATGAGCTAAGTAACGAAATATGGCAAGTGCGTTTTTAAATGGTTCTATAGTATATAGTAACATTCGGTCTAGGCTGGGGTCACCACTTACCAGGGGCTCCGCCACGGTTTTGGGATTGGGGGGGTCCGACCAAAAACACAAAACCTCGCTGGCGGATCCAAGGTGGGCATTTTGGGCTAATTCACCCCCACCCCTACCCCCCACCCCCACCCCCACCCCACCCCCCTGCAGCTCCCGAAATCGATGAAAAATTGCCGTTTTTTCTAGAGTTCAAAGGAAACTTAACAATTCTATCGGGAGGATTTTGCTTTATGAACCGAAAAAAAACAAGGTTCAGTTTGCAAGAGGAGTCGAAAACCGAGAAGCGGAGCTCAATGACACCGACATGGCGGCCTCTCAAATCAACGTTCTTAAGGAAAGGAGGCCGCTGTTGTGCGCTCCAAGGGCGGTGTTAGCCATCAGACAACGCATTAGGCTCTCAGACTAGTATGGTGCTCGAAAGACCGGCTTACCCCCCCCCCCCCCCCCACACACACACACACTATCGGGTGATCTCACATGGAAAGAGGGTTCTCAGATCGATTTGAAGCTCTTTTGGGGCGGGTGTTGTGTTTAGGAGGTGTCCTGCAAGCTGGACCCCTCTCACGAAATTATTGCCAAATTCTAGCATGCTAAGTTAATCCTAGCAATCTTAAACGCATTCATAGTAATAACAAAATGGTAGAATAATGACACTCCCATAAATATAGGTCGGCGATTGTTGAGCACTTCGTGTGTCACAACATCTTCGTGTTTCCCTACATTTCTAGATCTTAAATTCCTTAGCTTTGCGACCATCAACACATTCTAATTAAATTATTCAACACATTCTGTGAATGATTTAGTCATTCTAACGCAAAACAAGGTTACAGGTATTCGGAATATTGGGGGGTACTGTACCCCCCACGGGAATTATTGAGGGGGTCCGGACCCCCGCGTACCCCCCTGTGGCGGAGCCCCTGCCACTTACCACACAGTACATCACCAGACGATAACATTGTCAAGCATCCTTGGTCCTGGACAGAAGGGGGCTGTAACCGGGACTAATCGTTTTCGTTTTCCGTGGCAGACCGACTGACTGCGTCTGTCTGTCTCTCCAACAGGAGGCCCAGTGGCCGAAGCACATGCTCACATGCGCTAACCAGCAGGCGAACAACGCGGCGGCGGCGGACAGCGGCGGAGACGAGGATGGTCGGGGTCTGTCGGCGTGAGCCGGCCTCTGGCCCCGTTACCAGACGGTGTGAGCCGGCTCCTCCGTCAGCGGACGGTGTGAACCGGCCTCCGCCCTCAAACTGACGCTGTGAACCGACGTGTATGGCGCCGCGAGCCCCCGCCGCGCGCGCCGTCAAATGGCTGTGTCTCCGCGGCGGCTGTGTTCCGCCCGCTTTCATCATTGTTCATCGTATCGCTGTCGCTTCACCGGGCACTGTGTATTTCGCTGTTCTCTGTTTGTGGGAGAGCTTGCGGACAGAAGTGTCGAGACTAATGACCTTTTACTGCTCAGGTCGGGCCAACGCCTGTGCTGTGTCTGCACAACTTGGTAACAAGGCCTTTGTTGAAATATATCGTTTATATTATGCAGTTTTGTTGCGAATGTCTGGAGCAAGTGTGGAAACTCAGTCTGCCGTTAGAATGCAACGGTGCGTGACCCACTGGAGAAAAAATGTGCGTTTCACCATACATCGACAATTGAAAGGTACGAATTAGACTATCGATGACGGATAGGGTCACTGCTGTGGGTAAATATCACTTTCAAGCTTCATAGTATTCCGACTGCGTCACGGGTAGGCACTTAGCCTCCCGGACTGAGGGAATTCAGTAGGTGTGCAAACGTGACACTTCAGAACTGAGATGACTCGTCGGTGTGGGTCGTTGAACTGAACCCTTCCCGATGACGCCCCTGCGGCCCGCGCGACCGCTTGGGGTGCTGAACGCCCCTGGTGACTGGAGTGGTGGCTGACGGCCTCCAACGACCTCGCAGACCGCCCACACCAACACGGCCTCCGCGCCGCTCTGTCTGGGTTCCGGCATTATTATCCCATCCGTGGGCTTATGAGTGCTTGACACGCAGGTCAGTGACTGGGTAAAACGGCCGGCAGTTACAAGGTTGGGTCATGGGCGAACGCTGCGAAGACGTTAGGACTCCGACAGGGTGAAGTGAGGTGACGTTTAGATTAGACGAGTACAGCTTTACCTACTTCTGGCGTTTGGTGAATATCTCTGCACAAAACTCAGCCCGACCAAACTGCGTGAAATATCTCATCCAATGGGACTCATCTCCCAATGGGACCTTACGTCCACGCTCTTGGCAAATGCCATCCGATTTTTGAATTTTGAAAAAAGGCACCCTCAAAACGCCTTATTCCTCGAACATGACATAACTTCAACAACCCGCTTCGAATCGGGTTGCTGAAGTCCCCCCGGCTCTGGCCCTTCCCGACTTCACGAAATGGCGGTCAAAAGGCGATGTGTCTGGAAAGTGGGAAAAATGCGTATGCGCCTTCCGCCGTTGGGCCGCAGCTACCTGACCGCAGGTCCTGGCCCTCTAATGCTAAGAGCAGAAATAGCCTCGTAGCCAAGGCCGTATACAAGGCTCGTAGCTTTTCATAGCCCATCGCTGTTAGTGCAATTTGCACCTGCCCCATTATCGGCATCCAGCTCATAGATCTCTGATCTGAGCTCATCTTTTGGCTCACAGTCCACCGAGAAGGAAGGAGGCAAGGGCTCCTTCTCCCATGCCCTGTGTTCTCTTCGCCCGGTCCTCTCGCAGTTCAACGGACAATCAACCTTCAACCCCTCCCCTCGCACATAACTCCTCCCCTCTCCGGCCGCGTGTCCCCACCCCTCCCCCTCCCTCCCGGCGTCTGGAAGCCGGCGTTCGTACCGAGCGTACCGCTCCGGAGCGGCCGGCCCGCCCGGAGCGCACACACCTGGCCTCCAGAAACGGGGCCGGCAGACGGGGGTTCGCCAGGTGCAAATCATGGCTGATTTCGGGCTCGCCGGCTGGTGAGTGAATAAATGTAATGCTTCCTGTTGCTGAAAGAAAGCATAATTTCCTTGTCATCTGATGTCACTTGACAAGTTTTCTGCAGAAAAAATGTCAGAAACTAACAGAATGCTCAGCTCACGACATGGCGAGTTTTTCCAGAGCGGCGCCCGAACCCCCGGATACCCTCCCTATTGGTCCCTCCGAGCGCACACCGGTGGACCGGCGGGTAGCCCTTCCGAGATTCAAACTGGTGGCGGTCGCGAGCGTGTCACTGTCCCGCCGGCTTCAATTGACGCCGTCCGCGTCCACGCTGGCATAGGCGAGCTCCTCTCCTCAGTTTTAGCTCTCTCGACTCAGTTTTATCTGTTGTGAAGTTCCTCTGAGGTCGCCGGCGGGTCGAGGCGTCGCCACCCCAAGGTCAGCACCGACCGGCGTCTTTGTGCTGTGAGTGGTGCCACGCCGCCAGCGCACAGGTATGAACGGGCGCCGCCGGCGGGCGCCGGTCGGCTGCGAGAAGCTGGAGCGGCTCTGTCTGTGCCCCGAGTGCCGCTCGTTCGAGTGGGACGGTCTCGGCTGTGACGACCGTCTGGTGGTGATCCCGCTGCCGCAGCCGGCCCTGCTGGAGCTCTTCCTGACCGAGGTGGTGGTGGAGGTGGAGCTGGTCGGCGTGGACGGGCCGCGGCGGGACGCAGACTGAGCCGCCGACGCCGTCCAGCAGCAGCGTGTGACGGCCCATCTCTGGGTGATGTGCGTCTGGTCCTGGTGATTTCTACACATGACTAGATCCACACTCATCCAAAGAGGGCCGTCCTGTCATCGAGGTCGTCTGCTCTTCATCCTGCCGGGCTCGAGTCTCTGCCAGAGGGGAGGCTCCGCCGTAACTGCGTCCGGTCATGTTCGTGCCGTGAGCGCCGCCGCGTGGTCCAAAGTCGACCGCCGCTGGGCCGGTCTCGGTTTGAAAGGCCGTAGAGCTTGCCTCTGGGTGGTATTTTGTATTGACCCAATCTAGTCTCCATTTGTGATTCAGTGTTCACTGTGCCAGTTCTGTTCAGTTCAAAGCGTTAGCCCGGCTGAGGAAACTGCAGTCAAGCAGATGCTCAAGTCGGTGTCCATTTGCTCTAAGCAGCGTTCTCAGTCAGTCTCGTTCGGTGACTGAGCGGTTAGTGATTTTTGTTGTTAAAACGCGTAAAGCCGGGCGATAGCTGATAGCCTGTTCTGTTCAGATTATTTGACTGTTGCGACCTCAAGTATAAACTTGCGCTGTGATAGGGCACCAATTTTGCCGATGGCTGTGATAACTGATACTTGTTCATCGCTTATCAATACACCGATCATTCCTTTATATCCAGTTTCTTCTCTGGCGTATGAAGTGGTGAGGGTGAATTGTCCAAGACTCTGCTCTTGGCTCAACTGGTCTGCCGGTGTCCTATTCGATGGATGCCTGAAAGTAGATATTATTATTAGAGAGGACGCATGCATCACTGAGAGCAGGATCAGCACGTGCAGAAACTGTAATCTCTGACCGATCGCAGCAACACGATCGTAAATAGCCGAAAGTTTAGAAGCACTGATCCTAATCCAAATAGCTGCGTTCAAGCTGCCTGAGAACTATTCGCTTTGAGCTGCCTGCGGTCTCTAGTTCACCCCGCGAGGCATGAGCTCCGATGCGCACACCAGAGGGAACGCGTGTTTGCCATCCCCAACTAGGGATATACATCAGTCTAATAACTTAGATAACTACATATCGATACATATGCGCGATTCGAGCCCGGAGGAGACGCGTCAGTGTGATGCCGTCCCCGCAAATACGTGTCAGGACCGCATGGGCGGATAAGCACAAATCTGCATGTGGTGGACAAAAGTCACAAACCAGGCTTGAAATTGCGAACAGGAGCGCTCTAATAACACACGAGAACACAGGAACAACACCGTTCGTGATTCAGCGACTAGCACTCTGTTACGGTCACGCCAGGTTCCAATATACGGTGCGAAGGCGCAAAGATGTGATACAAGAACTGAGTGATGTTTATTACGGATGATTCGGTACAAACTATCTTACAGCGGACGTCAGCCTGGGCGAACGACCCGGATCGACCCCGCGAGCCCGCTCGGCCGCCGGCCGAGAGCCACATTAGTAACGATATCTCGTACGCGCGCGCGAGTCTCATAGGAAGTGATATTGTGACGACCGACGAGCAGAAACAACACAATCGAAAACAACGCATGCCACGATTGACCGCGGAGTCGCATACATCAAACGGTCACCGAAATACACTCGGTGCTTCACGACAAAAACAATCAGCTGACCTCTAGGAGGCTGTGGCTGCGGGCCTGGCTGCCGAAGTCGCGGCGGCGCTGCGAAACTAGCGAGCGGCGGGCGCTATGGCACAGAGAGCGCGCCCAGCCGGCCGCCACAACACCAAGCGAACACAACAGGACAGGAGGGCGACGGCCGCCGACGCCGCGCCGTCCACCTTCACACGCACGGCGTAAGGCCGTTAAAGCATGTATAAATACCTACTGCGCTGCGCTGCTGCCATCTACATATAGCTGAACTGAACACTGCGTCTGACAGGTGGCGCCACGAGCGGCGGCAGGGTACACGGGGGCGCCGGCTGTGCGCGCGCGAAGCCGCTAGCTGCATCGAGTAATCTCCCTGCACTCCGTTGCCGTATACTGGTCGTCTCGACTCCCGCGATGGTGCCCCAGCTCGGACGCTGCCACGTGCGCGTATTTATATACAGACCCGGCGGAGCGGACGAGCCGCACCCTTGTACACTACGAGCGGCGCGTCTACGCGTAGAACTCCTTGTTGTAGTTTTTGCTGTAAGAGTTGCCAGTGAGTGAGCGCTTGGGCTCCTCCAGCGCGTAAGATCCCTCGTCCTTTTTCCGCATCCGGTAGACGATGAGCATGACAAGCAGGATGGCGCAGAGCAGGCCGACCACAGCGCCGCCCACCACGGCTGAAACGAGGGGCGGGAAGGTCAGAGGGACCACGGCTGAAGCAGGGGAGGACGGTCAGAGCAGGCCGACCACGGCGCCGCCGACCACGGCTGAAATATAGGAGGGACGGTCAGAGACGCGGCGACAGAGTAGCTCCCCACAACGGTTACGCCCATAAACAGCACGGCCACTGTTCGGTGCGGTACAGAGAAGGGGACTGCACCGATAGACTAAAAACGGCCGGCGATGAGGCATCGTTCCAGCCGTAGTTGCGTACGTACTTGATGCTGTAAATGAGTCAGGGGATCAAGACATGTCTGTACCCACGGCTAAAACAATGCAAGCCTGTCTGGAAATAAATTCCGCGTCACAACAGCTCTACAACAGACAGCAGGCTTCTGGGGCTGGATGTTGGGACTTGGCGCTGCGCCCGAGAGGAACAAACACGACCCATAAACACCTGTAAACAATAGACAACGCACGGGCCGGGCCAGACTGACAGTCTCCCGTCACACACCAGACAGACAAAACAGTCAGCTGTCGGTCGGCGAAGCCCACCCCAGGAGCACCGCTTTTTCAGAGAAAAGTCGATGTGAGCCATCCCAGTCGGCAGCCGGCAGTACCACATTGAACAGCGCCTACCAGTCAATTGAGCTCATACAATTCAAGCCGCATGTCTGTTGTAAGGTCCGCTGAGGATCGACTGGACTCGATTTCACACACATTTTCCTAAACCAACCAGCCCTCACCAGAGCCCACACGACACTACACCAGACGACCCCGCAGCTCTGCTCACCTGCCAGAATGCCGGGCTGCGCGAAGAACGACGTCGGCCTGTCGATGGCCTTGGAGCCCATGCCGTCGGGCATGGCGCCGGCCGGCTGGCCGTTGGCCGTGTTGTCCGGGATGGCGTTCTCACTCTCCACTCCGGCTCCGGCGTGCAGCTCGACCTCCGGAGCCAGGTCGATGTCGTTGTCCATCTCCGGCTGCTCCGGCTCCGGGCGGGGCTGGGGAGGGAGGGGTACGTCAGAGGGGGGCTATCAGGGGAAGTGGGCATGCCAGGGAGACTATCGGAGAGCGAGGCAGATCAGGGGGACTATCAGTGAGAGGGGCACAGCAGGGAGGGTTATTAGAGTGAGCAGTACATGTTAACAAATCAAGGTCAGACAGATACACATCAGGTGATAACGAGGAGGATGACATAGCTAAGTTGGCATCGAACAAAAACATGACGATAAGAAAAGGAGATGGAAGCCATACATAAGCGCAATTGATTCAGTTACCTATCAGCATGTAATCACACGTTCAGTGAAGCCCTGCAACAGCGCCCCGTATAGGCCAGCGCATACACCGTCCGCGGTCACATCGCGCCGGGTCACCACTACCGCCCACACGGCGCCGGGGCGGAGGCGACGCTCCGGCCCGCCGGCCGGCTGTGGTGCCGCGCCAGCCATTAACCGGAGCATCCGTCCGCCGAGCCGTGCGATATGGGTCGCTCGAGGTCACCCAGTAGCCACTCCGGGCCAGTATCACAGCCCGGGAGCGGCCACACGACGCTCGGGTAGCTGGGCGATCACGCGTCGCCGGCATGAAACGACCCATCAAGTATCAGAGCAGGCGTGGCGACCGCGCGTCTGCCAGACCATCCACCGGGTACACACAGGCGGCTGGAAATGATACCGACCGAGAAGGCAGATGGGGCCGGGGGCATACTGGGATAGAGGGCCGACTAACAGGAACAGTAGCTATACGCCTCGGTGAAAGAGATAAACACGTCGAGTAGGAAATACAAGTACTGTTATGCACTTCCAGGTCACAAGTCACAACTCTAAGCATAATCTGGTATGCTTGCTGAGTGATGACGTTTTCCACGGTTCATATACTCGAGCTTCCTGTACCACAATCTAGCACTGTTGCCATGGAGTCATTGTTGTCATTGTTGTTATTACTAACCAATATTTTTGCTGCATCACAACATTACAGAATGTTCAAAACAGTCCCTTCCTACACCATGCTCCGGCAGAAACATCAGTCCAAACCAGTGGAGAGCAATCAAGCCCATGAATGAATCAGTTCCTCATCGCTCTGGGCCGTCCGGGCGACGGCTGGCCGCTCAATAACACATGCAGGCGGTTAAATCTGCATCGGGAGGGCAGCGCGGGCCGGCCCGTCACTCCCGTGAGCCGGCATAAGCCAGTAGCCGCCACGTGAAGCTCCGCCACTCTCAAATGTCAGCGCATGTAAATCGTGGCTCACTCGGCGGCAGTTTACTGCCGACCCGACGGACCCGACGGCTGGCCGGGAACGAGACTACCCAGACGGATCCACACGGATAGCGCAGAGCTTTCTGCATCTGCACCTGGACTGCGAAAAAGAAAACATTGCACTACCGGCACGATAAAGATACGGACAGTCGCCACCGAAAACTCGTGATCAGCTGAGTCCAAGCCTTTGGCACCAGACTGTTATCTTCTACCCCCCCCCCCCCCCCCTACATTGATGCTCCAGTGAACACGTTTGCTCGGTGCCAATTTGTGCATTGACGCCTGCCGGGCCGGACGTCGCACGAGACCATTAGCACGGTGACGCTGGGACTTCACGGCATTCGGCTCGGGCGGTCTTATGACGTCATTGTGACGTCACTAGCAGTCTGTTCACTGGGCAGCACGCCACGGCGGTCTGCGTTTGATGTGCCGCGAGACACGGGGCTCCCCGGGTCGTCCCTGACGGCAGGAGTCGGCACCGCCGCGGCGGAGAAAGGATGTGGGGTGGGCGGCCGCGACAGTGAGCTCAGCTGCTGGTAGCACCCCTGGGTAACGGCTATGGAGGCTACAAGAGGTCACTGTGGTGGTTCAATGCGAACTCACCAGTCTCAATGTGGACGCCTCGGCGCCCGGTAACAGTCAGACAGCGCAGCGTCGTCGCGGTAGGAACTGACTCTATCCGCCATCCCTTTCCAAGCATCTACGCACCGATCACTATCCACATCCAGGCAGTCTCATCCATCACCTGAAGGCAAGCGCTATCCCTGTGGGGCGTGATCGTCCCAATGCATGCGACGCTCGCGGCATCTCAGCTCGGTGACGCTCCCCGTCATCCCCGAGCTGCTGACGCCTGGATGGCGCGCCAGTCTCCGTCATCGGCCTGGATGGCGCGCCAGATCCGTCATCACGCTGCGGCGCGCGGAGAGACGGCGCTTTTTCCACCGGTCGGCGGTCCGCGCTCCAGCGGCGATCGATGACCCAGCGACGTCTGCACTGAAATAGCCGAGCGGCACGGCGACCGGTGGCGCCGGGCCGCTGGAGGAAGCGGGCTCACACCGCACCGGGGGACACCGCACCACGTGACCTCTGACCGGGCCGCAGCAGCAGCCGAGGGGCGATCACGTGGCCGGCAGCCGAGCACCTGCCTCCGCGCACTGTCTGGAAGTTGGCCCGCGGCCGACGACCGACCCTGGGGTGTCATCATACGCCGAACGCGACCTTTGCCGAGATGTGACGCGCCTTGTCACGTTGTTGGAAGCCTGACATGCTCCAGAATCGAGCCAGTTCCTGAATGTCATCCAAACTCACACAAACCTCTTCCCTGTCAAACTCAAATGTCTACCAAAGGACGTCGCTGAGTGTTTCACGTAGGTATAATTGAATGGTGTCAATCAATAATTGATATGACTTACAAATGAAACGCGTTGTGTTTTGAGAGCCTTTCCCAACAAAAGTTCTGCGGACAGTCGAGGCTGATGCCAACACCATTCAATTTACGGGACAATGAAGAATACTTTGTATCAAAGCATACTTCATTTTGGAATTATCATATCCCGCTTACATAACGTCGAGAGAACACTTTCAGTATACTGAAACCCTTAAATTATTGTTGCATTCGCCTTGACATTTAACCTCGGATCCGCTACTCTAACCAAAAATAAGCACATGCATGCATTTTACACTAATGCATGACCTGACCTCTACTTTGACATCATAGTACCGCCGTGTTATCTGCACGATTAACTTCGTCGCTATTCAAACTATGCCGTTCTTCTATTTCTGACTGCACGCCACAACCACAGTGACGCAACCCGCCGTCGTGCCATCGTTAAAAACGTAGCCACAAAACAACGACAATTGTCACTAGCCCGTCCATTCAATGGCGCAATCAAACTCCTCAATCAGCAAATGGTGGTTGAATCAAAGACAGTCAATCCAAAGAACCCAATACGGAAAATCCCCGTCACAAGTTCTTTCCGAAGTAATCACGACATTTTGAAGAGAGTCGTCGGTTTCCGCGAAATAAATCAACCGGAGCATCCGACCGCCGACAGGCGACCGATCAACTTATCTGGAGCCTGAAGGGCCGTCCAGTCCAACTCGACTTCCGCTGTCTCCAGGCAGCTTAGACGCCTGGAGCACTTCTATGAGTGCATATATGAGCATGCTTGACCTTAATCAATAATCACTATGAAAACAAATGACATTTCATCATTAAGGTTGCCCGTTACAGTTACATTGAATACCTAATGGATACCTACTGGTTCCGGCGAAGCCGTCGTAATGTTCATAATGAGTTTTCTAACATCATTCCACGTCACCATCTGAAGAAAACATTTCGTGACGCCACTGACCTTATTACGATTCAAAACAACATAAGTAACTAAGTAGGTTTGCGTTGGCAAAATTGAAGACTGTAGTCTACACATGTCTGGTTGAGATCGAACAAATCTGGTTCGTTCCTGTTACATCCGGTGTCATCCGGTATCACTAAGACCGCGATCCAGTCCGACAGCTGCGGCGTTCGACCGTAGGGCGCTGTACGACCCTGGCGCTCCTGCGCTGACCTCCGCGGGTGACCCACTCGGTACTAGCACCCGGAATATAATTTGTCCGTGTGTGTATTGGCGGATGGCCAGCCGGTGCGCCAGGCGCCGAGCGTCGGCCGTCCTGGCTGCCGAGGGCACCGCTGTCCATCGCTGGCCGGTCAGGGACACCGAGTAAGGGATTACTTGGCCGAACACTGAGCAGCCGTCCGCCAGTGCGTCGGTGACGACGCGGCACGTGCTAAGTTTGGAGCAGTGGGACTCCCTTGTGAAGCGGGGAGTTCGCTTCCACCCCGTCCGACACGCACTGAGCGTTTTGGCATGCAATGGCACGTATGTTCAGAAAACGTCCAACCTCGCGAGTGGCGCAGCACATTCCAGGCTGGCGTAATCCAATTTAGTGCAGTGTCCCAACAGACTATTGAGAGATGGCAAGGCGAGCTCCTGTCCGACATCAAAGCTTCGTCGCCACAGAGACCCTTTTCATTGCGTATAACCACAACCACCGATGCAACGACCACTGAACTGGAAGAGAACTCTGCTAAAAAAATCCTGCATTATTAACTTACTCTAATGCTAGATTACTTCTGCTATTGTGCTCCCGAAACCCACAGAACATGCATCTCGAGCCTGCCGTGGGACATCGTCGACCGCTCTGGGCGTCAGACCAACAGCCGGCGGGCGCCGCTCACACGGCACCAATGGCGTAACTGCGGCGCCGGCCGGCGTAACGGCGGCTCCGGCCGGCGCGGGAGACAGAGAACCGCCGACAGACGGCCGAGAGGCCCTGTCATCGACCAGCGCTCTCCGGCCGGCACTGAGCGGAAGTTGTGTTTGGCGCCGTGGCCGTCGGGCCGTTGCGCCGACCGGGCAGGCAGGGAGCTGTGAGTGGGGCGCGTACAGAGCAGCAGTGTGCCGTGCGCCAGCCGCTGCGAGTGGCGCCGGTGTAAAGTTATCTCGGCGCCGGGGGCGTGACATACCGAGCAAGGCGCCATTCGCCCCACCCGGTCAGATTGTATAAACAGGCGCCCGGTACCGGACGGTCATCCATGGGGCCATTGATGGTCGGCTGGACCTAAGCACCGTGGCCCAACATTGAAGGCCAGAGCGGGACGTGTGAGCTTCTCTGTTACTAACCACCATGAGCTCGCAGCTCCGGCATGCAGCGCCTCCCCGCTCTGCTGTTGTGCCCCCTCCCGCCCCGTCCCCGCCGTACTGACCGGCTCGGTGGGCCGCAGCTCCGTGCCGTAGACGGGCGGCGGCGGCGGCGGCCGGCCGTGCTCCACGCCCAGGTCGCCGTAGTGGTCGGGTCGCTCCGTGTGCTCTGGCAGCGGCGGCGGCACGGCGTGCACCACGCCGACACTGTGTTCGTCGTCGGGACGGCGCGGCGGCACCACCACCTCCGGCGCTACGTCTGTGAGGGCAGAAAACACAGGGTCAGCCATCAGTACCACCGACTCTGCACGACAGAGACACAGGGCAGAGGGAGGCACACAGGGTCAGCAGCCACCACCTCCGGCGCCACGTCTTTGAGAGGCGGAAACACAGGGTCAGCCATCAGTACCTACCACCAATGAGCCTGTAGTACAGATAGGGCTGAGAGAGGCACACAGGGTCAGTAACAACTAACCACCACCTCCCGCGCTAAGCCTGTAGGGAGAGCTGTAGGTAGTAGGAAGTCAGACGACAATGAATCACAAAACCGGAAAACAAAATCGGATAAAATCGAAATATGCTTTGACACACAAACAACCACCAATTCCACTAACATCAGACAATTGACATATGCCTTTGAGACGCGTCACGAAACAAACGCAATAAAACATACTCTTTAGACTTTTACGACGCTTCCGCACAATGCCTTGAACACATTTCGGCTCGAGATGGAACAGCACACCACGTGACCAGCTCCCGGGCTCACGTACAAATATACACGGGTCCCATACACGTCAGACGGACAAACAATGAGCAGCCAACAAACACAGCACCGGACAATGATGAATATCGCCGCTTCGGTGTGACAATAGACCGAGAGAGACGAGAGTGTCCGATGACGTGAAGTTCAGGGTTCATCGCCTGAAATGGGCTGCAACTCCAACTTCCTCGAGATATGAGTCAATACATGTGTAGCTGTTATCGTGCATAACAGCACTATCGGCGCAGTGACCGTCTTCGATCCGGTGAGTGAGTCATTCCATTGAAGGAGGGTCGCAGGGAAGTGGCCCAGGTCCTGTCGCCCGGCCTACGCGGCTCAAACACCATAACACACACGTGTGATACCCGCCCCCTAGCTTGGGTACGCTACCATTTCAGCGTACAACTGCCGGACACGGATTTTAGGCCGGAACTCCAGCCGGTTGTCCTCGGCAGATTCAACGGGACCGTACCGGGCGTAATCCGCGATTTTCTCCTGACAGCCTTTTCGTTATAAATAGAAGTCATCAGAGTGGCCAGATGCGCGGATGGCGCTTATTATTTCTGTTAGACATGTTTCGAGCCATCCATGCACCTGGTGTGAATCTATTGATACGCTTTCTTCCTCCCAAGTTCGAAAGAAAAGTTACTTCATACAGCTTCCATTACCAATAAGCATCACAATAATGACATCTCCATTCTCCAACTACTGGAACTTAATCGGACCACCCCAGGAGTAAGTTACTCATTCATTTTCACTGCTATGTTTTACGGCCCTGCCTGTGGCCAATTGACCAGTCGATGGACGGAGAACAAATCGGTCCGCTCGGCCGTCTATTGTGATACCGGTGTGCACTGTTTGGCCTTGGTCGCAGTGCCAGTCACGGTAACATCGAACACGCGGCTGATGACACTGAGAAGTGGCCGCTCAATGAAAGCGGAACTGTTACTTTGAGCTGAGGCTCTGCACTTCATGGACAAACCACACGGACTCTGCACGCTGGATACAGTGGCTGTAAACAAAACGTCCAGGATAAGACCACAACGCTCCGCATTTGATTCCTCTCATAATCGCTTTAGAGTGTAATCAAGGGATATCAAAACAAAAGTAGCTGAGCAGTTTTCTAACAAGATGGTCTAATCGTCTCAGCTTCGAACCTAATCACCGGCCAATAGCGTGGAGCGGTGGGACATAAATGCGCGTCTCATCCGAATTCTTCCTCCACGCCGACTAAAGAATGCAGGAAGCCTAATCTCCGAGCCTCTCCTTTCCCTTATCAGCAGCAGGTTCCCAACACCTTGTAAACCTTCAGCAACAATCAATCATACACAAATACGGTGTGGATGTTTTGGCCGGCACCCTGCCCGTACCACTTCTCTCATTGGATGAATCCCGTATCAGCCCGACCATAACCAGTCAGTATCTGTCTGTAGCCTCCATTGCCGCCAGTATTCCGTCTCATTGATATAACCAAAAGGCAATAACTCATCTCACTCGGCCCGCATCACCCCGTCATCCCAGTCTCATTGCATCCCGCCCCACCTCGTCTGTGTCCAGTCTCGCCCTTACCCCGGTATCCCGACTCTCCCCGCCTGCCTCCCATCCCACTCAATCTCTCCCCGCGCCCCGCCCCGCTCATGTTCGCCGGACCGCCGACCTCGCCACCATTCAGTATGCGTGCTGGGCACGGCGCCCCAGCGGGAACTCTTCCGGCCTCGGCGCACCCAGCCCGGACCGGCCGCCGCCGAGCGGAAAATGCGCCCCGGCCCGTAACGAAGAGGAACGGGCGGGCCCGGCTGCCATCGACCGCTTCTGTCCCCTACAGTCGGAGAAGTGCGAGGAAGTTGGCAAGTTTGCAGCAGTGAATGGCTTGTTGCCTCTCGACCGCGGCGTCAGCGTTCAGTGACATATTTGTGGTTAGAGCAATCTGTCAAGGAAATATGGAATTTAAACAATTCGATCAGGCGGGTTCATGCTAGATCATACAAATGTGACCCCACGCGAAGTGAAATACAAGATTGAATAAGCAGGTAGAACATTATGTTATCCAAGTCCAACCGCCTACGATGCATGTATTATGTACTAAACATGGTAATAGAAACCCGGATGCACAAGTTTGTTCTCTTAGCTTGCAACCAAAGGCACCCAGGCACCTGGCAGCGATTGAGTTAGGGCTGGTAGCTCAAGTGCTCTCCGTCTTCACAGATGTTTCAACAACATAGCCTTCTGGGAACGCCGCCAGCGATCAACGAAGTTAGCAGCGCCCAGCGCCCGCGCAGATCGGCTGTCCGGCGCGTCAAAACCGAGCTGCGGCTGGCGGCGGAGGTTGCCCGTCAGAAGCGCCGAGCTCTCAGAGACGTCCCGTGACGTCACTGCCCCCCCCCCTGTTGGGAGGGGGGCTGTCATAGCACGTGTTTGGGTCGGCAGCTGGCCAGAGACGCCGACAGCATCCCGACTCCGGTCCAACTGAGGGAGGACGCTGACCCGGACAGCTGCAGAGGTTGCACTGTCCTGGATCTGCCCTCTCAGCTCCCTCGTCCCCCTGGGCGGCCATATTGACCTCTGCGGGCCCATCGACCCAGCTGCAGCACCGGACCGGCATCAGAGCTGGGAGCCCGGCGTTATCACCCGGGGAGGCAATTAACAGTAATGATAGCGGCGAAAGAACGGCGTGAGCTGTGAACACCAAAGGCCGGGATACCCTGCCGGGGGATCCTACACTCTGCAGTCGATAGATGTCTCAATAACGGCGTCTCGCTAACAGGCTCACGTCTAATGTTAGAGGCCCAGCGAGTCTCGGCAAAACCCATACGAATGACCACGTCCTGTAACTCTCTTTCAAGCCAGTGTGGCTAAGAACTGATCAAATTTCACATCTTGACCCTGTGTGTGCTGGCGGGCATCAAAGAGGTCATATATGGCCATACCGGTGTTGATTTATTACCAATCGAAATGCCTGCAACTTAAATAAATCAATATCAATGCCGCAGTTTCAGCCACTCCAAGCTTAACCTTCCCAGATTGCTGTCAACCCGCGAAATAAGCTCCTCCCAGTCGGTGAGCCCTGCAGCCTCCTGGCCGGGCGACGACCTATTGATTGAGGTCATTACGGGCAGTGGCGGTGCGGCGGCGGCCAGTCAAGTGGCCGCCCGATTTGGCCCGCCCTCGGACCGGCTGCAGCGTCCACCAATTGCCGCCGAAGGACGGGGAGCACCGCGACACGGAGGGACGGCAGAGGGTCACGGTCGGACGGGGTGGGCCTCGGATGATAACCACGAACGCTACACCGCCGTCTGACCGCAGTAACCCGACTCAAATAAATAGCCCCAGACTCGTAAACAGCAGAACTCGACTCGCATACGACGCTCCTTACTAATACCTACACGGTGCCCCTAATGATACGTGCCTCTCTCTATAGGTGCACTGCATATAGACCTTGAGTAATAGCACACGGCGCCAGCTCATCGACACCACCGGCCAAAGCCAACAGGGCAGCCCGGTGGAAACACACGCACTCAACAGACCAGACTCTCGCCTTCTGTCAAAAAACATGACAGCTCACCAGTCCAGGGACGGCCGACCAGTCTAGCGAGAAATGTCCCGAGGCGGCGGCACTACTGCTACTGGGTGCTGCACAGGGCCACAGGATGAAATCCCTGAGGCACTTTTCCACGGGCGTGCTGGCCCCGATGCAATTACATAACGCGTGTTTTACATAAATGGTTATTGAAATTTGAAATCAGCATATTGAATGAATCACCACTAGCAGTAGCACTCTACCCCTCCATCACAGTTCACCGCCCCTAACCGACCGAGCTCTTAGTACACCTGACAGCCTATACCACGGCCGTGCCCCTGAACAAAGGTACCGAGTCGCCCCGCCCCTATAGCCGGTCCCACAAAAACGGCAGGCGCCGATCGCCGGTTCAGCCCACTCCCCTCTCCGCAGGTCCATGTGACGGTGCCGCTCAGCAGCGGGGCCTCCATCAGCCGGGGTTCAAACGGCCCGCCGGCCCAAACAGCGCCTGTAAAACAGTGTGCCGGGAATGCAGCGCCGGCGGCGGCGTGTGCCGATCGCCGGCCGGATAGTCGCGCGAGGAGCTGCCGCGCCGCGCGCCGGACGCCCCAGATTGTATCGGCCGCGCTGCCGCGGACGGCGCCGGGCCGCCAATGGCCGGGCCATGAGCGTGACCCCCGGCCGTCCGTCCTACCAGAGGTCGGGTGGGATCAGCCCGTGCCAACGACTTTATCACGGGTCGAATGTGAGCCCACTGCACTCGTGAAATTGTGAAATAGGATGGTTCCGTAAATCAGTGCTTACGGCCAAAGGACAGTCTATGTGCTGATGAATTAGGGACACTTAGCTTCACAAATAAGCATAGCTTCAACTTAGATACTGTCGCGCACCGCTGAAAACACTCGAGTGACATGTGTTTGTTCCTAAGTATTCTAACGCTGCTCGTCGTTTTTCGTAGGCTATTTATGGTCTATGGATAATGATATGTGACAGCTTTTGTATATGGTTCCTGACTCAATGGAATTCCAACTTGTCACCCGAGCCAAGCTAGGCTCCTGATTCCTGTAATATAATAATATTGCAAATGCATCACGGCGCCCATGGCCAGAATCCCAAATTCTGCGCCCAGCCCAGCCATTGCTGAGCAGAGCACGGACGCCACGCCGGCCGGGCGGCGATCGAGTGGCCCGCTGTGGGAGGGCTGCGGCACAGCACACTGCCGTCAATCAGCCGGCCTGGAGGCGGCAGCCGGCGCCAGACCACGGCCGTCCAGGGGCCCGCCGCCGGGCGGTGCTCTGCTGACACAGACCACACCGGGCTGGCCGGCGGCCAATGTTGACAATGCCGCGGTCACAGTCGCCAGCATTCAGTGACGTGATTCGGGGAGATGGCTGAGCGTCGCCGCATAGTTGGAATTCCATGGAGTCAAGGACCAAATGCGAAAGCTGTCCCATGATGTCCGTAAATATCTCACAAAAAACGGACGACAGCCCACGAAATATTTAGGAACAAACACATGCATTGTTATGCCTTTTCATAAAATTACAAATACCCTTATGCATAGGTATAACTTATCAAGCTGAAAGTTTCACGACGCAGATCGCTGACCCAAATCCAGCCCATGGAGGTTGCCTGTCCTCCCAGCCCGGACCTTGGCGCACCTGTCTCCCTGTGGTGCGACAGGCCGGCGCCGGGCGGGGCGGCCGTCCGGCGTCCGGCACCTGTCGGGGCGGCGGCGGCCCTTTGGCCCCGCAGACGGCGCCGATGCCGCGCTGATAGTCCCCGTCCGGAGACTGCGCCGTCGCCAGCCGGCGGATGGCGGCTCGAACCCGGCTGCCGGCACAGCGACGCTCACCGACGCGCTCAGCTGTGACCGATAGTCCGGCATCGATCGCCCGGACGGCGAGATGGTCACGGAGCCCCCCGCCGCGCTCGGGAGCAGTGACACGTCGATACAAACGTCGGACAACGTCTGAGCAATGACCTCCGCTGAACATTGATCGCGTTGACAGTAACCGAGCGGCTCTGTCGGTAACCAGCTCAGGTAGCCCCCGACGCTCGCCGCCCGGGATGGTGTGTGGTCTCAGTGTGACCGGCGTCGGTATACTACCGCCACAAAGACTGCCGGACAGATGGTCTGCCTGCGGCTATTGCCGGGGCGCCGGCCTATGAATCGACCCTATCACCCCAATATCGCGGAAGCGAACAGCCGGTGCCATTAGGTGAGCCGCCGCGGCGACCGGCGCCGCTGTCACAACAGAGTCCACCGCGCACACCGGGCTGCCGGTCGTACCACACCGAAATCCGGCGCGGCCAACAGCCCGCCGGCACGCAACCGGCGACAGTTCGAGTGCCGGTCAGACGGTTCACGGCAGGCAAAGGTCGAGCCCGTCGGCGCCGCCAACACACAGTGGGCTGGGTCTGAGCTCCGTTCTGGATACGATAAGGTATGGTGAGGTCAGATACGGAGAACCACACGCGAAAAAGTATTGATCGCCGACCTCTACTGACTGAAAATGGCGGCCGATAAGTGGGTCAAGCTACTCTCCGGAGAATACATCTGTACATAAAGCAACTGCCATGAAAACAAACGGCATCAGGACACGTAGGCTTATTGTACCTAACAAAAAAAAAAAAGCAACTGATCAGGCGAGGGTCATTGTCTGATAAGTCAATTAGAAATTGACTACATATTTTCTAAAAGATATTTTTTTTTGGGTTAATTCCATCGACACCATGTGAATATTCGGTCTATTCCCATCACATCGGAAATATAGGGCATCATGAGGGGGGAGATGGGAGGGAGGGACGCGGAAGAAAATGATTGGGGAGAGGCTGATCGTCCTATGAGCGAGGATAAGACTCGCACATGACGATTCCGGCCAGTTCGCGAGTTCGTCAGTCCGCCGTAAACAGTGCGTCGCGTCAACCGTAGCTGCCACACACGAACGCGGTTCCGTGTTCCATATTGAGTTCACAGTTTCATATCCCCGATCCAGCATGGCATCTCGCTTCGGAATACCGGCCGAGACCCATCCAAGCGGCCCCTCTCGGGCTACCAGCCAGTGGGCACTGGGCAGCCACCGATGGCGTCCGGCTCTGAGCTGATGTGACGCCCTGCGGTCACTACCCGGACACCGGGGCGGCCGGCAGACCGACCGCACCGGACGCCACCACTCACGGATCGCCAGAGGCGTCAGAGCGAGCTACCGCTGAGCCGCACGCGCATATCGTCCCCAGCATTCGACGGCGACAGCAGAGGAGCGGGCCCAGCGGCCAGGCTGAGCAGTCTCCCAGCCAGGGTGTCTGTCTAAGCAGACCTGGAAGCCAGGCCTCTGGCCGAGCGAACCCGGGAGCCGGGCTGAACGGACCCCCAGCCAGGGTGACTGACTTCTGAGCGGACCCGGGAGGCCGGGAGCCCGGCTGAGCGGTGCTGCTACGCACCAAACTACGGATGTGTCCAAATGCGGAGCCCTAATGCGCACCCAGCAACACTTCGGCCCGACCCAGTCCCTGCCACCCTACATTTATAATGGCGACAAATGGCCGGAAGTGTTAATGAAAAGGGAGCCAGCAACCGCCTACGCTCGCACGCACGGCTGCCAACATTGAGCTAGATTGGCAGTTCTATGATAAATGTGTGTCAGTTTAAACAAGGGAGGAGCGGCAATAAACGGCAGGCCTTGCTCAGGATGGTTCAACCAGCAGCTAACACGCCCAACGACGAAGAAAGAGACGCACCTCTCCGTTTAGCCAGCAACCGAATGAGTGTCACGATTGTTCTCATGAGTTATGAGAGACTGGGTGTTATTTGTGTGCGTGTGCGCCCTTGAGCGTAATCCCGACAGTTCCCTGCCCAGCGGCCGAGTGCCTCCCCTGGCAACAGCAGCGCGTGCACTTACGGTCGGGCTGCGGCCGGTACTGCTGGTCGCGGCCGGCGTCCGGCGACGGGTCCTCGCTGTCATAGTAGCTCTCGTCGTCATAATCGTACTCTTCGTCGTAGTAGTCGTATTCGTCGTAGTAGTCTCCGTCGCCGCTGCCGTAGTACTGGTCGTCCTCGCGCGGGAAGCCGCTGTAGCTGGGCGGCGGCTGCTGGTGGCTCACCGGGCTGCCGTACACCTGGCCAGAGGCGGGCGGCGCCGGCACCGGCTGCGAGCGGCCCGCCGGCGGCGCCAGCACCTCCCGACCGGAGCCCTCGTGCGCGAACGGAAAGTCCTCATCGTCCGACGGAGGCCTCTGGAGATGGATGGAACCAGGCCATAATCAATCACATGTGCAGAAAGGGGACAGCCAAAACAGCAGGGTGTTACTTAATCAGTAAATATTCACCTTAGTTATCAAATGCATTATAATCTGCTAATTGTTTTAGGTGACTTAAAAAAGGTTGGGGATAAGGAAAAAGTTTCACTTGGTTTTATTGGGTAGAGGCAGATTTCAGAAGTGCAAAAATGTATACCTTTAATAAATTTACATGTAGGTAGGTGATCAACAGCTACAAAGCTGTGTCAAGACAAAAAAGAAAAACAACAACAAAAAATAAATACATTTTTGCTCTTTGGAGCCTATTTTTTTCTGGCAGTTTTGTCATTTGCCACTTAACAACTGATACAATAGGCAGTATTTATATGCAATAGTGAACCGACTTCAAACTGGAAACACTATATTTCTTTTTCTTTTCTTTTCTGCACTGACATAGGCATCCCATCAGCAACAGAAACTTAATTGTCTTCTGATTGACTTACACATTGAGCCACCAACATCCATTTCAGCCTGGAATTCTAAACATTCCCAAGCTATTTTGATATTGGTGAGGATATCTAAGGTGGGCCATTTTTTTCAGTGAAGTATCTATGTGGTTGTCACAAAGGTGCAATAAAAAGGATGCCTGCTTGGTAAGGACAAAGCCTGGTGTATATTTTCCCTCAGCATGTGTCCAACTATAAATACCAGGGTACTTATACTAGATGGCTAATATCTTCAGTAGTCTTATACAGTAAAACCACTGATATTAGCTTGACCATTGACTTAGAGTGAGAGGTCAGTGAAAGCTGCCCCTAGCTTTGGTACCCTAAATCACGGAACCAAATAATGGGGCAATTGAAAATGACAGCTGCCTGCCAAGCTAATTTTATGTTATGCAGGATGTTCGCTATTTAAATGACCCAGTATCCGATGAATTTTTGTTGTAAGCATAGCTTATATCCTTCACATACCTGACAGTGTACCAATATGACGCATCCAAAGATGAGAATGTGAAACGACAGCCCGTATCTCATTTTTGCGTTTCCAAGCACGGAGACACTTATCAAGACGTGCACAGGTGTCCAGATTACATGAAAACGTCGCCACCGAAAATTCACCCTTCCCAACTAATATTGATATAATCACGTTAATCACTCCCCCGAAACTCCATCCACATCGACACAGACACCGTCCACTTTTCCTACGGCGCACAGCGTATTTACAAATTGCAACCGAGCTCCGCCGTAGGGTATTTTATATCCGCCGTAGTGTATTTCAGTTGGGGTATTTTCTACCATACATCTGCCTGAGCTTGGGGTAATTACAATTTGTCGGCGACGTTAAAAAATGATGCACCTTTTTTCGCAGTATAGGTTATCGCATGTGCATATTTGTCTTTTTGGTTGCGCTTTTCCCTCGCCCGTATAGGGGGAGGCGTTGAGCGGACCCCATCGGTTTTTCGTGAGTAACTCGCGTAAAAACCGTCCGATCGCGACGAAACTTTCAATACTCCCGATTTTATCAATTTTACTCCTGCCCTGAAAATTTCATGACCCTGACCCAAGTGACCTTTGACCTGTGACCTATTTCTCGAGGTCATGTTTGGCCCGAATCGCGATTCGGCGTATGTCGGCTCGCATTAGCCGCGCGTTTGCAGTCTTTACGTGGTTTCAAGCGTTGAAATATGTGATATGATGCTGGTCCCATGCATTAGGGTGGGTGTCACATGAAGGTCAGGTCAGCTCAATGACCTTTGATGACCTCGGTTCACTTTTTCGAGTTTAACATGTTTCTAGGCTAGTTTTTGGAGCTGATTTCGAATTTAGCAACCACTTGAACATTACAGAGGGTGTAACGAAATTATCCGGACATCTTTCTTCCCGCTGTAATTAAAAAGCAAAACATTCTGGTACTTTTATTTTGACTGAGCATGTAGCCACCTTTCATAAAAACACAGTGGCGAATGTTTTGGAGCATTTCAGCCAATGTATTCTCCAGCACACTGGCTTTGATGCGGACCAACGCCGTCTAAACCTGTGGCAGCGGTTGGGCGGTGCTTGTGGCGGGCGTCTCTTCAGTCACCTAAGCCGTAATCGCCACGCCATATGTGGAAGGCTTTTGGTGTCAATACATATACATACTGAACAAGAGCCCACAGGTTTTCGATTGAATTGGGATCGCGACTTTTTCCAAGTCATAAGCGTTAGCCCAGAATGATTGAAGGTTCTATCGGCATCACTTCCCGTTCTTTTAGGGACTTTTAAGTAGCGCGCCGTCCCGCATGAAGACAGCGTGGCTTGAATCAGGCATCAGTGCGCGTTCAGAAACCGAGCCCTCAGGCGCTCAACCAGACGGTATAGGAGGGCCTCCTATACCGTCTGGTTGAGCGCCTCCGACTATTCATTGGCCAGTATGTTTCTCCGGTAATACTTGACGTTGATGGCGGTATTTTGTGACACTATGTTCTATTGGAGGATCGCTAGGCAGCTGAACATGCTCCAGTTCTGGATGTTGTCCGGATGTTTGACGGTGGCGAAGGCCAGCAAGTTCGAGCGGCTGGCCGCCCATACATGGCCGATTTGACGGTTCAAAGGATAATACAGCTCGAGCGGCTACCCATCCAACCAGACCACCTCACCCTTATCATTCTTCAACCAGTGGACGCGATCTGGCGTGAGGCGAAAGGTGGCGAACTGGTTGCTTTCCCGTCAGTTTTGTTGTCTTTTTCAGTTTGAAGGGCACTAGAACCAAGTTAAAGGGCGGGTAGCGGTAAACCATGATATGGGATCTCTTATTATCTGACTTGGTAGGAATTCGAGTCAATTTGCGGATTGATTGGTGCCGTTTCCTTGCCGCTATCTTGATGACTCTCCTCACCACTTGACAAAGGGCGGCTTTTGTGGTCGCGACTGGGCTGAGTCTGCCACCGAAGTCCCAGATTATTACACCTCAGGCAGATGTGCAATTGGCTGCTGCTGATGTCCAGCTGCTGTCAGACCAGCTTCTGGCTCATGACGCCGTGGATGCCGCCATGCGATTTTACCACGAAAGGAGAGATTGTATCCCTTTCTCGCAACTGCCTTGGACGAAAACTACCATGTGAACCCGTCTGTGAATTGACTCCTACTCAGAGCAACAGTCACATGACAAGGTCAGGTCACTGCTGAGTTGAAAACCGATAGCAGAGGCACGTATTCATCCAATATTCCCACTTCTAACATCAGAAAGGATTAGGAAATTGTGCAAACAGATATGGCAAAAAAATAGATGTCCGGATAATTTCGTTACACCCTGTACTGAAGTAGTTTTAGTGCCTTCGTAACATGTTACGAAGCTGTCAGAAAAAAACGTTCTGCCCCTCCAACTTTTGCTTATTTGTAGAACTTCGTTGCTTAGCAAACCACTATGTTGTTCGCATTGAGGAGCTTTGAAATGTCTGTGTAATTCAAAATGTTAGTTCTGTAATTAAAAGAATTGATTCAGTGTTGCACATAATCTAACTTAACAACCGAGCATTGCAGGTTTGACAGCTTTTTGCCCCACCAGCACCACCTTCGCTGGAAAAGCTCCACCCTTGCCTATCCCGCGAGTTGCTGGGGGGGGGGGGCGTTAAACGCCCCCACTTTTTTCGCCGGGCCATAGCATAAAAACGGCGGGCCGCAGGCGCGCCAGATTTTGGGTACGTGTAGGGAATTGATTGCAGTTTATTGTGACAAAGTTTAAAAAAAATCAGTCGGAAAATTTTTGAGATATCGAGGTTTTAGTAACGTCATGATTTCTGAGTTTTCGACCAAAAACGGCATATGTTCAAAAAATCATATTAAATCACAGAACAGACATACAGACATGCCGTAAACGCCATTAGACTGCCAATACCATGATCAATCAAATGGCTATCTTCGATTATTGATTATCGTTCCGCATTTTCCATAATCTTGAACTGAATCTTGGCAATTTTTCGTGACTACTTCACGACCATGATACATGCATTTCTTAAATTGAACTTTTTGAGCCAAACACGTACACATATGGTAAAATGAATGTCACCATCGTGTTCTACGCCCCAAATTACCTATTAAACATGTGTCACAGGCTGCGAATATCAGTTTTGATTTTCGGGGATATGTGGCATGTGCCTACCCGGTTGACCTGACCTTGACCCTGACCTATGCTTGACTGACCCCTACATGGAGCTGACACTCTTGTAGGCCTTATATGATGGATTGTGCACCGTTTGGACAGAGTTTATGACGAGAGGCGCCCATTGCGAAGTCCTGAAGTCCATGCTACTGAAAGCCCGATTTCAGGTGTTTGACCTGACCTTGACCCGACCTGTGACCTCAAAATTCAACTTTAAAGTACTCATCTGAAGCGTCTCGTCGCGCTCTTTCGTTTGCCGCCTCGTGCGTTTCGCTGCGCCTATTGGTTCTCGAGTTATCGGCTGGGGGCGTTTAACGCCCCCCCCCCCCCCCAGCAAACGGTGGGTGGCGAAATACCCCAGCAACTGCCGGGCTATGGGGCAAAACATAAGGGACAAAAACACAAAACAAGACAGATAAAAACAACACAAAATGAACTCATTGCCTAATGAAGTTCAGTCTGGAGCAAAAACATAGGTAGTAGGCATCTATGTCAAATTAGAATGAAAGATTAAAATCAACTTGACCAGGTCTTACGGTCTGACCTGATCCTGACTGCCTTACTTCACCTAACCCCAATTCAACCTAACCTACCACAACACCTGCAGAGGTACCTTCCTGGAAAATCACGCCCAGGGAGGTGTCCAACTTATTGGAATATTACCATGATTGCTTGTCAAAATGTGTGTCATCATGCTCTTGTTTGACAAGTGATGTATAATAAATGTGACATTCAAAAATGACCTCCTGACTGTTGAGTGATTAGAATCTTCAAATAATCAGGGTACAATGCTGTGCATCATAGTGCACACTAGTCACTGTTGTTTTTGTGTAGGCCCTCTGCGCATTATTGTGTACACTGCCATGTGCACCTTAAGGAAAAAAAAGTGACTAGTGGTGCATAAAAAAGGTTGTGCAATTGTGAAGTTCATGCCCTTGGTCTTGCTGGAGCCAAATGCCTATAGCTATAGCAGCCAGCAGGATCAGTGAGGGTTGTAGACATGCTACATACACTGTGAATTGAAGATATTGGCACAAAGTTCACCCATAGGTAATTACTATGCTTAACACCTAATGTAAGAAGCAACATAAATGCCCAGATGATACAGCAACAGCTCTCTGGTCAACATCACACAAATTTATTGACATACTTTGCAGGTACATATTTACATTCATAGCAAATACTTTCGATTTGATTCAATAACTAGGTGCCAGTAAGCTTGCATTTTTGTAGGTACAACAATGAACATATATTTAATCATAAAAAACTTTCTCGTGGCATTAATCACATACCTTTTTACCGAACAAGTACCTATCTACCATGCAATGATTCTAAATTTTTTCCGCAATGTACCTATATCTCAACTGACGCATTGAAATTGAAATACCCTAACAAAACCTAGTACTGTACAAAAGGAGAATGCAATTCTACAAGAACTATGAAGTTCTGAAGTTATTCTCACATGCTGGAATGTTGAAACTCTACTTTTGTCGTCCATTTCCACGTTTCATTGAGCAATCATATAGAACTGTTTTCGCTCTTCAGTCATAAGCTTTTGCACAAATCTTGAATTTTTACACATCATCTTGAACCATGCTCCAGTCTTTCCAACAAGGTACTATGGAACATCAAAGCAATTTTGATTTGTTGCAACAGCTTAAGATCATGATAGGCTTGAAGTTTGTTACACCATTTGCCAGACAAACCTCTAGAAAATGTGTATCAATTCCCAAACTAAGCAATTGATTATATCAGTATTTGCGGTTTCCACACAATGTTTCATAATATTATTCGATTTTTATATCAAGAAACCCAAATAATCCACAAATTGTTATTGAAATACTCCCACTTCAAGAGTTCACAGCAATAACAATACAAGTTCAGAAGCAAATAAACATTGCGCCAGATTTCGTATGAAACGCGCCATCATCCTGAAGTTTCTACCACAGACGGTAGTTCAACCGCAGCCGTAGTGCGAAAACCCCTGCCCACCTTACCCCACGGCGGAGCTCGGTTGCAATTTGTAAATACGCCGGCGCACAACAGAGACGAAATCACAGGGGAGCAATGCTGCTTCAACCCTATTGGCCGTAGTGTCTAACGGTGGCGGCCATATTGCGCAGACCAGAAACCGGCTGCCGCCTGTGTTGAGGAATAGGGAATTCGGGACCTCGATTTACGTTTGCGGCCGCCGTATCCGTTACGTTCAAGTTACGTAGATACGGAGCCCGGCATCTTACGCAGAATTGAGTGGGGAACACGATCGTATCTTCAGAATTCTTCAAATTCACTCGCCTGACCTACATTTGCCCCGGCCGAGGGGGTTGATTGAACCCACCTCGCTAATGCACCGCTAATTAAACTAGAATTAAGCGGTAAAGTGGTCGTATGCGGCAAAGTATAATGCAGAGTGACTGGTAGGAACCCGCTGTAAGGGTCTCAGGTCAACCGGTGACCTCTGAGGTCAGGTCAAGTGATTTAAGGCACGGGTTCGGTTTTTGGTAAATAACTTCGCCAAAAATGGCCGTAGAGCCGTGATTTTGGCATCATCGTGTTCAGCTAGCTCAGGCGCATCGAGTGATATACTTTTTGTTCGGGTCAGGTCAACTTAGGGTGTTGACCTCAGGTCAAGGTCAGGTCAGCACCCCCAGGTCACGAAAATGGTCGAAAGAGGTCATGTCGCATATCATTCGATTCGGCAGGTCTTCCTGAGTCCATTGGTGGCTTTCCCGACTCGCTAGCTCAATTTGATCGGGAGTTATTGAAGAAAAATGGTGACCCTTGTGACGTCACAAATGACGTCACGCAAGGGCAACAATGCAAATATGAAGCATAGAACCTTGCAAAGAGTGCATGAAATCATGATTTCATATGCTTGAGATAGTTTCAGATCATTCTCGGCGCCAAAATAACAATTTTCATATTTCCCCATTGACTTATAAGGGTTTAACGTATTAGTTCCTTATAGCTGATGATTTTTTAGGATTTCATCTTGTTCTCCACTCAATTCTGCGTAAGATGCCGGGTTCCGTGTCCACATAGCTTGAGCGTAACGGATGCAGCGACCGCAAACGTAAATCGAGGTCCCGAATTCCCTATTCCCCAGCACAGGCGGCGGCCGCTTTCTGGTCTGCGCAACATGGCGGCACCGTTGGACACCATTTGGCGGCCGATGCGCATTCCACATTATAGAGTTCAGTGGACGTATTGCCCGTTCTCGTGGGTTCACTCAAGACGTGATTCTCACTCAAAACTTGTTTATTGTATCCGAAAATACAGATATAAGCATGGCCGTTCCGATCGTCGCCATATTGCCCAAGGCCATCTATAGATATTGCCAACCACCATCCCGTCACACCTGTTTCCGATCTCCCACTCCTAACCGGCGACCAATCACAGGCCACAGGGCCGCATAGACTCGCCTCGAACGAACTGCCCATGGCCGACCGAACACACAGCGCCATCTGTCTCAGCTGCGGTACATCTAGATTCGCAAATCCGTCGCCAGTTGTCAGCACCGATCGGAGGCCTAGGTCTGACAGCCAACAATACCCCCGGCCACATAAGTTGACGACCCGTCAACAAAACTGTCAGACAACATAACGTAGCGTAGAAAAAAAAAATCACACGATGTCCCTGCATGTTATTACTTTACACCTGTATCTGACCGACTCAACAATCAACCTGAGGGAAACAGTGAGTCATAGACTGCTGTTTTCAATGCACCGCTCTGCTACTCGGATCTAATATGGGCTCACTCACATGTGCACTTATGAATTAGCACATATCACAGCCAGTAAATACCATTGCCTTAACCATTCCTGGAGATCGACTGAGATACTGTGATCCAGATAAGCTCTGCTGTCAGCTCTGACATCATTCTCCTACATCTATTATGAAACGAAAACAAATCTTATGCATGTAGCACACACTGAAATCTTAAATATAATCCAGCACGTAATCAGCCAGATGACGAGGCATACGTCTATCTCTGCCTGAGCGCCGTAAGGGTGGGTTAGCATCCGTCACCCCACTCGTGTCAGCACTGTCATTTTGCACTGGGAGGGCGTCAGTCGGGTCAACAACAACATGGTCTGTCGACGCCGTGTCACCGTCTGTCTGCACATCTGATGTCCCGTCTCCTGTGAATTCATCAGTCTGTCTGTCAGTTACCCGAACATCAGCGTGCCGTGTCACAGGAAGGGTCAGGTCGGTTTCCCGAGGACGGTTCAAAACACGGTTACGTTGATACTCGCGGCCTGTATCTGCTGGTATCGGATCTGGGCGCGCCCTGTCACGTCGGCGAGCCTCCACTGGTCTCACAGACTTATCATCTCGCGCCGCGTGCCGAGACTCATCACCTCTCGCCGAGTGCCTCTGTGGGACGGTCGGGGTAGACACACACAACTTCAAACGATTGTGGTGGACAACTTTCGAAGCACCACCCGCTCCTTCCTTGCCAATCCTATACGTCCAGCCCCTCCTTTTCTCGAGAACTCTGTACGGACCTTCCCACCTCCAAGAAAGTTTCGGCGTCTCTCCTCTCTTGAAGACCTGTTTACGAAGCCATACTCTGTCATCAACCTCGAATACCGATTCAACTAAACGAGAATCATGAAGAACCTTACTCTTCTCATGAGCTGAAACGCTAGCATCACGAATCAACTGATCAGTACTGTCAATAGTCTCCTGGAGCCTTTTCACGTATGCCAGAATGTCCGGTTCACTTGACTGATCCGGCGCGACCTGGGCTCCCTCTCCAAACGTCCGGTCCACAGGCAGCTTTACCTGGCGTCCGAACACAGCTTCATAGGGCGACATCCCTATGGAGTCATGTACATTGGCGTTCATTGACAACACAGCAGGGCCCAAACAAGTAGGCCACGCCTTTGGATGGTCAGCACACATCTTGGCGACAGCTGCCATCAGAACACGATGACTGCGTTCCGAATAGCTGTTGCCCTCGGGATGATACCCACTGGTCGTACTGCTGTGAATACCCAGCAGACTGTACAGCTCGGTCATCACTTTACCCGTCAGGTTACGACCTTGGTCGCTGTGAATAGCACGAGGAATACCGAAAACAGAAATCACGTTTTCCATCAGCGCCTGAGCAATGGTACGTGCCTCCTGATTTGGCAACGGAAATGCCCATGAGAACCTGGTAAAGGAATCAATGCACGTCAGTACGTACTTATATCCGTCAGGTTCACTCGCTGGCAGAGGTCCAACCAAATCAATGTCCAACCGATCCATGAATCCTTCGGACTGCAATGACCCCATGGGAGCCTCTGACCCTCTGGGTGCGTCTCTCCTTTTCTCACACACCTCACACTGTTGACAAAACCCCCTCACCTCGGACTGAATGCCCGGCCAGAAGAATCGCTGTCGAACCAGCTTCTCTAACCGGTCTGCACCTTGGTGTCCTCCACCATAGCCACAGTGAAGTGCCTCCAGGATCTCACGACGAAGGTGCTGTGGAACAACCATCTGCAAACAAGTAGGTGCTCCCCTTACTGTCTGCGTCCGTCTGTACAAAACAGGATGTTCCTCACCACGCACCACGAGCCGCCGCCACTCTCTCAGTAACCGTATGGCGCCCTCTGATCTCAGGTGCTTCTCGCGCGGACGAACGCGTTTGCGTTTCCACGCCTTGAGCTCCAGAATTCCAGCATCTCTGTCCTGCTCCTGTGACAGCTGCTGAATGGTCATGCCCTGAATGCTACTTTCATTCACATTCTGCTCGGTCTCCGATGTCACAGCACGCAACACCGGTGTCCCATGGAACTCATCAGTCACTGGTCCAGATCCTCCCACATCTGCATCCTGTGACGTCACTGGGACCCGAATCCATCGATACGTCACACCATCTGAACAATCCGACTCCTCTAGATGCGGATATCGAGACAAAGCGTCCCCATTTTTGTGCAAAACTCCCTTCCTATGTCTCGTCACAAAATCCAGCTCTGAAAGTATCAGCAGCCATCTGGCGATCTGGCCCTCTGGGTTTTTGAAATTAAACAACCACTGAAGTGCTGCGTGATCTGTCCTCAAAACGAACCTAGCTCCCACCAAGAACTGGTGGAAATGCTGCACTGCCCAGACTACAGCTAGCAATTCACGCTTTGTGACTGCATACTGCCGCTCTGCCTTCGTCAGCGGACGACTAGCATACGCGATCACCCGATCGTTCTGCGTTAGACAAGCCCCGATCGCTACACCACTGGCATCTGTATCTAATATAAACGACGGAGCGCCCTTCTCAAACGACGGATGCGCTAGCACAGGTGGCGACGCTAAAGCAGCTTTCAAACCCTGAAAGGCCTCAGCTGTCTGTGACGTCCATACAAACGGCACACCCTTCTCGGTCAATCTGGTCAGCGGCTTAGCCAACTCAGCAAATCTGGGAATAAACTTACGAACATATGAAGCTAGCCCCAGAAATGATCTGACCTGCTTGACTGTAGTTGGTTGTGGCCAATCTCGGATGAGACGCGTCTTCTCGGGATCACACGCGACTCCCTCAGAACTGACCAGACATCCAAGGAACTTCACCTCCCTCTGACACAGACGAATCTTCCGGAGCGAAAGAGTAAAGCCAGCGTCCTGTAAACACTGGAATATAGCACGAAGGTTCGATTTCATCTCACTCATGTCCTCGGCCAAAACGAGGATATCATCGAAATACTGAACATAAACATCCACACTAACACCAGATAATGCCAGTGCCACAGCACGATTGAAACTGTGAGGCAATCCCTGAAGTCCATAAGGGCAAGACTGATATTCAAATAAACCGAACTCTGTTGTGACTGTTGTTTTAGCACGATCAGCTACATGAAGCGGCATCTGATGATAGGCCTGCGCCAAATCAAGCGATGTGAACAGTTTAGCTCCCGAAAGTTTCCGCAAACACGACTCAATATGTGGAATGACTTGCACACAAGGAGTAGTGATGCGATTCAGACGCCTGTAATCCGTAACCGGACAAATCTTCGTATGGCATTTCTTCGTCGCGCAATATTTCGTCCGCATTTCTTCGTCCGCAAATCTTCGTCGGCGCATTTATTCGTGTCGCATTACTTCGTCTCGCATTTCTTCGTAGGTGCAAAAATTCGTAACGCATTTCTTCGTATCCGCATTTCTTCGTCGGCGCATTTCTTCGTCAAGCATTTTTTCGTCCACGCATTTCTTCGTCTACGCAAATCTTCGTCCGCATTTCTTCGTCCACGCAAATCTTCGTCTGCGCAAATCTTCGTCCGCAAATCTTCGTCCCCGCAAATCTTCGTCCGCAAATCTTCGTCCGCATTTTTTCGTCCACGCATTTCTTCGTCTACGCAAATCTTCGTCCGCATTTCTTCGTCCACGCAAATCTTCGTCCACGCAAATCTTCGTCCCCGCAAATCTTCGTCCGCAAATCTTCGTCCGCAAATCTTCGTCCGCAAATCTTCGTCCGCAAATTTTCGTCCGCATTTTTCGTCCACGCATTTCTTCGTCCAATCAAATCTTCGTCCGCAAATCTTCGTCCGCAAATCTTTGTCTGCGCGCGCTATCTTCGTCTCCGCAAACACTCGTCCACAAATGTGGTTCAATAAAACCATGAAGAAATATCAGACAGTCAAGTGAATGACGAATTTGATGCATGGAATGGATGATCGAAACTTTTGAAGTCAGGTAGATGAGGTCAGTCAGGTGAAGCTATTGTATTTGGAGCCGACAGTTGTAACATTCCATATGTTCTGTGTCCCGGACATTCTTTTTTTCGCGGTCGTTGAATGTCAATATAATCTCTTGTACCCTCGCCGGCATAGGCGGCGGAACGGGGAGGGCACCGGGGCACCGTTCCCCTCTTTAATTTTGGCCTTTTAACAGTAGCCCTATGGGCGTTGCATGGAAAGCATATTGGACCAAAAGTCGGCAGTGCCGTGCCCCCCTTAATTGAAGATGTTCCGCCGCTACTGCCCGCCGGACCTATTTGTTTTCTACGGTACACGCCGGCCGAGGGGGTGGGTACGACCCCCCCCCCCATCGCCGTTTCGCCACTGGTGGAGCTAGCGCGTCGCGGAAAAAAACGAGCGTGTGCGCCGTTACGAGCCGCAGAGATTAATATCCGATTTTAAGGCCTTCTAGGTCAGGGGTCGGCATACGGCCCGCGGGCCGGATCCGGCCAGGTGGGTGACGGTTGGATCCGGCCCGCGACCATCTGACGTCCGGCCCGCGGCTGGTATCAGCGACTTACATCGTGTTCCGCCCCCCCCCCCCCCACACACACACCGCCTGGAAGGTTAAGCGAGTAGACCACGTGAAGCCGCCAAGTGCACGCAGCTGCAGCAGTCGTTGATGCTGCGCGCAAAAGCTGCTGACCAAATCTTACCGTTGCAAGTTTTGTCTAGAAGTAGAATTAGACAAAAACACCCGCAAATTGTGTTTATAAACTCATGAAGTGTGCGAGGGAAGAACTGTTGTGCCAAAGCACATTTGAGTCACTTTTATATCGGAGTCGATTTATGAAGGAACCGCGGGCCGGAACACGATGTAAGTCGCTGATACCAGCCGCGGGCCGGACGTCAGCTGGTCGCGGGCCGGATCCAACCGTCACCCACCTGGCCGGATCCGGCCCGCGGGCCGTATGCCGACCCCTGACCTAGAAGGCCTTAAAGGGACCCTCCCACCTTCAAAAAAGTTTATGAATTGGCATGAAAGTGATGTCGCTCGGTTCAGAAAGAGCGAAAACGAATATCTACCAAATTTCACCGAAAAATATTCACCGGTTTTCAAGATATTAGACTTTTACTTTTGTTTACTTTTTTGGGATCTCCGCTGTTTCTAGCGACTTTAATTTAGAAGTGCGGCGTTTACGGCAGATGTTGCGCGCAAATAGCATATACCACCGCGTGCTACAAAACGTTTTAGTCAAACATTTAAAAATCGCTAGATATTTGCGCTGACGTCACACATTCAGAGGGGTATTCCTAAGCATTAGCCCCTCTGAATCAAAATGCTGCAATTTTGAAATTCAATATTTCCGATTTAAGGCATTTCTCGATGTTGTGAGTGTCGAAACCGGTAATTGTGAGCCAGGGACCCCATTTTGGCTATCTCAACTCAAATCTAATGTTAAGGTGGGAGGGTCGCTTTAAAATCGGGTATTAATCTCTGCGGCTCGTAACGGCGCACACGGTCACGCTCGTTTTTTTTTCCGCGACGCGCTATAGCTCCACAGTGGCGAAACGGCGATGGGGGGGGGGGGGTCGTACCCGCCCCCTCGGCCGGCGTGTACCGTAGAAAACAAATAGGTCCGGCGGGCAGTAGCGGCGGAACATCTTCAATTAAGGGGGGCACGGCACTGCCGACTTTTGGTCCAATATGCTTTCCATGCAACGCCCATAGGGCTACTGTTAAAAGGCCAAAATTAAAGAGGGGAATGGTGCCCCGGTGCCCTCCCCGTTCCGCCGCCTATGCCGGCGAGGGTACAAGAGATTATATTGTCATTCAACGACCGCAAAAAAAAGAATGTCCGGGACACAAATGAGGAATGTTACGATTGTCGGCTCCCAAATACAATAGCTTCACCTGACTGACCTCATCTACCTGTCTTCAAAAGTTTCGATCATCCATTCCTTGCATTAAATTCGTCATTCACTTGACTGTCTGATATTTCTTCATGGTTTTATTGAACCACATATGTGAACGAATGTTTGCGGAGACGAAGATAGCGCAGACAAAGGTTTGTGGACGAAGATTTGCGGACGAAGATTTGGTTGGACGAAGAAATGCGTGGACGAAAAATGCGGACGAAAATTTGCGGACGAAGATTTGCGGACGAAGATTTGCGGACGAAGATTTGCGGGGACGAAGATTTGCGTGGACGAAGAAATGCGGACGAAGATTTGCGTAGACGAAGAAATGCGTGGACGAAAAAATGCGGACGAAGATTTGCGGACGAAGATTTGCGGGGACGAAGATTTGCGGACGAAGATTTACGCAGACGAAGATTTGCGTGGACGAAGAAATGCGGACGAAGATTTGCGTAGACGAAGAAATGCGTGGACGAAAAAATGCTTGACGAAGAAATGCGCCGACGAAGAAATGCGGATACGAAGAAATGCCCTACGAATTTTTGCACCTACGAAGAAATGCGAGACGAAGTAATGCGACACGAATAAATGCGCCGACGAAGATTTGCGGACGAAGAAATGCGGACGAAGAATTGCGCGACGAAGAAATGCCATACGAAGATTTGTCCTGGAATCCTGTAATCACCACAGATACGAACGTCCTTACTGTGCGGCTTGGAGACGACGACGAGAGGTGGCAGACGAAAAGAGGTGGCGACGAAATGATGGCACTAAATATGGCAGCCTGAAACTTCCCACTGCTACCATATGCAACAAATATCATTCTTATTTAGCTGCTATTTGTAATGAATGTAATTTGTATTTATAGTCACCGTGGTTTGAACTATCAAATCTATCAGCCACAAACAACAGGAATATATTTATTGGTTATGTTACGGCTGCATCTCCAATAATTACAGCGTTTTGATATTTTTTTTCATTAGATCTGCGTCACATTTGACACAGAACTCAGAATTACCTGCAGATTATTTTCTGATTTGGTCCAATGACATCATTCTGCAGTGAGCCAATCAAATTATGACTTGGATCATTTATTGCAAATAGAGATTTTCTTAAGCCTTTTCAATCGAATCAAATATAGAACAGAATATATGTTTCCCAGATTTATTATCATTTTATCCAATTTTCATATTATTTTGCTTGAAAATAGTCAAAGCCCTTAATTATTGATGACGTAATTTTTATGGCTTTATTAAAACTGAGCGTAAATTGTCTTGTTTACATGAATTGTGCTATGCTGTGTACTACACCGTTTACACCAGTGTTTTTATATACCTTGGTCTACACGATCCACAAGCGTTCTTTGGTTCTTTTGATTGATTGGTTGGGATTTGGATGGGGGGATTGAATTTAAATTGCCGGTAATTGAGGATTCTGAAATGCAAGTTTTTATGGTATATGGGGCCTTAGATTTGACCTGCCATTTTGAGCCTATCAACAGTGAACTGCAGATCCCATGCAAATTCAACTTGTGAAATTCAAAGAAATGCAGGCATGCTGCCAGTATGTTCATAGAAAACAACCCTGGATCATATTCATGTGATACTTAGCCTGTCCCATAGCTCAGTTGGTAGAGCATACCCGGTAGTGAGAGCCCGGGTTCGAGATGCTCCGGCGCTAGACATTTGAGACTCCTGACGGGTATGGTCTGCGGCTGGTGGGAGCAGCCTCAGCCAGTTGAAGTCAGTTGAGTGGGACAGGCCATGTCTGGCTTTGAAAGGCACGTTAAACTTTGGCATCTAAATTCTCCTGTTACCCGGAATTGCGCGATGGGACGGGAGGGGTTGGGGTTTACGCAACACAAACAAGCTCTACTTAGCTTGGGCTCTGGCTCTGTCAATCCATCCATTCAAACATTCGAGCTAAATTTTGTTTTAAAAAAATCCCTACAACCTACCAACCTACATCCTACCAACCTACAACCTACCACTTTGGCTCCATCTTCATATATACCATTGAACTTCAGAATGTCATGCTTTGCAGTGTGGATCCATCATCCAAGCCACTCTACAGCAATTTGCATCACACTTTGTAAACCAGCACTGCACCATGGAATATGTGCAAGAGCTTTTAGAGTGCAATGAGTTTGATGTACTTTAACCACAATAAATTTTTGCTCTAACACTTTTTTGTTTCACCTTCTTATCCATGGCATTCCCAAAAGACTCATTCCTTCAATTTAAATCCCCATCCCCTCTTGACCACCCTTGTTTAAAGTTTGCAAACTTGTCCAATGTCCATTTGCACTGTTTTGGTAGCTCTATGTCTATGACCTGACTGGCCTGAAAATGAACTACGATGTACCAAATATTATTTGTGATTTATGAATTCATTATGTAGTTAGACATATTTTTCTACATGTACTGACATGTTTGTCATTATACAGAACAATGTATATTCTGTTAATTTATGTTTTATTATATTTTTCCTATTCCAGGTCAGTTTAAAGACACTTAGTATCTTGTGTCTGTCAAGATGTCAAGCATGTCATACCATATTCCAAATTTACTGGACAAGGTAAGATCATTTCAATATTTTGGAACCTTCTTATGCCAATTACTTATGACGCTACTGTTGTTACCTATCTGTATTTTCATAAGAATTGGAAAAAAAAACACCTTTCTGCTTTCAGCCTTCCAACTGTTGCTGCATAAGCTGCCCAAATACATTAGCTGCACTTTTCTTTTTATGGGCACTTGCCTCTGTCTCACTAGATAGGACAGAACAAGTAGGTATATGACATAGATTTGAGTTTAAGTTACTGAACAGAATCAGTATTTGAACAAGTAAAAAGCTCTGACCAATGGTTGCCTGCTGTGGCTGTCCAGATGACGTCCACAGATAAGGATCTGAGATTCATGGCGACCAACGACCTCATGGTTGAACTGCAGAAGGACAGCATCAAGCTTGATGATGAGTCAGAGAGGAAGGTGGTGCGCATGATCCTAAAACTGCTGGAGGACAAAAATGGAGAGGTCCAGAATCTGGCAGTAAAATGGTAAGTCATTGACTTTTAGGCTAATAGCTGGATGTGTTAGGCATTAAGTGAGCTGTAGTGAACTGTGGTCTCTTTAACAGTTTTCCTATAGTAGGATAAATTAAGCGATGACTGAGGAACTTATGGCAACTTTATGTTGCCATAAAGTTGTTGTTTGTTCACATACCTCCCTGTGAAAATCTCGAGTTATTGATACCTACCTACTTGTCTGTGATCTGACCCGTATCATTTGTGTCAGTCTGGGTCCGCTGGTGGTGAAGGTCAAAGAGCTGCAGGTGGAGACCATTGTGGACACGCTCTGCAACAACATGGTCTCGGACAAGGAGCAGCTGCGCGACATCAGCAGCATCGCGCTGAAAACGGTCATCAACGAGCTCCCGCCGGGCGCCAGCCTGCAGGCCACCAGCGTGTGCCGGCGCATCATCGTCCAGCTCTGCCGAGCCATCAGCATGGTGAGACGAGCCGCGGCCCGCGGGAGCTGACGCGCCTGAGGCTACCAGGAGACTGGGGTCGAACGGGAAACGTGATTGCTCCAGGGTGATCACGATACATAATGGTATCGTGATTCGTGGTGTGTCCTTTTTCTGCCGGCGGGCCTTTTTGACTCCAGCCTTGTTAGGGCAGACTGGATTGGTGAAATTATAACGTAAGCAAGAAATAATAGCCGCCATTTTTATTAAATTGATCAGCCTGGTGATACTATTCATGATCGACGCTCGTGGCCCCGCGGCTCGGCATCCCCGTCTGACCCGGGTCGGTTTCCGACCGCTCCGGACTCCGCTCTGACCTGGCTCGGTGTTCCGCCAGACGACCGACGTCTCCGTGCAGCTGGAGGCGCTCGACATCCTGGCCGACCTGCTCTCCCGTTTCGGCTCGCTGCTGGTCAACTACCACGCCAACATCCTGGAGGCGCTGCTGCCCCAGCTGTGCTCGCCCAGACTCGCCGTCCGCAAGAGGTCGGTAGGAGCGGACGGGAGACTAGTCAGAGGCGTGGCAGACACCGGGCGCTGCGAGCCTTGTTATCGATTCTGGGAGTCTGAGACTACATGATTCTCTTTTAGCCTAGAGGAAAATGTCACTAGTTTAAAAGAAGTGTGTCGAGCTAGGTTTGATTTACAGTGATTGGGAATAACCGGGTATGATTAAATGTATGCACGCTTCGCTATGGCATGGTAATCTTTGTTTACCTGTTTACCCACTCAATCTTGTTTACCTGTTTGTTTACCCACTCCAGGACTATCATCGCGCTGGGGCACCTGGTACTCAGCTGCAGTATCGACCTCTACGGCAAACTGATTGACCACCTGCTCGAGTGTATCCAGCGCAAACAGGACAACTCGGCTACACGAACCTACATCAACGCGGTGGCGGCCATCAGGTGGGTCCGGGACTCCGGGGTCGGGATTGGTGACGTTAGGATTTGAGTCCACAGCTGCATTTTGGTGTGTTTGCTGGATGTTAGATAGAGTGATGGCTAATGACTAGGATCATGGCCCGGACTTTTAACATGCATCATCGGACATCGGGTGCTTTGTTTTGTAGTTACGTGTGTTGCATTGTCAATGCTTACTTCTTACCGTTACCGTTAACGTTATGGTGACGGGAAGCAGACTATCATGATGAGTTACGTGGAGTTGGTTGTGATAATCGTAACGACCATGAATAATGTCCTGTGTCACCATAACTTGATTTCCTGATCAGACAAAGCTCACTTTTCTCGATTCGACCGTTGGTTGTGCTCACCCTTGCGTCCACCATGCTGCGCCGCCCTGGCTCCCCCAAACTAACACTAACATAACTTCGCTCCAGCCGCGGCGCCGGCCACCGGTTCGGGGAGCACCTGGAGCGTGTGCTGCCACTCGTGGTGGCCCACTGTCAGGCAGACGACGACGAGCTGCGGGAACACTGCCTGCAGGCGCTCGAGGCGTTCGTTGACAAGTGTCCCAAGGAGGTGACCCCGCACATCGGCACGGTGAGATGCAGTGGGACTGAAGGAACAGGAAGGGGAGGTTGTATGACGAAGGAAGTACGAAATAGATGTAGGGGAAGAATGAGAGGAACGGCGACAGCTTACATTATAGTGCAGTGTGCACATTGGGAGGAACTGATCATTGTCGCACGGAAAGCGAACAGATTTAACCTAAATGCGGAACCCAGGATAAGTTCCGTATTTCTGTAGCTTTCCTAGCTGGCGTCAATCGCAGTCAAGCTGCTGCTCGACATACGCTTTTACTTGCCTGATGAATTGTGCACCTCTGGTCGTGTCCGTGTGGTTGACCGTCTCTGTTCGCTCGCCGCCCAGATTCTGGGTCTGTGCCTGCGGTTCCTGTCGCACGACCCCAACTACAACTACGCCGTGGATGAGGAGGAGATGGACGACACAGACGGAGACGACGAGGACAACGAGGACGACTACAGCGACGACGACGACATGTCCTGGAAGGTGCGCCGCGCCGCCGCCAAGTGCCTGGAGGTCGTCATCGCCACGCGGCGCGAGATGCTGCTCGAGTTCTACCGCACCGTGTCGCCAGAGCTTATCAACAGGTTCAAGGGTACGTGCTGCCGTAGATTGCCGTAGATTGTGATCATTTAGTGCTTTCGATGAACGGATATTGCGATGAGCATCAAGTGAGGATAGGGATGGCTTGAAATTGGCGTAAGGATGCTGCCTGAGGTACAGCTAACGATGTTAGTCCAAGACGTCGAACGGTTGCGGTCGACATTTCATTTTTTTATCGGACCTCGGTGCCCATGGATGTTGGCAAAATGGTAATCACCCTGCTTCATGAGGCACCGCTGCTAGTTTAAGTTTCGATTGGCATTTCTAGAGCGTGAGGAGAACGTGAAGGCGGACATATTCCACGCGTACATCTCGCTGCTGCGCCAGACCAAGGCCAGCACTTCGGTGGTGGACACGGACTTTATGGACGACGGCGAGTCACCGCTCACTACGCTGCAGCAGCAGGTATGATATCGTGATCAATGACTGTCAAATGTTAGTCGCACCCCCACTTTGAACTGTTATTGTCAGTAACGTTGCTACGCTGTCAGCTAATCAGGTCGACTTGTGTTGTCGTCCATGCAGATTCAAATTATACCCCTCTGACATGCTCCCTTCTTCCCTTTAACCAGGTACCGTCGCTGGTGAAGGGCATCCACCGTCAGCTGAAGGAGCGCAGCACCAAGACGCGCCAGGGCTGCTTCTCGCTGCTCCGAGAGCTGATCTTGGTGCTCAAGGGAGCGCTCACCGACCATATCGGCATGCTGATGCCGGGCATCCAGTACTCACTCGGGTCAGTGACCTCCAGTGACCTGTCTATGTCTGTGTGTGTGTTTGGGTGGGGGTGGGGCAGCCGGCAGGGCAGATGCCGGGCATCCAGTACTCGCTCGGGTCAGTAGCCGGTTGTCTTTGTGGGTGTGTGTTCGTTCATGGCATTGCGTTCAGATCTGCGTTGTCACTATCTAGATTGGCGTTTCCGTTACTTTTCGCTTTTCTGTTAGCAGAAACAGAAAATTGAATCATGAATTAGATGACATGGAACGTCACCTAGTAATGATAGAAGAAGGGACACAATATTGACGATTCCATGTGACGTCTTATCTCCAGTGAGCGTAACGCCAGCAGCAACATGAAGATCGACACGTTGGTGTTTGTGCACTGCCTGCTGGCCAACCATCCTGCGGAGGTGTTCCACCCGCACGTGGACCGACTGCTGCCGTGCCTGGTGGCCGCCGTCAACGACCCGTTCTACAAGATCACCGCCGAGGCGCTGCACGTGCTGCAGGAGCTGGTGCGCGTCATCCGGCCGCTCGGTAGGTGGCGACGGTAACGGGCGGAGTGGCAGTGGATAGGACTGTTTGTGGATCGATGATGGGAGTTCTAAGCCAGGTCTGCTTGTTTGTGCAGACTTCGTTGGTGGGGTGAACAGTAAGACATGTCTGTTGCGGGTAACAGTGGGGGAGGCGCTAGTTAGTTCTGCTCAGGCTTGATGACTGAGTTAGGGTGACTGGCAGAGGCCTGCTGCGGGCTTGACGGTGGTGGCTTAGGCAGGCCTACGTCTCGAGGGAGGGACCGAAGGAGAACAAGCTGATCGGCCATTGCCATCGGACTTGGCTAAAGACTAACGAATTATGCCAAAGCTGGGTCGTTTTAATATGTTTCTTCTGCTGTTGTGTTTCAGACACGGCGAGCAAGTTCGACTTCACACCGTACATGGGCGAGATCTACACAGTCACACTGACCAAGCTGCGCGCGGCCGACATCGATCAGGAGGTGAAGGAGCGCGCCATCGGCTGCATGGGCCAGCTGGTGAGCCAGATGGGCGACCACCTGCAGGCGCAGCTGCCCGTCTGCCTACCCATCCTGCTGGACCGGCTGCGTAACGAGATCACCCGTCTGACCACGGTGAAGGCGCTCACCATGATCGCCGCCTCGCCGCTCAAGGTGGACGTGCGCGTCATCCTCGGCGAGGCGCTGCCCATACTCGGCTCCTTCCTCAGGTGAGCGGCCGGGGACCGCCCGAGGGTGGTGTCGGTAAGGGTGGACTCTGAGCTGAGAAGGTGGAGAATCTGAGCAATGATTGATTGGGAGTCATGGGTGAGCGATTTGATTGGGAGACCTTTGATTCCGGGTTTGACGGTCAATGTATCATTATTTGGAAAGCAATATGCGTAATTGTGACGCATTTTCCATAAGTGCACTTACGTGAATTATTCTGTGTTCAGTGAATATGTTTTGTCGCACATTCCACCATTCATATATCGCAGCAATATTTCGTAATTCTACTCAAATAATTGTACTGCGTTGTATTCTGACACCGTTACCGGGCCACCCGTCACCCCGCATTCAGGAAGAACCAGCGGGCGCTGAAGCTGGCCACGCTGACGCTGCTGGACCGGCTGGTGGTCAACTACCCGGGCTTCCTGACGGCCGAGCTGCTGCAGCCGGCGCTGACCGAGCTGCCGGCGCTGCTGACCGAGGCCGACCTGCACATCGCCCAGCTGAGCCTGGCCGTGCTCAGTTCCGTGTGCCACCTGGCGCAGCCCGCCGCCGCGCTCGTACAGTCCGGATTCATGGTCAAGGTTGGTGGGCCAGCCGTGTGTGTAATGACTGGCGGTTACCTATGTGATGGCCTCAGACGGGCAGCAGGTCATTGACCACTGACGCTAGGGCGGGCGCAGAGCGCGGGGGGATGGGGTCATTTATCCTTTAGCAATCGAAATAACGTATCCCCTAGGCTTTGCTAGCAGGGTGCCGCGCCATTTGTTGGTGCTTGCTGAGATATATTGGTATCCGGTACCCTAAATAAGACGTTTAACACCTTTAATGACTAAATTTGGTCGGATGTCATACTGGCTGTCATAAGTCACACTGTCCATGATGTTGGTCATTTTGATGAGCATCAGGGTCAATAAAAACCTACCTCTCACGGACAGACCGACCTCTCTCTAACCCCCCTCCCTCCCGCTGGTCTCCAGGTGCTGCTGCCGCCGGTGTTCAAGCTGACCAAGTCGCCTCTGCTGCAAGGCGCCGCGCTGCGCACCATGTCAAAGTTCTTCACAGTGCTGGTGACCCGGGAGATTCTGCCGGCCGACCGGCTGCTCGCCATGCTTCTGGAGCCCGTCTCTGGCGACGCCGCCGGGCAGCACATTAACAAACAGGTCGGTAATTCCGCAAATGGTTCAGCGCATACACAAACAGCCGGGGCCAGCAAACTCAGCACGTCCAATTCACAAGTGATTAAAGTGAAATAGTAAATTCGATGGGTGCCTGATATTCGTCCTCATCATAAAGCAATAGTAATTATTTGCCTTCATAACAGTTAAGTCTATTCTGCGCAGCCATATTCTGTTAAACAGTTTTCAGGTCTGCTTCATCATTTTCTCTTTACGATCTGGCGGCACAGGGTAGTTTGACACCGGCCCTATGATAGTATGACGCCACTGTCTCCTCCCAGGCGTACTCGTCGATCGCGCAGTGCGTGGCGGCCGTATGCCTCACGGACGCGCGAGTCACAGAGGAGATGGTGCGCCGACTGCTGCGCGACATCAAGAGCTCCTCGGTACCCGACGCGCGCCGCACGTTCGCCCTGCTGGCAGTGGCGGAGATCGGGCGACACGTGTGAGTGAGAGGCAGTGGCTGGGGAGGAACGGCGGAGAGGAGCGGGGTGGGAGGATAGCGACACGAAAAAGCTGCGCGGGGGTTGAATTTAGTGGTCAGAGTGTAACGTAATTCACCATGAAAAGAACGTGATGCTTTACGACAAAGCTATGACTGTCGAAATGTTGACATGATAAGCTACCATTCCTCTGTCTGTTTCGGCACCTTTTCTGCTGATAGGATTGAACGCTTCTAATTCTCGCTCGGTGCTAATTCTTACATGTTTTTTTTTTGTGGTCACTTAGCTTGCGATCTGACTCAACTCAACCCTCAGTGATGCCCAAAATGATTATAGAACCATGGTGGTTTGTACCAGTGACCTGAGCGGTGTGGAGGGTACCTATGCGGCAGACCATCCTGTTCTGACCCGTTGTGTTCTCTGACAGTGACCTGACGGTGTCGAAGGTCGGACCTGCTGTGTTTCTGTCCCAGTGACCTCAGCGGTGTCGAGGGTCTGCGGCAGACCACCCTGTACTGACCTGCTGTATCCCTCTGACAGTGACCTGAGCGGTGTCGAGGGTCTGCGGCAGACCATCCTGGCCTCGTTCGGTTCACAGTCGGAGGAAGTCAAACAGGCCACGTCATACGCGCTCGGCTCTGTGGCCTGCGGAAACCTGGCACAGTTCCTGCCGTTCGTACTCAACGAGATTGAGACGCAGCACAAACGGCAGTACCTGCTGCTGCACTCACTCAAGGAGGTGAGCTTTTGAACGAGCCTACACAACCCTTCGTAGGCTATCAAAGTCTATCGCAAATGATCAATAGCACATCAATGCAACTGAGATATTGCTGTTGACGAACTTTGTCTCATACACGTAGTTTGGTCATCTTACAAACGTTGTGGGACCGGTACATCGTTTTGCTGACCCTCCAAGCTCCACGTCTAACCCACTGCTCCTCACCTGCGGCCGCCAGATAATCAGCTGTTCATCGGAGCGCGACTCACTCCAACACTACCAGGAGGGCATCTGGGACAACCTGTTCCGGCACTGCCAGTCGCCAGAGGAGGGCACGCGCAACGTGGTGGCCGAGTGTCTGGGCAAGCTGACGCTGCTGCACCCGGAGACGCTGCTGCCGCGACTGCAGAGCGCCCTGCACGCCACCGACAGTCCGCTGATGCGCACCACCATCGTGACGGCCATCAAGTTCACCATCACGGAGCAGCCTCAGCCGGTGGACGCGCTGCTGCGGCACTGCATCGGCGACTTCCTGGCCACCATCGGCGACCCGCAGCTGGAGGTCCGCCGCGTCGCGCTGGTCGCTCTCAACTCGGCGGCGCACAATAAGCCCGTGCTGGTGCGCGATCTGCTTGATACCCTCCTGCCACAGCTCTACAACGAGACCAAAGTTCGCGTGAGTGTACATACGCGCCGTCCGTTTCGGAGGGGGTGGGCATTGGGTATAAGGGGGCGGAGACCGCCAGCATATGCCCCGGGCTTTGGTGGACGAAGAGGACATGCCAGTGGAAGGCGGAGTTAAGACAACTCACTCTGCCGATTCTGTTCATCTTGCATGGATCTTAAGCTTGAATCCGAATAACTGAATGGGTAGTTCCTGACCTATTGGTGGTTGCTCGTCGTGAAAAAAAGCGACAAGCTACCCGGCTTCTCACAATACCCTTTCGTCCGCAGAAAGAGCTTATCCGTGAGGTGGAGATGGGTCCGTTCAAGCACACGGTGGATGACGGCCTGGACCTGCGGAAGGCGGGCTACGAGTGCATGTACACGCTGCTCGACTCGTGTCTGGACCGGCTCGACATCTACACCTTCCTCAACCACGTGGAGGAGGGCCTCAAAGACGACTACGACATCAAGATGCTGACGTACCTCATGCTGGTGCGGTTGGCGACCCTCGTTCCAAACGCAGTTCTACAGAGTGAGTCGGCAGGGACGGGTTCTAAGTGGAAAGGGACGAGATTCAGTGTTGGCTTAGGTAGGGTGGTGACTAAGATGAGTAGGTAGCGCTCGCAGATATTGTGCGGATGTGTGCAATTTTTTCTCGTTAAAAAATGTAGAAGTAAACTTCTTGCGCTTTCTGTTTTATTTTAGTTGAGGTTTGCGTTGAAATACTTGTCTCGCTTCAAAGTTCGATAAGTTTTGTCCGTCCCGTTATTTTCTTGTTCACCCCCACGCCGCTCCGCTAGTGATGACCTGACCTGACCTGATCGTGTCCCGACTCAGGGCTGGACCGGCTGGTGGACCCACTGCGCACCACGTGCTCGGCCAAGGTGAAACAGAACTCAGTGAAGCAGGAGTTTGAGAAGCAGGACGAGCTGAAGCGGTCGGCGCTGCGCGTCGTGGTCGCCCTCCTGGCCATCCCCGACGCCGGTAAGGCTGGATGTGACTCAGGCCTGGGACGAATAGAGAAAGGGGCACCGACTAGTGCAGGACAGTCACTGTCGTTCGTTTAATTGTTGCAATGTGCGCATGGACCGGGCAGTCTGCGTTTCGGCTGTTGCAGGGACTCTGCAATATTATGCCGTTGGTATCGGGATTTGAAGAAGAAAAAAAATGGTTTGCCATACGGAGATTAATGACATGCTTGCTAGGTTTATTCATCTATTAAAGACGATGTATTTTATCTTGTCATGCCAATCATTCTTCCGTTTTTACTATTTGAGTTTCACAATGCCGGAGGCCTGATTGATTCCGTTGGTCAGGTTTTGCAGAAGCTGGTGTATTTTGCAGTTACATTTTTCCATGGTTTAAAAACGAGATCGATAGTGTTATTTAAACGGATATTGTTAAACAGCTCAAAAATACCCCCACTAACAATACATAGCTTCCGTGACCACTGGTGAGACGTCACTCCGTACCATTCCGTATAGTGTTGTTGCTGAACATTTTGCAATATCTCTCGGTTGTGACCTACCCGTCCCATTGACACGCCCCGCTCTGTGCCGTCTCTCCCGCAGACAAGAATCTGCAGCTGTCCGAGTTTGTGTCGCACATCAAGTCCAGTCCGGACCTGCAGGCGCTGTTCGACTCCATCCAGCACGACTCCACGTCCGACTCGGCGGCCATGATGGACCTCAGTTGAGCGGACCGAGTCAGCGACTCGGAGTCATCGGGGAAGCGGTGGGCGGCGGCGGGCGGCCGCCTTTTGTATCTAGGGTCGGCCCGGCGGCGGCGGGCCTTGTGGATGTCGAAACGATTCATTGTGCGCTTAGAGATGTTAATAAATAATACATTGAAGTGGCTGTGTTGAAAGTCTGTCTCTGGGTGGTTGGATGAAGGACAAACGAGACTTGCTCTTATCTGTATTTCGACTATTGTGACGAATAATTCGAACGCGCAGGCGATGCTACGCAAATAATTGCGTCTAGGCTGTGGCCTGTGGTACTTTCGTTTTGCAGCATATTGCAATGACGTCTGGCTGGTCGCGCGGGGATCGAGTAACCGTAACATGCTCCCAGCGTCTAGCTATATCCTAGCGGGGACACTTGGTCCTGAGGGCTACCCTGGTGGTCTGCAGCAGCTGAGCCCGTCCTGAGCGACAAGCCTCTCGGCTGTGCTCAGTGCACTGCTAACAGTGTGCGGATTCAGGAATCTTGCCCAACACCGCATGGAGTCGCGAGTCGATTGGACTTTGAGCCAAGCAAAAGGTGAAAAGTTTATGCGTCCTGAGGCCAGAGGACTGGTTTAGGATGGATAAGATTTTAGACTTTGATTTATGCTGCTTTGCTCGGTATTTGTTAGATCATTTCTGATTATTACCAAGCGATTTCGGGTTTCAGTGACGGGAAACTTTAAAACTCCAAAGGTTTTTCGCTTCCATATACACTTAACCCGCGCGGGGCTGGGGTCTCCAGCCGAACGCGCGGGGCTGGGGGGGGGGTAAATTTTACCCCCCCTGTTATCTCCCGAACTAATGGTCCGATTTGGAAAATTCAAACGCCAATCGAAAGCTCTCATCACGAACTACTAAAAACATGTACTTAATTTTAAGTTTGAGGTCAAGGTCAAGGTCAGGTCAAGGGTACAAATTGCAAGTTTCTACAGTATCGACCTTGCACCGTAGTTGCCGAAGAATGGAGTCATGGACTGAGACTGATCGCCCAAAACGTGTTCTTAGGCTACCAAGACAATATTCGTTGCATAAAATATCATTCAGAGGTCAAGGTCAAGGTCAGGTCAGGTCAGGTCAGGTCACCAAAAAACAAAATATAGAAAAGGGCATGTGCGACACATGTTTTATGGGTCATTTTACTCATAGAATTCAATAGGCACACTCAATAAGTGATATGGACCACCTCTGGATGGATTTCAGGTCGAGGTCAGGTCAAGGTCAGGTCAAGTGAGGTCAAATTTTGAAGTTGGTTGTTAAGGCCTAAAAAGGTGTCTATCTGATGCAGTTTTTCACGGCGAATCGAATGGTGCTATTTTTGTTTCCGTACGAGGTCTAGAACTTCCAAAAAAGTCATTTTTCAAAAATTTTGTGTGTCGTGACGTCATAAAATTTCGAATAACACCCACATTTTTGAACCGATTCTTCTAAAATTTGGTATGTAGGTGCACATAGACCACTTCTCTGACATATATTCCGGTTTTTTCGATAGACTCAAAATTTTGGATTTTATAATGATTTTCCCAAAAAAAATCAGTTTTTTGAAAAAATTTAGGCCAAAATCCAAAATTTTCAAAAAACCGAGATAGCCATTTGATAGACAAAGTAAAATTACGTATAACCTTTTTTGTTACGTCTTGATTCCTTTAAAAATGAAGATGTTAGCGGCGTTTGAACTTTTGCCGTTTTTGAGGCGAAAATGGCGAACATGACGTCACTAAAACGTCAATTTCTCAAAAATTTTCCGACGGATTTCGCTCAAATTTTCAGGGAACGTGGCAAATTGATGTAAGAAAAGGTACTGAAAGTTTGGCGGCGCTGCGCGCCGCCGTTTTTGAGATATCGCAAAAATTCGCGAGGGGGGGTAAAATTTACCCCCCCCCAGCCCCGCGCGGGTTAAATATGGTATCACCAGCTAGAGACAATCAATGGTGCGCGATGTTTGTCTACAAATCAGCACCACCTTTTCACACTTTTAGAATGTAAACAGATCGGAATTGATGATATCAAAAGAGTTTATGGGCTAATTTTGAGAAAAATAATTGACTATAATCGGATTTTGTAAGTATTCAGCATGCTTCTTTTTATTTATCGCATTCCTTTGTCCGAATTTTCTTGGGATTCCTTCATTTCTCTTCAATGCTGCCTAGATATAAAATGAGGTTGAGGTTAAAAAATGATTTTTTTCAAGTTACTTACCTATTGGTTGAATAGAAATCAAGCCTTTAATTAGAGCAGCATCAGGATGTAGACATTCTTTCCCCCTTCTTCTATAATCAACAATGGTCACCCAGTGTTGGCCCATTTCATAAGTTAACCCAAATTCGCTGTCGGGTGAATTCTTGGCTGGAGAGGACCCAGACCGCAAATTTGAGTTGTGGAAATAGAGTTGATGGCGAAAGTGTGCGGCAGCGGCACAACCTAACTTTTGCAATGTGGCTTGGTAGCTTTCCAATGCTACTAAATTCTGTAAAACATTTGGAATGGTTTCCAAACATTCCATCAAGATTTATCTATAAAAATAACACACAAATTTCATCATGATTACTAGGAGATATCGTGCGTGTCGCCATTTGTGTATGCTTACACTACAACGACAATAACAAAAACTGAGGTTGCACTTACATTGGTTAATTTGATGAAAATGATGTTACAATACCAAACAAAAAGGGAAATGTTGTAAATCAGGGTTACCTACGTTGGGTAGGAAAGCAAAATAACACAAGTAAACTGGTCAGAACATAACCAAACCTTACCTGACCTGACCTACTGATTCTTGCCTACCCAGGGATAAGGAAACAGTTACTATTTACTCACATGAATAAGTTGCAATTTGCAAGCAATGGTAAGTCAAATATTTTTAGGTTAAGTGGTTGCGCATCAGGTTTCAGGCCAAACTCCGGTCGGAGAAGCCATCATAACCAAGCGTTTTCATTGTAGGTCTGAACCGGGACGGATGGGAAATGTGACCCAAACTCCTATAGAAATGCCTCTGTCCTCTGTGTTCTTATGGTAGTATGGGGATATTAGGACAATTTAGGAGGTACAAGATAGTACTGGCCAGACTGGGGACTCTGCTCTGGTTTGATGGATGGATGTCCACAGACAAAGATTGCAGAAACAAAGATGTACATGTGACTTACAAAAAACATTGTAATCAACGACGAAATATTTGATGACGATTAGCATATATGCTGTGACCTCGCCCATCTCTGTGTCCCGCAGTCTGCGAGGTGCTGGCGGTCCGCCCGGTGTGGCCGTGGCCGTCAGCAGTGAGCGGCCCTGCCCAGCGGCACCGAGCGCTGAGCGGCTCCGACCGCGGCTCTGAGCGGTGACCGGCGGCTGTGACCGCGGCGCCGTCACCATGATGCCGGTGGTGCGGACGCCGATGGAGGGCGGCGGCGGCGGCGGCGGCGGCCCGCACGGCCCGACCGGCGGATCCATCTCCCTCGGCCACCTGATCGACTTTATCGTGCAGCGCACCTACCATGAACTCACCGTGCTCTCAGAGCTGCTGCCGCGCAAAAACGACATGGAGCGCAAAATCGAAATTGTCCAGGTGAGTATTTTGTGGTATCTTATCTTCGGAAATGCAAACGCCACAAACGTCACCTTCAAGAATTTAAATGTATCATTGCTGTGTCTGCTTCAGTTGTTGCATAAGCATTTGTGCTGACTGCATAAGCATTTATGCTGACTGCAGTTCCGCCTGGACCACCCGATCAGTGTACCAACTATGCCGTCCATGCCGGCAGTTTGCCTCCCGGACGCGCCAGTTGTGTATCCGGTTATTGGCGCTGGTTAAATGGGCGGGCAGCGTCTCCAAGGTGGACAAGAGTGCCGGCATCATGGCCTTCCTCGACAAGCAGAGCATGCTGTTCATCGACACGGCTGACAAACTGTCGCAGATGGCGCGCCAGGAACTGGTGAGAGCGCCTGCATGGACTTTCGAGCGCGATGTGGATCGTCAGAGTCCTTTCTAAAGTTAGTAGTTACAGTTACAGTTGCCGATCTGCAGGAAGAAAGTAGAAACCTTCTTGGCTTCAGCAATCAGCATAGCTTGATTTTATTCTGCTCTATGAAATGAACTTTTACACCAAGGTCGTTGGTTAATGGTTATTGCCGTAGCTCCCCATCGACTTGCCTCTTCTTTCATGTCAACTCATCCAACTCAGGTGTATGCAGGTGGTCATCATTCCTCTTTGTCGCCATGACCCACGTCCGGTGCCGTCAGGTGGCCGCCCGCCTGCCGACGTTCCACATCCCGGCGGCAGTCGAGGTGCTCACCACCGGCTCCTACAGCCGGCTGCCGCTGTGTATCCGCGAGCGGATCGTACCAGCCAAGGCTATCACCCCTGTCGAGAAGGCCACCACGCTACAGGTGAGGTCTGACGAACCTGATGGGTAATTAACTATAACGGGATGGGTCATGGGAGGGTACGTCCAACTCCGAACCGGACATATACCTTTTTCTAGAGAAACTCGTGAAAGTTGATCTCGTGAAAGACAGAGTGGCATTCACAAGTGTGATGGCTGATACAAATGAATCTGTCTGTTAAAGGTAGTTCCGACCTGAATCAAGTTACTATTACTCTCTGGTTTTCAATGTCCGGTGGTTATAACAATTTTAGACATCTAATTGTCAGCGCCGGCCGTCGCATACTTTTATTGTAGTGTCGACTTACCGGTAGTGTCAGTGTCAGCCCACCCCCTATGTCTATCTGTAATTCACTCGCGTGTTTTGTCTGACGCGCGCCCTCCTCCGTCGGCAGAGGCTGGACCAGATCATCGAGCACCGGCTGGTGACCGCCGACCTGCCGCCACAGATGCTACAGCTCAAGATCGGCGGCGGCCGCGTCCGCATCACGGTCGAACACGAGTTTCAGGTGAGACCGCCCACAGTCATAGTCTCTCACTCGTGCCTTTTACTGTGGAACAGTCGAGTCGGGCCGTTTGTATCTGAAACCAAGGAACCAGGTTGATGCTGCTCGGATACGACCCCACACTGACCGATCCAAGACAGACCTTTCGTTCTCACCAGAACAGCCGAGTCACTAAGTAATCAAACCATCAATAACTCTGCTGTCCATGAACCAGGTAAATGGGTGTTTGCGATGGGTCAGCGTTTATCTCGGACATTTCCTACCGATAACTCTGCTATATTTACATACGCGAACCCTGCGATCACTCTCGGCCTGTCGGCGTCCGTCTCCGTTCTGACGCTCTCCGTTTGACCGAATGATGTCGGGCAGGTGTCGCTAACACTGATGGGAGACGGCCCGACTGTGCCCTGGACCCTGCTCGAGATCGAAATCCTCGTGGAGGACAAGGAGACGGGCGAGGGAAAGAGTCTGGTGCACCCACTGCAGGTGAGAGAGAACTGGATGGAGTAGAAGAGACTGGGCTGCTAAAGATGCGATGGACTAATCGTATTTGGGGACGTGCGGTCTATGAGGCTTTTGCAGGGAAGTCGACAGCGGGGACTAAGTTTATAACACACCAGACTGTCTCATTTCCATAGGCATGATAAATCGTTGCCAAAGATGACAAGTCATTACGCCATGTGCGTATTTCGTGAATATTGCTATCACTGACGTAACTGTTTGTTTTGTTTTCCTTGACTACCAAGCAGTGGTACAGATGACCGGGTCATTTTCCGGGCGTGTCTCCGTCTGCCGTTTCCCCTGTTATCACCTGACCGTGGTCCCCCGTTCTCTCTTTGTCCAGGTTCACTACCTGCACCAGCTGGTGAGCTCGTACCTGGCCGACTCTGCTCGCCCTCTGCACGACATCTACACCATCCTGCACTCGTTCTGCCAGAGCCTGCAGCTGGAGGTGCTCCACTCGCAGGTGGTTCAGCTGTGCAGGGACCGACTCGGAGATAATGTGCGCGTGCACGACTACCAGCCGGGCCGACTGCTCTCGGTGGCCTACTGGCGGGAGGTGAGCTTGCGACTACCTGCGGATATGTTCTGTCGAGTGTGAGGACCGGTGTGTTCTTCCAGCTCGCAACGAAGCGAAGGATTTGCGTTAGTGATGACGTGCCATTTTACGAGACATATTTCTACAAAAGACTGTGGTGATTTGTAATCGAAGGGAACCGGACGTATGCTAAGGGTTTCCAGTCTTCTTAGTCTTAGCCTTTTCACCATTCGGTAGACACAACGACTTTAGAAATCAGCAGTCACTCGTTACCGATCATTTGCTATTATTTTCTACCGGTTTTGGTTACTGTGTGTTGTCCACCATATACCCCGTGTATGACGACCTCCCCGTACCCTCCGCGTCAGGTGACGGGCCGCGAGGCGCGCTCGGAGCCGGCCTACCGGGTGTCGCTGCAGGCGGACCCGGCGGACGCCGGCCGGCCGCTGCTGGTCACCCACTGGCCGCCGCTGCAGGACAGCCGCAGCGCCGAGCAGGCCGAGCGCGCCGTCCGATCCGACCGGCTGTCGCTGGAGCGGCTGCTGGTGCACACCATCCACCTGCGCAGCCGCGCCGTGCTGGCCGACATGCGCGAGCAGCTGGCGCGGCTGGTGCAGCTGCCGGCCGAGCAGCTGACGCTGGCCGGCTCGCCGGCCGTGCTGTCCGTACCCCTGCTGCAGCCGTGCCTCAAAGGCGAGCACCTGCTGGTGGCAGTGGACGTGCACCGCGGCACGCTGTCGGCGCACGTACCGCTCTACGAGACGCCCGTGTGTGAGGAGGTGACGGCCGCGCTCAACGGAGACCGCTCCCAGCTGCGCGCGCTGCTCACTCGGCTCCGGTGAGTACCGCCGTCTCTTCGAATAGCGATCAGTCGTGCTCGGTTCGACTCGTTTCATTATAACTTCAATCGACACTTCTCACTCACAACTCACAAGTCCTCACCTTCACTCGTCGAAAGTTACCACGATTGCCTAGCTGCTGCCCCCGCGCTGTCCTTTCAGCTTGTCTGATAACTAGCGTTATTCTGGATTTAATGGCTAGTCCGTACCGTTTTTACTAGACGCCCGTGTCCTGTTATCGCTGTATTCCCGCTCTGACCGGCTGCTCAAAAGTCGCTCATACGGCAGATTTGACCACATATGATTTGACCTCATTTGACCTTGAAGATATTGACCTAGGATCATGAAATTTGCACACAACAGAGTTCCCCAGGGCCCTCACCTACCCTCCAAATTTTGTCTTTCTAGCTCCAGTGGGAGCTGAGATCTTAGGGGGGGGGGGGGCATCCGCCCCCATCCCCTCCACTGGGCGTAGTACCCGCTCACTCCCGTAGTACCTTCTGTCCTGTTGTCGCTGCATTCCCGCTCTGACGGGTGTCTCGCCGCCGCCAGGTTCTGGGTGACGCTACGCCGGGCCGAAAAGACGCTGCAGCACCTGCCGGCCTCGGCGCACGAGGCGCTGCCGCTCTCCTACCGGGAGGGCCACCCGCTGGGCCGGCTGCCGGCGCACCAGATCTACGTGCGCCTGCACCGGTTCCCGCGCAGGGTGCTGGTGGTGGTGTGTCAGGAGCGGCCGGGCAGTCCCAACAGCATGACCTACAGCTTCTACATGGTGACCGTGAAGCCGTGCAGCATCGAGGACGGCAGCGAGGACGCCAACGAGCGCCACCTGCCCAAAAAGTACCTTAAGGTCAGTCGGAGGTTATTTGCATGCTGCTTGTTCTGGGTTGGGGTTAAGTGCGGCAGTGTGTTTTCTTTCTGATTAGGTGTATCAATTAGTTCGAGACATGAGCGCCAGTTAAGTGCCTTATGTGGCAAATAAAGAAATCCCGTAATCAGCGTGCCTCCATTATTGTTCCGACGGATTTTCTATTCCAACACGCCCCTGACATGCCCGTCCACCCTCGGCTATCCAGGTGCTGACGTTTGTCGAGCTGGACACGTTCCTGTGTCTGCACGGGCCGGGCACCGTGTTGGAGGCGGGCGTCGCCGAGACGCCGCGCCAGCGCGCCCCCTCGGCGCCCGGCTCGCCGTCGCGCGCCGCCGGATCTCCCGCCTTCTTCATCACCGAGCTGGCCCAGGTGGTGGCGCTGTGTGACGAGCAGATCCCGTGCGCAGCGCTCTGCAGCGAGCTCAGCCGACAGCGCGTGCCGCACGGAGGCGCCGCCGTCGACCCCAGGTCAGTGACTCGCCCGAGTCAATGGAGTCGAGTCGGGCGTCAGTCGCCGGGGTCAGAGCAAGCCAGTCGGGCGTCTCCGTCGCGGTGTCATTGGAGCCCTTTCGGACGTCACTTTCGGTTTACTCTGCCGGGTTTTATTTCGAGACTGGTTCAATGTGAAAAACCGAACACAAAGCTTGGATTTAGGTGGAAGCTGTCGGGGTGGCAGCTCTATCGCTATCCAGTCTGGTTAGGGGAAGAAGTCGAAGCAAGTTGTGCTGCAGGAAAATGCAGTGCGAATATTGAGTCTGAGACCATTTTGAAGTGCTCTTCATACAGCGTTTGTTCTCCGTCTGGTATGTTTTCTCCCATCCGCTGCGCTGCCCCTCTCCCACTCACTGTACTCCGCTCCCCTCCGACAGCGGCCAGTCGCGCTACATCCGTCTGATCGACCTGCCGACGGTGGCGGACGTGGAGCCGGTGGCCATGGAGCAGCTGCGCCGCGCCCTGCTCTCGGCCACCATCACACAGCAGGAGGACAAGCAGGGCTCGCGCTGGGCCGTCGAGTACGTGTTCCACGGCGCACCGGCGCGCTCCCAGCAGCGGCGAGAGCAGGCCAGCCGGCGACTGGTGCACTTTTGGTACCCGCAGCCGGCCGTGGAGGCCGTCTCAGAGGTGGTGGACCGGCTGCTGGCCGACTGGCGCCAGATGGCCGAGCTGTACGCCCTGCTGCTGGCCTACCAGCAGTTCGTGGCCGACGACCGGCAGCGCGGCCTCAGCCAACTCACGGAGATCTCGTCGTTCACGTATCGGACGCTGACGCTGGCCTACGGGCCCGACAGGGGGTCCACGGTGAAAGTCGAGTACAGCAGTGACGAGAAGAGGTTCCGGCTTAGCTTCGGCATCAACGCTAGGTGAGTAGCGCGGGAATATTGGGTAGCTTTTCGCAATTTACGTTGAATAAGTCCAAACAGTCAAATGAAAATGCAGTTAGAATGATTAAAGCAAGCTCCGTACCCTAATGTACCAGACCCAGTCGGGCTCATCGTGTATTGTTTTATAGTGCCTTCTTATCATTGTATGAAACATAGGTACCAGCTGCGTAATGCGTATCGTACAGCTGACAGTCCCGGTTCGTTGGTCATTCTCAGGTCGAGCAGCGCCACCAACCCGCACGCCATGCTGCGTGGTCAGCTGGAGGACCTGCTGAACGCGGAGCGGTCGCTGGCGCAGCTGATGGTGGCTCTGGACAGCACCTACTCGCCGCTGGTCTCGCTCGACAAGCTGTCCGCCACGCCGCGGCTGGGCGTACGCAGCGACCGCCCGCTGGAGCCCGTGCCCAACTTCATCCTGCTGCCGCAGACGGCCTGGCACGTGCGGCTCGTCTACCGCAAGACCTACTGTCTGTCGATCCACCTGCACAGCGACGAGCTGGTATCGGTGCGCGACGGCGCCTTCTGTGTGTCCGACCGCAGCCGGCCGCTGGACGAGCTGACGCCGCTGCGCAACCTGTCCGCCTTCCTGGCCAAGTACGCGGCCGACCCGTCCTTCTCGGGGGTGGGCGGAGAGGACGACACCCCGCCGTCGCCCACCAGTCTGGAGCTGGACCCGCCGTCAGCGGTGCCGGCGCCGGCCGCCCGGCCCAGTGGCTCGCCGGCCGCACACGCGCGGTTCGCGCACCCGATGACGCCCGGCTCGCTGTCGCAGCCCCACACGCCGGCCAGCCCGCTGCAGCCGTCGCCGGCGCCGGCCGCGCCGGTCGTCTCCAGCTCACCGGCGCCGTCCTCGACGCCGCTGCACGCGCCGTCGCCGGGCTTCCTGCCGGCGCCCAGTCCGAGCCACGTGGGCCACAGTCCGGCGGCGGCCGGCGCCATGAGTCCGTTCACCGCCCAGCCGCTCATGTCACCGGCGGTGGCTGGGTCGCCGGCCGTCTCCAAGGCGCCGGCCACCCGACTGCGGCCGGCCGCCGCACCCGTCATGCTGTCGCACGAGTCGTTTGACCAGCTCTGCACGCGCGCGCCGGTGCCGCCGGCTGCGCTGCGCGCGGCGCCGGACGTGATGCAGGTATCGCCGCTGGAGCGGCACCTCGGCTGCGTCTACCTGCGTGCCCACCTGAGGAAGGTGAGAGGAGGAGAAAACTAACCATCACGCCTAGTCTGCACATAATGCTTGTTTTAAGTTGGCCATGCTATTTTCTCATCCTCTGACCATTTTGTTGTCACCTGTTCTCGAGTCCAGCCTGGCTGGAGCCTGCCACATCTCGTTGTTAACCTCCCGCATTGCCGCTCTCCCTCAGACGCTCGAATCGCCGTCCACGCCGAGCATCGTGCGCCTGCAGCCGACCGAGCAGGGCGTCATCATGTTCAAGACGACGTGTCTGCAGTGCCGCGTCCGGCTGGAGCCCGAGCACGTGCAGACTCTGCACCTCAGCGTACAACCTAACCCGGACAGCATGGAGCAGTGGCAGCCAGAGGAGATGCAGGTGCGTACGCGGGCTGGCCTCCCCTCAGCTCTGAGTGGTGCTTGATGTGTGTATTGTGATGTATCCTGCACCGTCAAGTGTAAAACCGTTTGTAAATTTTGTAAACCGATGGTTTTTGTTTAGGTGATCGCAAACGACAATCCCACCGTGCTTCATTATAATGAGTCTTGTTTGATAGCGAATATTTTACGATAGTTATAACGCCACCCAGCCGTGGGTGTACTGTGACCGCGTCTTTGGGTTGTTTCTGATACTGTGTATGTGATCGTGCTGTTCCGCCGTCTCTGATTATCGTGCGGCTGACCGCCCGTGTGTGTGATCCTGACGCCAGGTGTTGGAGCGCTACTTTGAGACCAAGGTGGCCGTGCCGCCGTACCGACACAACACGCTGAAGACGTTCATCACCATGCTGAACAGGCAGGCCAAGGTGCTGCGCGACTTCATCCGCATCCTGCAGCTGGAGGAGATAACGTCCGACCCCAACAACCCAAAGGTCAGTCGCGGCCAGAGTGGCCACCCGTATCAGCCGTGGGCGGCATTATGCTAGGTCGAGTCATGTTGTTTTTCACGTCCGTGGTCTGCTGAAATTTCATTCAGCTTGCTCTCTAGTTAGATAAAGGGAACCTGACTAGGCAATCAACGATAAATATCCATTGCCACTTTTTAAGCTCTCTTAATGCTCTTACTTAAATGATAACCATGGTTATCATACCATGCTAATTACCATAGCTGCTAATGTGTAGTTATTAGCCAGCTAGCCGGTTCTCAACAGCAGCCCATGAACGCTGCGCTGCGGACGTTTTGAGAATCCCGTTCTTGGTTGTCGCCATCTGACTCGCCCTATGTTTAACGTGCCTTGCCTGTAGTGTATGTGTCTAATACCCCCCCCCCCCCGCTCCTTTCACAGGCGTCGGCGATGAACTGGTCGGTCGAGTGGTGCACCACCTCTCACCCGGCCGCATTGCCGGCCCTCATCCCCGTCGGCCTCGTCTCACTCATCATCGTCGGCAACAAGGTGCTCTTCTTCCTGCAGCTGACGCGCCGGCTGGCGGCGCCGACCGGTTCCGAGCCGGCCCGCATCGTCCTGCCGGTCGTCTATGATATGGCCGATAACATGACGCAGTGTGCCGACAAGAAGGACTACCAGCCCAACCAGGTGATCATCGACGGGTGGCCGGGCGCGGGTGTGTGGTGTAATACAGCTCCAGACGAGTAAATTAGTTTGAGTTCTCGTCAGTCCGGGACGGACTGGCTAGCATGCATTAGGTACGGGGATGGAAAAGTTAGTAACTGATTTCCATGGTTTCTGTCATTTTGTCGAACATTTTTCGTAACTGGTGCGATGCCTTTTGACCCCATCTTACTAGGAACTGTTGCGTTCCATGGCCGTTGCTTTACGTGTCCGGTATGCGATGGCACGGGTCTCTGACGCAGCGTGTCCGTTGGTCGGCCAGGTGGCGCAACAGGTGAACCAGCTGATGCGGCGCAGCAGCGAGCTGGCTGCCCAGGCCGGTGAGTGCTCCTTGTTCCGCGCCGTGCACGATGTGGTGCACAGCTTCGCGCTGCCCACCGAGCAGCCGCAGGCGGTGGCGCCACCTCTCGGCAGCGACGGTGGCGCCCCTGGCGGCCAGATGATGATGCAGCAGCGCCAGTACCAGCAGCAGCGGCCCATGGGCGGCATGATGCCCAGCATGATGGGCGCTGGCCAGCCGGGGCCCAGGGACCGCATGCAGTGACCGGCCGGCCGCGCAGTGTCCCAGGGCTCAATGGCGGCGCGTCGTTATCTGACACGTCCCTCATGTGACCATGTCACGTGCGGCGCTGCCCGGGATACCGGCCCGAAATGGCTGCGTGATGGGCCGTCCACCGCCGCGTTTTAGAATGATTTCCGTTATCACCTAACTGCATACCATGTGGAGTGGCCGCAGGCAGTGTGCACTGTGCATCAGGCGGAGGGAACCGCCAGTTTGTATTTGGTCCCATATTATGCAGTTCCGGGAGTCTCGCGAATTTCATGTGTCCATTGTGCTCTCTGGGATGAGGCAAATAGCTCTATGTTACCGTGGAAATATACCACATCGCTCCATACTGTATTCGTAATTGGTTGATGCCTGTGTATAGTAGCCAATACGATATGACCTCAGTGAAGTTCCAATAAATATCAGGCATACAATGGGCGGCCAGCGAGAGCCCACAGAGCAGATACGCAATAATTGAACACTTCTCCGTCTCCCTGGTCACCCCAGATCGCTGTAAGAGATGCTTTCCACTTTGATGCTAGATATCACGACCCACCCGCCCTTCACTCGGGCGTCTGAGACTCAAACCGCCGCGATCGCTTGCTCCGCCCTTTCAATCCTCAGTTTGCCACCCCGCTTTAAGATCTTTACGGAACCAGCAATAGGCCCCTTCTAGACTATTTCTCAATTTATGCACAGAATTTTGATGCACTGGCCGCTGGCGGATATAAGCGGCGACTCAGGCCGCACGGTTTACATAGCCTTGGGCCGCACCCAAGCAGCTATGGTCTCACCGCAACGCAGTTCTGCAGTCTAGACGCTATCGTGCGCCAAAATTAACGACTGCCGAGGAGGACATGATAAATGTATGCCTAGTTACGCTCTCCCCTCCCACGTTTCCCATCTGTTCCCAGACACATAGCACCACGTACACACAAGGCGGACGATCAGATGACGTTTATTGCGACATTTAATCCTCGTTGTCATCGCCCTCATCCTCATCGTCGTCGAAGCTGAAGTACTTCAGCTCGTACGAGTCCTTGGAGCTGGCCACCACGCGCAGGTAGTCACGCAGGCTGTTCTTCTTCAGGTACTTCTTGGTCAGGTACTTCAGGTACCTGAAATGCAAGAAAGGCATTAAAAAAACTGCAAGTGGGAAACTTCTGCCTACTCCACAGAATATTCTAACTCCCCTGAAGATTCCCAGAAAATATATGCTCCCACCTCACCAATTCAATTATCAACCTTTTGATGATGTAGTAGCCGTTACATTACCCACTTGGCACCCATTTAATCTCCCCCCCCCAAAAAAAAAAAATGCAGCTTAGATCATTCAACCAGGACTTCCAGTCCCAATGTACAAATTATCTCCTTGCCAAAGAAACAATATCCTGTAATTTGAGAGCTGGCAAGTCATCCATAGCCCATAATTGTACCTCTTGCCCATCTTGATGTCATTGTTGGCACTGACAGTGATCTTGCTCTTGGCACGCTCAATGTGCAGATTCTTGCCAAAGTTCTTGGTCTTTCCATTCACCTTGATACGCTCCTGGAGGAACTTTTCCTGAGAAGAATGCCAATTGAGTTTAGGGAAGATAGCCCTATACTCATCTTAGGGAAGGTGGCCCTAAGATATTGGACAGTACCTTCCCTGCGAGAGAAGAATGCAGCACTTATTCAATCGCATGAACACAGCTCAAAATATGCAGGTAGAACAGCCTAAAACCAGCAACTGAAACACAATTTGAACCAAAATATTTCTGCATTCTATGAAAATTATAAGCAAACATCAACATATGTATATTGTTCATTTTGACAAATGTTTACATTAATGAAGAACAATATCAAATTCTTATCTGTATTCAATGTACATTGAATACAGATAAGAATTTGATATTGTTTTTCATTAAAGTAGACATCAACATAATTACTTTAAACCACTCAAACTTGCAATCCTGCACATCGGTAAGCGCACCATTGGACTTTTCAACCAGGTCAAGGTGCAAATACTTACAAAGTCAGACACCTGCATGAGCCCATCCTCAACAGGATGAGTGCAGTCAACAATGAACTTGACGGTTTCAGCCTTCTTCTTTCCCTTGCCCTTGGCAGGGCGACCCTTAGCCGGAGCCTGGAACTGTAAACCATATGTAGCCATTAGTGTCGTACTGGGCCATTTATCAAACAGATTTTCTGCTCTGTGTCTTTATTTTATCAAGTAAGCATGGGCAACGGGCCTGACCGACACTTCCGGCGCTGTAGATTGAGATCCTGAGCCAAGTTTAGCAGTTATTGTTGGTATACTCCACACCTCAATCACATATACAACGCTATTACAATAAGTAAAAACACTTTCTGCCTCGGACACACGAAAACTGAGCAGAAATCACAAATAGCTACATAATTCATTCACAATTCACCTTTCCCATGTTCCTGTTCGGACGTCGGGAGACGAAAAGGAAGTCGGGTTGGATGTCACTAATAGTGTTGGATGCTATATTCTGTACAACATGTGTACAACATTTTCAAAGGTTTTGCAACTCGTCAAGTTTTCAAACTCTCTCTTAATTTCTTATTAAATGGATGGTAAATTGCAATAATTGAAGAAAATTTTGAATGAAAAATATATAATTTGTTTGATAGTGAGTATGAGAAGACATAAAACACGCAGCTATGACATAGGCGGCGTTCGATGTCTCCCGGACGGCAAAGATTCTTTGCCGTCCGGCCAATAACGTCCAAGGTCAGCGGGGGCTCGGCTGCGGTTATGAAACGTGATTGGCCGGACGGCGTAGAATCTTCGCCGTCCGAGAGACATCGAACGCGGGGATAATTGGAGGCTAGCCGAAGCTAAATTAAAAACATATGAAACACTTACGGCTTGTCGTAGAGTGCAAGTGTGCTGCTGTGTGCCTTTGTATATTTTTTTGTCGAGTTAGGGTGAATATGTTTGCATTAATATTCGCATGTAAATTTTGATATTCTTTGCGCTGCTTTGCTCGTAAAATAGGAACCTCATTTTGTTTTTATATTGGGCCTTGCTTTTGACAGTTTACGAGACAGATAAATGCCAATATGTTTGGAATCAGAATGGGAATGGGGCGGGACTCGTTTTTTGTTTGTTTCAAGTTCCATTTTTTACTGGTGCCATAGTTAGAGCCGTAATGCTTAGCACGGTGGCTATAAATACTTAGGACTGGAAACAGCTTAACATCGGCCACATTTTTGTCCATCCTCATTCCTCCACAGTCCATAGTCCTTGTTGACATCTGTGGTCACCTGAAGTTGGGTTTGCCCGTTGCCGTGTCCACTGTCCATCATTCACCAGCTCAATATATAAATCAAATATGTTTTGTTTTGATAATCACTTTGACATATATTTCGGCGTGATATATAGGTGTGGCTTGATAGCTTGTCAATGCTGCATAGCTAACAATTGGCCAAGATCTGATGAAGCTTGCTAAAAGTCTGATGTAGGGTAGCCTGGGGCAAGACGCCCCAGATAATTTATTTTGCTACATAACTTTTGTCCTACATCACCTGGAAGGCCAAATTTGTGCTCAATGCGTTCTTTGGACATTTTACTTTAAATTCCACCCCTCAAATTCATTCACTCATGATCGGACTCCAAGCTAGGAAGTGATTTGTGAAGCAACTGCAAATGGGGCATTTTGCCCCAACCCCAGGGCAAAACGCCCCACGGCCCGGGGCAAGAAGCCCCATACTCTAGATTAAAGATTTTATGTGAGAGGTCCGTTAGACCTTGGGAGGCACGGCACTGAAGTTAGCACCTTCCATCCTATCAGGTGTTCAGCTATGACACTATTGTATGAGCAGGTTTTTCACCTGCCTCATAAGGCCAAATAATAAATTATTGCCATGCAACTGTCAACCAAATACTTCCTTTGCCACCCGGTTGCTGAGAAAACTACACATAAATGCATAGAAACTTACTGTTTGCCAGCTACCGAACATTAGGAAATGGGTAGTACGAACAACACATGAGGCAAAACGCCCCATGGGGCTTTTTGCCCCGCGACCTACTGGGGCGTTTTACCCCATCACGTAGTTCGGTCAGAAAACAACGCCTTGCACTCCAGCAAGACATAATTTAACACGAACCAACCTGGCATTATAAGCGTTAGATAATAGTTGTTCAAAATACATAAAAGTCGTTAACCTGATGTGGACCATAAAAGAACGCCATGATGCATAACCTGACAACAAAACATAAAAATCGCTCCCAAAACACATTTTTGGCTATATCTCCCTAAGCAGTCATCACAATTTCTTTCCAGTCTGGTCATATAATGATCATATAGTGCACGTTTTATAGAAGAGAGAATATTTCCCCAGATCCTTGCCAGTTCCGAGAAACATCGGTGAGGCGTTTTACCTCAGCGGGGCGACTTGCCCCGGTCTACCCTACCTAATGATTAAACAGACAATAGGTTGTAGCTTTCATTGTCACTGAGCCAATATATTGAGGTCAATTCAAATCAGTATTATGTTGAACTATTTTCTGGATTTGTTACTTATGTCAATATCATAAAGTTTTGTGCATTAAGTGCATCATTGAAATTCGTTATTAGCTCTATATTGAAGCTTTTCAAAAGCTGATGTTAGTGAATTTCTTGACTTAATTAAAATAAGTACCTAGCTGCCTGCCTACATGCACAGTGATAGTGAAGGTGAAATGGATACATAAAAGGAAAAATAATTGGCTGACTGATATTGTGATTCTTGTTTGTTATTCACAATTCATAAAATAATCACTGATCTGTGCATAAGCCTTATCAGCAAGGTATTTTGTAGTTTTTTCATTTATATTGCCAATTCTGACAGATTCTCATTTAATTACCATTGTACAATTAGACCTGTTTTTAACTGGTGCCTTATTTCTTTCATAATACAGCTGGCCAAATCAAGAAACTAAGTGCCTACTGGACTGGAAAAACAAAGTAAGTTGTATTAATTGACCTAGTTATTACACTGAGCAGTAGCACACTAATCAAAACTATATTTATGTGTAGGAGGGGTTCAGTTGCATAAGACAAGCTTGATAATGCTCACTTATCATTCATAAAAGTGAATGTAACATTCCAAAAGTGATTTATAAGATAGTGCCTTGATTACTTGAGCAGGTACCTTCAATATTATTTGCAGCTAGCAAAAATGATGCTGGCTTACAGCTCCCAGTGTAATGTTTTCATATAAACTTTTTGTTATAAAAGTTGTTCACTGGTCTTTGATATGTGCTCATGCATTTCTGTACATTTTTGTCTGTCATTTCTTTAGTTATACTGTATTGCATGCTATGCTTTTTTCATTATAAGACTGTGATTGTTCCAACTTTTGTTGTAAAACCACGCTTTGTGTTCTATTTATCTAACCTTTATGTCAGACTGCTGGTCGGTTTTGGTCATATAGCTTTGTTTTGGTCTGTGCACTTGGTCCAGGATCGGGTTCTCTGGGAGCGGCGGGGCCGCCGAGGACGGCTCGCGGCGCGGCGGCGCCCGGCAGCCGGCTGCTGACGCCGCCCGCTCCTCTCTGCCGGCAGATGCCTCTGGCAGCGGCTGCCGGGCGGCTGCTGTGCGCGCGCCGCTGCGGCTCGCTGCTGCGGCGGCGCGCGCCGCTGGCCGTCTGTCTGCGGGCCGTCTCCGGCGGCGACGACTCGCGCCGGCCGCCGCCCGACGGGCTGCCCAGGGAGCCGCCGGCGCTCACAGTGCCGCTCAAAAAGGCGGCCCCCACCGCGGAGCCGACGCGGAGCCAGCTGCGCTCGCAGCCCTCCAGTCGGGACCGGGCGCGCCGCGACCGGAACCTGATCACGGCCGTCCGCGCCATGGAGGAGTACCTGATGAAGTCTGGCGACCTCGAGCCGCTGGGCAGCACGCAGCGGCGCTCGCCGTACGAGAACGAGCCGCCGATCCGCGTCTACTTTCGCGCCGAGGTCGAGCAGCAGGCCATCAAAAAGTGGGGCAGCCTCGAGCGGCTGGAGGCCGAGAAACGGAAGCGCGAGCACATACAACTGGCGCACCAGCAGGCGCTGTTCTCGGTGAAGAAGGTGCTGAAGGACTACCGGCGCGGCCAGCGCGAGAAGCCCTACTACACCCAGGTGGAGGAGGAGAGCCTGCGCGGATCGTCGCACGTCGTACTCACCGCCGTCGGCATCAACGCCATCAACGCGCTCGGCAAGGGCGTGGCGTTCGCGGTGACGGGCTCGAGCAGCCTGTTCGCCGAGACGCTGCACTCGCTCGCCGACACGGCCAACCAGGTGATCCTGGCTGTGGGCATTCACAAGTCGGCGCAGCGCGCCAACCTCGACCACCCGTACGGCTACAGCAACGTGCGCCACGTGGCCTCGCTCATCTCGGGCGTGGGCATCTTCTGCCTGGGCAGCGGCGTCGCCTTCTTCCACGGCTTTCACGCGCTATACGACCCGGCGCCGCTGGGCGACTTTCTGGTGGGCTACTGCGTGCTGGCGGCCGCACTCGTCTCCGAGAGCGTGACGCTGGCACTGGCGGCGCGCAACATCCGCCGCAACTCGCGCCGCCAGGGGTTCACGTTCTGGCAGTACGTGCGCCAGGGCCGCGACCCGTCCGTGAACGTGGTGCTGCTGGAGGATATGGCCGCCGTGCTGGGCGTGTTCGTGGCCGGCTCCAGCATGGCGCTCAGCGCCGCCACCGGCAGCATGGTGTACGACGCGTGCGGCTCGATGGTGATCGGCGGCCTGCTCGGCACCGTGGCCACCTTCATCATCGTGACCAACGCGCACGCGCTGGTCGGCCAGTCGATCCGCCAGGAGGAGCTCGAGCGCATCAACCTACGGCTCGAGGAGGACATCATGATCCGCGGCATCCACGACGTCAAGGGCATCGACATGGGCAACGGCCTGGTGCGCTACAAGGCCGAGGTGGATTTTGACGGCCGGGAGCTGACCAAAAAGTACCTGAAGAGTCAGAACCTGGAGTCGCTGGCGGCCGAGGCGGCGCGCCTGGACGGCAGCGAGGCGGTGGAACAGTACCTTCTGCGACACGGCGAGGCCATCGTCGACATGATGGGAGCCGAGATCGACCGCATCGAGTCCGACCTGCGCAAGGCGTTCCCGCAGATTCGGCACATAGACTTGGAGATTTTATAGGCCCCGAGGGGCTTAGGCTGTGATGATGTCGTTACAATAACGGCGGCCGGTTAGCGGGTTAGGTCTGATCGTTGGACGCAGGGATCTTTGGCGGGTATCGTGAGACACTCCGCTCTAATCTCAGAGAACCGTGCTGGTTAGAGGGGGAGAGCCAAGAGCCCGATAGCGATCAGTATTTCAAGGGCTTGTAGTGACTAGCCAATTTTGATTTTAGTCAATGTACAGTTGTTTCTGATTTACTTTTAGAGTTGTCGTTACGTACCTCGTTTTGTTCCTTGTAAGTCATGAACCGAATTATTTAAATCCAATATCAGCTGATACTGGTAGCTACATGCTTGCTTGTGCGCTAATGCGTCTGCTGCCACCCCTCTCAAGCATTCCCACCGGCTAGCCAATGCGGTCGGATCGCGCCTGTGCAGTCGAGCACGGGCTTTCAATCATGCACGGACGCTTTCGATCTCTGATTGTTGATCGACTCAATCGAAGCGCACCGACCGTCAGGCGGACGGTCCATTCTCTCCGGCCCTGGGTAGCTGAACTGTACCGTGCTGACGGTGCGTCAGTACCGGACTGTAACTGTGTGCCGTGCCGCGGCGGTCGGTCGCTCGGACCGTGGTGTGATGCCGGCCGCTGTGAGGTGACGCTGTGCCGGCGCCGACAGTGTACATCCGGCGGCCGGCGGGTCTCACTGCGGTCCAGGTGGCGGTGGTGACTGTGGTCGGGACGCTGGGCGGCTACTACATCTGGCGGCCGGCCTTCGAGAAGCGAGGGGCGTCCAGCGGCGCCGACCAGCCGTCCCAGCCGCCCCCGACGGCGCCGGCGAGCGGCTGAGGTGAGGTGAGCGACCAACACGGCTGTTTGGGGGCGGACACTCGGTGACATTGCAGGTTCAGGTGTTGGGAGATCTGTGTGCTCAGGATTTGAGGCGTCAGCTTTCCCATCTGTCGGTGTCCCACTACCTTTCCTCACTCAGTTATTGGAGCCATGTGCGGTGTGCTCGCCGAAGAAACTGTGTCGAATTACCGCGTTTATCACGCTCCATTTTATTGTATTGCTCCTGTGTGTTTGAACGTTGCATCAACAGTATTCAGCGCATCAGTCCGTAATGGTGGCAACCGCCAGTGTCAGTCCGCTTTAGGAATAGTCGCCTATGCACCTGCTGTCCGTTTCTGTAACGCTTGCCAATGCATATCCCTTCGAATTTGGCAACAGTCACCTGCCAGCAACAACACCCGCCAGTGCGTAAGTCCGTTTGCAAGTCCGTAACAGTCACCTCTGTTTCTCAGGTCCGGCCCAGTCCTCCACCTGAGCAGCGATGGCGCTGCCGCCGGCCAAGGTGCTGCGCTGGGTGGGTATCGCGGGTGTCGCGGCCTTGGGGTTCGCGGTGCTCCGGCCCTACCTGGCCCGGTATCGGGACCGTCGTGCCGAGACGGACATCGCAGACCTGCTGGCGTCCCGGCGCCGGCCGCCCCCCGGCGACCTGTAGACGGTCAGCCGGCGGCTCGCGGCAGAACCGCCTGCCTGTAGACGCGATAGACCAGGGCCTTTGTGATATAGCGGGGATGCAGTGAGGCCGAGTATGTTATGGTAGCTGGAAGAGTGAGACGGTGCGGGGCGGAAGCCATGAATGAGAAGGTGCCGGACAGATGTGTCCTGGGGGAGCTACGTCGTTAGAGCGTTAGCCGGAAAGGAGCGAGATGTTGCCGGGCAGCGCGTGGGCTGTATGTAGGATGAGGCCTGCGCCGGAGTGGTGATGCCCGCCCTGTAAGCGGACTTTGTGACTGGCTCGAGTAATGTTCGCACTCTGCCCGCGTTCACCGTTTGAAGTGATCATGTGAGACGGCCGTTTTACCCAAATACATGACTTATAGCTATTATCTGCAGCTGTTCATCTTCGCGATTCGACGCATAAGGCTTCGTTGTAATGAGTTGGAACGTTTTTACGGAGCGAGCGAAGCGAGCGGAGTCTTTACTTAGATTAACGGAAATTTCTGAGTATGAGCGGCCGGCCGGCCGGCCGTGCGGACGCTTTTGCGAGGCTTATATCTCAGCAACCACTTGACCGATTTACACGGGGTAATTTTTGTAGGGTAGCTTCATTCCTTCTACCAAGTATTGGACTATTCCCGATGCATGTGGGTGACCCCTTATGCACGTGCCACGCGCAAAACGAAGAGGTGTCAGTTTTGTAATTGTTGCAATATCTCGGTAACTACTTGGCCGATTGCGCTGAAAGTTAGCATGTAGGTAGGCACCCACTAGGCACTGCATATCCATGTGCCAGAGTTGGGGTGCTGCTGCACGTGCGCACGTGCAGGGGTCGTTTCCAGATCTCAAGAACGGCTGGACCGATGGCGCTCAAATTTGGTACACGGTTAGGGACTAGTTAGTAGGGTGCCGTGCACAAGTCAGTTGGGACCCATTTTGCACGTGCGCACGTGCAGGGTGCCGCTTCCAGATCTCGAGAACGGCTGGGCCGATTGTGCTCAAATTTGGCACATCGCTAGAGACCGGTTAGTAGGGTGCCGTGCACAAGTCAGTTGGAGGTACCCCCTCGAAATTTCGCACGTGCAAGGCTCACCCTCTCGCTCGCTCCGTTAGTCGCCCCAAAAGGCGCTTTACTGGTGTTTAGTGTCCAATGACTAACGTGGTGCCCACCACCCAGTAAAGCTGACGGTAAAGTTTACTAAGTTTCAACTCTTTTGTTGCGATACGACTCTACTGCTGATCCGTCCCGTCCCCTGCTGGCCGATACCACGCTGTGTGTAATATGTCACCGGTGTCGAGCACACGCTACAGTACGGGTAAACAATTTTGGCACGCGTTTGACCTACAACGGAAGGGATTCTAATTCATTTACATTTGAATTCAACTAGGTATTAATAAGAAAATAGGTAGCTATAAGCCTATGCCCTATCATTTATCATGTTCGATACTTCTCATCGGAAAACTCGATCGTTCCGTGTGGCATCTCCTCGCGCACCACTCTCCACTCCACTCGATCATGTAAATAAAGGCTAAATTCATTGCAAAAAAGGTGTATCTGAATTAACAGCACGATCCGCCCCGGTCGACAACTCCGCCTCATTCCGCGGTCCCTCACAGCGCACCTATCACTAGCCCGCCCCGAACGGGGCTGTCGGCCCAGGAACCAGTACCGCGCTCACCTGACAGCGCCGAACGTCGCTGAATGCACCGCACGCGACCGTAAAACGAACCGAACAATGTCATGGTTACAGAATCAATACTTTCCGGAATGTGTCACCAAGCAGCCTTAGAGCACGGGGCGGATAGAAACGAACGTAGGAATGTAATTCGCCATTAGTTTGTAACCCTATTTCTTGTGAGTTCCCGCCACAGTACAAGTAGAAATCAACGCAACTGAACACTACAAAAGATAACGGTCCCTGCGTGTGAACTATTGCGCAATATAGGCGTTCTACTAAACCCAGATTGTTCCAGATATGTACCTAAATTATTCACGTAAAGACGAATCAGCGAGATGGAAACTTTTTGGCACTTTACGAGCACCAATTTCCGATGAGCACTGCTTTGTCGCGACAATCGTCAACATAAGTACTGATCCAGATGGTTACGTACATGGTTCATAGGACGTTCTTGATTACACTTGTAAGTACGTCCTGGCCATTAGGCGGCAGCTGTGTCAAACAGCCTTACAGCAGCAACATCAGCTGCTAACACCGATAACGAACACAAACGTTTCCTCTTCGGTCGCCGCCTGGACTATCATTGCACGGCAGTACCGACTGAACTTCGGGCAGTCGCTCCATTAGTATGTGGAACGGATCCCGTGGATAGCGCGCAGCATCTCCAGTAGCTCCTCCTCCGCTACCGTATCCAGCTTCAACGAGCGCAGCTTCCTCGTGTTAGCTTCTGTGCGTGTCGAGTGTCCCTTCCGACAGGTCGTCTCCTGGCACGTGCCGCCGGCAAAACGCTGACAGATGTGGATGTAGGGGCACATCCGAGACCGACAGCCCTGCACGTGGTTGTGGGCTATACAGATCCGCAGCCGGTCGTACAGCTGGTACCTCTGGACGTTTCCTGCCGCCTTGTACAGCTCCTTGAGCAGCGCGTCATGGTTGTGCTGGGTCACCTCGCGGCCAGTCAGCCGCAGTGCGCGCCGGTTCGGCTCGGTGTCCAGCCGGTGGCCGAGCGGGCAGCGCTGCCGGCGGCACGCGCCCGCCAGGAAGTGCGGGCACACGTGGACGGCGGGGCAGGCGGCGTCCGTACAGCGCCGGCCGGCGCCCAGACTGCGGCACACGGCCAGCGGCGACACGGGGGGCTCGGAGCCGCCGCTCGGAGGGGCCGGCGGGTCGGCGTCGGGTTTGGCCATATTCGTGCCATCTTTGGCCACTTCAGTAACAGGTTTGGCGACATCAACGTCATGTTTGGCCACTTCAGTGTCAGGTTTGGCCACTTCAGTGACAGATTTGGCCACATCAGAGTCAGGTTTGGCCACATCAGAGTCAGGTTTGGCCACATCCGTGTCTGGTTTGGCCACATCAGAGTCAGGTTTGTCCACATCAATGTCAGGTTTGTCCACATCCGTGTCAGGTTCGGTCACATCCGTGTCAAGCTTTGTACCGTTATCAGTTTTTCTTTCTTCAATTATTTCAGTGCTTGCACCGGCAGAGCCGTCCTCACTTCCCATCGGTTTATCATCCTCTGGAGGTGCCTCATCAGAGCAATATTCCTCCTCCTCAGACTGGGCATCGTCAGTGGTAGTCTCTCCCCGCGGTTCGGGCATCGGCACCTCCTCCTCAGGAGCGTCATACACACCCGGTTTTACTCCCAGTTTAGCCCTGAGCATTTCCACAATATCGCGGTCGGTGGCCCAGGCGTGTCGGGGTCGGCCTCCCGGCGCCGTCGCCAGCCCCATGAGCTGTCGCACGCGCACGTTGTGCTCATCCCGCAGACTGTGACTGCGTTCACAGTCGGCCCTGGTGCACGATCCCGACAGAAAGCGGCTGCACAGGTGGAACCGGCCGCAGCAGGCATTGTCGTCATCTCCACAGACGTCACAGGTGCAGCCGGCCGTCGAGCTGTACGGGAAGCACACCAGCACCCTTTCCTCGGCCTCGTTGGAGAAGGTGATGCGCGCGCGCAGCGTCATCTGATCCAGCAGCTCCTGAAAGTGCTCCGGCGAGCCGCCCAGCAGACCGTAAGTCTCCATCATGCGCACGTTGTGCGGCGAGCCGAACGAGTGGCCGAGAGGGCATTTGTTGTCCGGCCGGCGGCACAGGTTCGCCAGGTAGAAGCCGCAGATGTGGAAGCCGTCACAGTCGTCGCGCTGACAGCGGCCGCTGGAGACGTGCTCCGCGCACAGCGTCGCACCGTCGTCAGGCAGCTCGATCGACTCGTCCGAGTCGGAGTCCTCGGAATCTGTGGTGACAGCCTGCTTGGGCTTTACCGCCGACTTTTCCCGCTGAAAGGCGCTGGTCACCGGGACTGCCTGGCCGCGAATCTGCTTGGGTGGGTTCTGACCGCGGGCGCCGGAGGCCGGCGGTCTGTCAGGGGCAGCCGCCGCAGCCTGTCTCCCGTTCCCAGCCACCTGACCCCGCTCCGCACTCGAGGTGGCGCGCTGTCCTTTGGGCGCAGAGCTTTCCCACATCTCCTTAGCCGTGACAGGCTTCGCCAGGGTCGCCTTGACGTCCGCGGCAGTCATCGACTCCAGCATGAGGCCGCGCACCACGTTGTGGTTGTGCCCGCTTTTCAGGTCGTGAGACCGGTGGCATATAGTGCGGCTCTCGCACTTGTCGTAGACGTAGCCGTCGCAGATGTGGATCCGAGTGCAGACCTCCGGCCGGCTACAGTTACCGCGCTGGTAGGGCCGACACATCTGCAGTAGGAAGCGGCGCTCCGCGTCTGTGACCGGGTTCTGCGCCAGGTATCCGTCCCGCAGCGCCCGGAACACGTCCTGTTCGGACAGACCGTGCAGCCGGTTCTCGCGCAGCACCCGCGTGTTGTGCGGGTCGCTCCACAAGTGGTGAGATCGCAGACACTTGTGTATGGCGTACGTGCACTTGGAGGCGATGAAGAAGCGACAGAGATGGAGCTTGTCGCAGTCCTTTGTCTTGCATGTGTTCGGGAAGAAATAGTCACGACAAACGTCCAGGTTTACGGCGAGACGTGCCATATCCTCCTTTGTCAGGCTCTTGTTCGGTACTTTAGGCTTGGGATTGCTGGGCGCCGATTTGTTCAAGATCTCTGACTTGGTGGCAAGATTTGAGTTAGTGTGTTGGCCATTTACAGGTGGTCTGACCTTGGCATTCGTAGAGACCGAGTTACCCTCGGTTTTTGACGGCGCAGAATTGCTCGGATTCTGCTGGTCAGAACCAGTAGACTTCATAGCTGCATCCCTACCTTCAGCTGCCTTCTGTGTCTTGTCAGTCTGCTTACCCTGAGCTGCTGCCTGGTCCACACCTCCCTCGACGTGCTTTATTTGCACGCTCGCGTTCCCTGTCGCCTGGGCCGAGCCTCCGGACCGAGTGGCGCCGTCCGCTGCGTCCGAGCCGTGCGCTGACCCGGTACCAGTGGCGGAGCGGGACCCAGTCCCACCGGTGGCGTCAGTCGCCAGTCGCGCGGTCTCGACCGGCAGTGAGCCGCCGGTGGGCGTGGCCGCCTCCCTCCCCTGCACCTCACCGCTGCCAGGAGAGGACACTGCCGGCGCGGTCCTCGGTGAATGTGATCCCACGGCACCCGCAGTCTGACCCGGGGGACGGGCGCTGCCGGACGTCCCACTGGTCTGCGCCGCACCAGTAGCAGTAGCAGACGAGACGGCAGTTGTCTGATCCGGCGCCGACGCCTGCCCGCCACCGGCGGCAGGTTGAGAGCCGCCGCTAGCGGTACCCGAAGA